CACCACTAAACCAGCGGGTGTTTATGTACATGATCAAGTTCTTGAAGGACCTTATAGCGCGCACCGACAGGAACAAACTAGAACCCAAACTTTTAGGTAAGTGCAGATACATGTACAGCATACTTGATTTACCACCAGGTTTTGAAACAGTTTAAAAAAATCTTTTTATTGCTTTGTACTGGCTTCTTGCAATGACACTGCATGTCACATTGTGCTTCTCTGTGTGCTGTGTTTGCCTTCTTTTTTTGGTGTATGTGTGGCATTTTTCTTCTTCTTTTTGCACCCACCCGTTTCGGTCCGTTTTCAACTCCCTCGCCCTCATGAACATCTATTGATCGTTTATTGTTCTTTTTTGTATGTGACAATTCTGTGTTGTGCGTGTAGCAACTTTGTTTGGCAACGTGCTGATACGAGCGCCAAAGGCCATTGCTACTAAGCTTGCTAGCAGCAAACGCTCGCAGTCCAGTGCATCCAAGAAGGCGTCCGCATTCCTCTATCATTTCCTTGTCGAGCGCTGATCGCGCAGTTCCCTAGAAAGTGAGCACATGTGCATGTTCTAGTGGAACTTCTCTTTGGCTTTGTCCACCAGTTTGTCCTAGGTGTGTATTCCTGGCTATTTGTGTTGTTCTTTTTCACCTAGACCTGTTGAGTATTCACAGACACTGGCTGGCGCTGCGCCATGTAGATGTAAGTGTGTGCAGGCGCATTGCGTTGTGCATTGTAGTCTTGTTGTGGTAATTGTGGTATCCTTCATCTTATCTTTCATGGTTTCCGAGACGAAGCGTTCCGGACTTGGCACAGCATCATTGCGCTTGCTTTTTTGGCCCAGCTTCTATGTACTGAATAGAGCCAACACTTTCACAAAGTGTTCCATATTTTCTCCTTTTTTTTCGTTAAGATTATTTATCACATGGCTATGTGTACTTTGTTTTGCTGCTGCTGCCGCTGCCTTTGTCTCGGCCATAATGCCCTGTGAGGCTGTACGGTCCTGTTACCCCCTGTCTCTCTCTCTCTCTGTCTCTCTCTCTCTCTCTCTCTCTCTCTCTCTCTCTCTCTCTCTCTCTCTCTCTCTCTCTCTCTCTCTCTCTTCGCTCACCCATTCACATATTTTATATTAGCGGTACACACGCCTCCCAGATCCCCTGTTCCTATAGTAAAGACGTACCCGGAGGTCGTTATTTTTTGTTTTGTTTTTAATTGTCCGTACCTAGCCCATGTGAGGTGCTACTGCTGGTAGAACGACTCTATGCTGCATCTCTTTCTGCGTTGTATATTTCTCTTCTCGGTCAGTCTCTGTGTGGGTGGAGTCTCATCCCGATCATGTCTGCTTGATTATGGCAAAGATGCCTTAGCAGTATCATCTTGTCAATCGTTGTGTCCTGTCCATCTGTAGATGGTATTGCCCCTGCCGTTATGTGCCCCCTGCTGCACCTGTGCAATGCTTGCTTCGTTTTCTATTGCCCTCCTCTTTTGTCCATCTGCTGTCCAGTTCTGAGTAAAAGTACGAGTCAATGATCAAGTGTACCTTAATATTCAAAATAATCATAATTATTATAATTGCTGCAGCTGTGGGCTGCTCTGAATAAGAATCACTCCACCCCGTTGGAGGCTGTGTAGGAGCCACACTGTTATGAACGTTGCCAAGAGTGCAGCGGGTTCGAGTCAAAATGTATCATATCATATTACTGTAAATTAACTAATTTTCGCTGGCGATTTAATTATAATTTCGCCGCTCGGTGCCAACCGGCCAAAGTAAATCGCATGCCAAAGTTTGTCATGGAGTCAAATGATGCAAGATTGAACTCCAATGGGCCAAAAGTTTCATTTCGAGATCGGCCAAAGTTTCTCACCGGCCAAAATTTGTTGATTTACAGTAATTCTAGTGTGACTTTGAGGAGCGGAACTGTGTTTACCGTATTATCTCTAATATAAGCACAGTCTCCAATAATAGCACGTCTCCAATAATAGAACACCTTGGGGCGGCATTCAAAGAATAAAGTGCTCAGTCTCCATTATAAGCACACTGTGTAAATTCATTATCTGTACCGGCGAAAACACCCTGAAATGTGTGTGTCTGACATGAATTTGGCATGGCAACATGCCTCTGAAATGAGGTTGAAATAATAATGGAACAGTCTCCAATAAAGGAACGTCTCCATTAATAGCACGGGGCGGAGGTACATTGAAAAAATAAAGGACCGCGCTTATATTAGAGATAATACGGTACTTGTAGTTCCTGTGGTACTGCCACAGAGAATGAAAAATGATGATAACACGAGGGAACGTGCATTTTGTGTTAGATGGATGTGTGACTACTACCTTATCAGAACCCCCTGGCTGGAGACAGCCCTCGCCCCAGGAGTGTGGATAATCGACCCTCTACTGTGTATAAGAACTCAGCCAGGTTGCTCAAAGACAAAGAATTATTCATGTCCAAGCCCGACCTCTTGGATAGGACATTCTTGGCAAGAGACTACTGTATGGGGTCTGTGTCGGCACAACTATTACTTACTTCACCTCACATGACCAACTGAAAAACACTATGGGCACACACTACAAAATTGTGGTGCACTGTGTATCAGGGAGCCCTACGATACATATGTGTAGGGCTCCCTGCTGTGTACGATACTGTAAGACATGTTATTATAACGAGTCGCAAATTTAACGATTGCCCAAAATTCATAGGTTAGCGAGAAGATAATATGTTAATTAACGATCTTGCAGTATTCTGCCATATCCACACACAGCATATATGAAGCAGTACGGCCTCAACGGATCTTATTATAACGAAGAAATGTCATCCGTTAAAACGTTAGATTTGCTTCCTCGTTATATTTACATGTCTTACAGTATCAAGAGTCATACCGTGTGTCTGCGCCTTTAAAGCCATGGAGGTATATTCGATTATAAAGCCAGTCTCAGTTATAAGGCCATGGGCTCCATAAATGAAATGAAATTTGAAGCATGTTTTGTAAAAATGAAGGAATAAGTACTACCGTATTTCCCCGATTGTAAGTCGCACCTTTTTACACTAAACTTCAAGGACAAAGAAGGGGGTGCGACTTACAATCGAGTGTGACTTCTTACTTATGTGAATGCATTGAGACGATTTGGTTCGGACGTGAGAATGGGCTGCGACTTATATTCGGGGAAATACGGTACTAATTTTGGTGTCACCAAACTGAAAACACCGAGCACCAGTAATAATGTATGGAAAGGCTTTAGACAGAAAGCCCTTCCAATTATACTTTACTAACAAACTTACAGCCCAGCAGGAAGGGTGAACAAGTCAAGTGCATTTAGATTGAATTTTCTGTGTGAACTTTGACTTTTATTTATAGCATGGCGCAGTGGGCGAGGTATATTGCATCTAAAAATAACTAGGAAAGCAGCGGTGTTTCGAATATAAGGCCATGGCTTTAAAGGCGCTGCTGGCATACGGTAACCCCCAATGTTTAGTTTATTCTGACGATTGATATCTACAGTAGAGTCGCATGCCCAAGAATGTTATTTTCAAGGGTTAGCCTGGGACGTTCTTCTACGCTCAAAGCTTCCAAGAGTGTGCAACCCTTCACACAGGGTCTCCGACGGCAAGAACTCATCTCTAAAACTCGAAGTATCACGTGTTCCATGACAACTAACTTCCAAGTACGACTTGCGCTACGCACAACGCAGGCTAGAGTGTGCGTAATCCGAACATCTCCCATGATCATGCTGGTGATTTGCATAACAGCTAACGGCCTGGGAGCGGATAAAAGCAAGACTGCACCAGGTCATGTGAGTTTTTTCCCGTCGTACACACTTTTGCCTTGGGAGCTAGCTTATAACTGTACTCTTGGTCGTACACAGTAACAGTTGCAACCCTTCCCTCGAATTAGGTAGTCCTCTTTTATCCGGATGAAAATTGTTGGTTACCGATTTACGGCATATCATATGCCATGCATACATACAGCATGTGTATTCGATTATCCGGATATTTTTTGTGGAAAACGGATGTGCACGGTTATGCGAGGTCTGACTGTACATGTATACGACTCTCTGTGGTCACTTTGCACTGTTTGCCAGCATAACCTACACATACCCACATGGCCACCTCATAACACTATAGCTGTGCTCCCATTGAAAAGTAGGAGAGGATAGCATACACGCACACACGAAAGCAGAAGGACAATATTCAGTTTTTCTAAAGCTGGTTTATTGGCATCTACTGGTCAGCGATGGTAACCTCGACCTCGACACCGGGCTCAATAGAGATGGAAGTGATCTGCTTGACGATCTCAGACGGCGAGTGCAGGTCGATGAGGCGCTTGTGGATGCGCATCTCATAGCGATCCCAGGTCTTACTACCCTCACCGTTGGGTGTCTTGCGGGTGGTGATCTTCAGGTTCTTGGTGGGCATGCGCACTGGTCCCTTGACGCGCAGCTGCTTCTCCTTAGCACCACGGATCAGATCACCGCACACTGCAGGCACAAGATCCACATCAGAAGATAAGATGATAAGTGGAAGAAGGACTTCAGAGCATGCAGCACAGGAATGATGATCCAATCTCATCATGCTCCATTTCATAATGTGCAATTCTGGCAAGTGCACAATCGAGACCAATTCCCACACGTATGTGAATGGTGCATTGTAGTGAACTACTCGACTCTAGCTGCACAAAGAAATGACCAGATCCAAGTTAGAATATTGAGAACAAAACTTTTTATGAGTCAGAAATAAGGGAATCAGTCAGATATTTCCAAGTGTGCGCGTGTGTGTGTGTGTGTGTGTGTGTATGTATGCGTGTGTGCCCATTACTGCATAATGCAATAATTATAATGCAGCAAAGCTGCAAATGCCCCAGTAAAATACAAACATCGCAATGATGATTACATCCAAGCTCTGGCTCTGACCATAGTCACCTATAAATATTATAAGGGATGGATGCGAACTGACCTTTCTCCAAGCTGCGCACATTACGGCTTGAAAGAGTGATGCGGATCCTGTGGATCTGGGGCTCATCGCCACCAAGAGCGGCCTTCTCTGATTTCGACTGTGAACGAAACAAAGACAAAAACACTGCAATCAGACCTTCACTTCAACCTGAACCATTCACTCACAAACTCTTTACCATTCTGCCCGACGTATTGGCAAGAAAACAACACAACAGCGGTGAGGCAGAACTACCAGCTATCGAAAACTTTACGTTTAGTAAAAGAGTGAGAACGGCAAGAACATCGCATATAAATCGATCTCACTTTTTCATGGATCGGAGCGGATCCCGGAGGCCACATGACAAAATGGCGGAGCCGAAGAGGAGTCTCCATGGATATGATGACGTCACCAGGGTCACAGGTTTTGCGAATGAAAGGTTGCTTCTCACTTCGCAACATTTCATTTTCCGGTCATTCAAAATAATGTGGAGTGACTCATCATCGAACCATGCGTGGCCCAATGCATGAATGCAATGACCATGATCGATGCTTGATCTTTCACAAACAAGAACGTTTTTTGTTCGTCAAACTGCCTTGACCTTGCACAAGTTGCAGCAGTTATAGTCGAAGCTCAACCTTGCATTCAGTTAGTTCTGTCCCAAGTTTTCTGAGAGCTGTTTGCTAGTCATTCAGATAGTTCCTACGAAGCTACCCATCCCTTATTCCAGAGAATATTTTTCAGTTGTACACACTCCTATCAGTGCAATGGCAGGAATCTTCACGCCTACTAATCAAATCAAACTAACCAATATCGCCCTGGTGCGGATGAAAAAAGGAGGTAAACGCTTTGAAATCGCTTGTTACAAGAACAAAGTGATGTCGTGGAGGCAGAAAGTGTAAGTACAATGTAGATCTACATGACTGTACACGCAATGATACAGAGATATGCTATATACAGTGGGTAGTAGGTGATGACGTTTTCCAAATGATGTCCAGTCATGGTCAGACCGGCCGGACCGGGTACTACGGCCCTGCACATCCAGTTGTCTGGTGTGAGTGTTGTATCCAGAATTGCATTGATGGCATACCCGGTATCATGAGTTTGGTCACTATAACTACCGCCGAAGTTTTTAAGGTGCTCTCACATGTCACAGCTAATGTGGGCCAGCTGGACATTGGCCTGGAACTGCTGCTGTCACAGTTCCCCGTGCATGAACAATCTCTGTGCATCGTGGTTCGGTACATAATATATTGGCTGCTGATGTTACTCCCCATGACAATTTCCTTACGCACTTCCTGCATACGCAGACATACTGTTTGGGGTGCCTGGCTGCGCTTGTGTGTGCGTATGTATTCCACTTATCAATACTGTACGGGTGTGTGAATCTGCCCTGAGGTGGAACAGAGCTATACGTAATATACATGCTTTGCTGAGAGTATGACTTCAATTCTTCTTGGACCACACCTGCTGCTCACAAATGGTATGTGTGGCAGGAATCTCTCTTGAGAACTGGTGCGAGAAGACTGAGAAAATTATCACTTAAATGACCATTTTTGAGGTTGTATCTAAGGATCATGGCTTGAAATGATATGATATGGATCGGTGACCTCTTGGTGACGAACAAATTTCGTGCACATTGCAACCTCACTGAGTCTTTGGATCATTCCTGAATCCTGAGTCAAACGGTCTTAGTCCAAGAATCCTGCGACAATGCTGCAACCGAACGACTCCTTCACTCTTTCACCTACAGGGATATCATCCGCCAAGTAAATTCTTACTACAATTTCTTTGGTGTGCGTTCTCCCTAGTGTGCAGTCAGGACTGTCACTACTGTTTTTTACTTTGTGGACTTGCAGTGCGGCAAGTAACAGTCTCTTGCCTCCGCGTATGAATACTGTAACAACGACCGAGTGGGAAGTATTGACATTGTGACTAAATAATAATAATAATACATTATGCAGCACGATGTGGTGTCCAGTGCATTAATTAACGTCAAGTGGTGTGTGTGTGTGTGTGTGTGTGTGTGTGTGTGTGTGTGTGTGTGTGTGTGTGTGTGCGTGCGTGTGTGCGTGTATGCGTGCGTGTGCTTGCTTGCATGCATCCATGTGTGTTCCATGCTGTTGACTTGCAGGGAGAAAGATATTGATGAGGTGCTGCAGACACATACAGTCTTCACTAACGTGTCCAAAGGACAAGTAGCCAAGAAAGAAGACCTTGTGAAGAGCTTTACCACTGATAACCACACCGAGATATGTTTGAAGGTGAGATTTTTCCCAGATGGACATGTGAAAACATTGCCTTATCCCCGTTGTGTGAAGTTAGCATAGCATTGAAGTGGCATGTAAGCCCTAGCTAATGTAGCCGCTTCATACCAATGTGTATCTTGTCTATCATGATAGATCTTGGAGAAGGGCGAACTACAGGTATCCGACAAGGAGCGCCAGGTTCAACTCGAGTCAATGTTCAAGGACATTGCAACGACTGTCGCTGACAAATGCATCAATCCCGAGACGAAGAAACCCTACACAGTCTCACTGATCATCAAGGCCATGAAGGACATTCATTACTCTGTGAAAACGACCAAGAACACCAAGCAACAGGTGAGAGCAACATTTAATGAACCTACATGTAGCTCTTTCAGGGTCCTATTTATATTTATTGAGTGGAAATGTGTTCCATACATATGTTGACACTATGGGTGGTCAACATCTAGGCAAAAAAAACGGTACTTTTGTGTGTAGAGCTGACACTGTTTACTAACAGTTGCATCAAGAGTGCAATACGTAAGCCCCAAAGATTGTGCAACTCTGGTTGCCCTTCCGCCGACGGCGAAATCTCAGCAAGATTGTGGCAGATATTCGGACTGCACGCTTGCTGGCCTTCGTTTTACTTGGTAAAAATCACACTTGGAGCACGTGATGTGAGTTTTCGCCATCAGAGACTCCATATGCAGAGTTGCACACTCTTGGGACCTTCTTTTTTTTTTTTACTCTTGATGCAATTTATAACCAATGGAACACTCAATTAGCAAGGAGAATCTATTATTATTTTGGTTGATGAGAATCCGTCATCGTTTCAAGCATGTGGCATCATCATTTCGGTTTTTCATCTCCTTGTTGTGCAGGCCCTAGAGGTCATCCGTCTGCTCAAAGACAGTATCCCGCTGGAACGGTGTCAGATGAGAGTACGCATCCAAGTGCCAGCGCGCGAGGCGAAGCGAGTGCGAGACAAGCTGTCGCCGCTTCTCACGCGCATTGAGGCGGAGAGCTGGAGTGGTGATTTAGAGCTGGTTAGTACATGTATGTGTTGTGTGTGTTGTGTGCTGCCCAGTGTCTGTGTGCTGTGCCCAGTGTCTGTGTGCTGTGCCCAGTGTCTGTGTGCTGCCCAGTGTCTTTGTGCTGTGCCCAGTGTCTGTGTGCTGTGCCCAGTGTCTGTGTGCTGTGCCCAGTGTCTGTGTGCTGCCCAGTGTCTTTGTGCTGTGCCCAGTGTCTGTGTGCTGTGCCCAGTGTCTGTGTGCTGTGCCCAGTGTCTGTGTGCTGTGCCCAGTGTCTGTGTGCTGTGCCCAGTGTCTGTGTGCTGTGCCCAGTGTCTGTGTGCTGTGCCCAGTGTCTGTGTGCTGTGCCCAGTGTCTGTGTGCTGTGCCCAGTGTCTGTGTGCTGTGCCCAGTGTCTGTGTGCTGTGCCCAGTGTCTGTGTGCTGCCCAGTGTCTGTGTGCTGTGCCCAGTGTCTGTGTGCTGTGCCCAGTGTCTGTGTGCTGTGCCCAGTGTCTGTGTGCTGTGCCCAGTGTCTGTGTGCTGTGCCCAGTGTCTGTGTGCTGCCCAGTGTCTGATGATCCTGTTGTACGGCATAGAATTAGGGGTGAAATGACTGACCTAACTTCCTTATCGACTAGATTCAATCCTATCGACTGACTATCGACTTGTTATCGACTGACATTGCCCTCACACTTGAACACACGCACAGCATGTTTAGTGGTAGGATACCAAGTTTAGAGTTGGAACTCAAAACTGTGCTGCGCATTGTGTGTCGTCTTTGGTCTATGTTCCAGCCTCTGCAGCAGTCCCTGTAGAAGTTTGGTCCAGTGTGTGTGTGTGTGGTGTGTTAGTTTTGTTTTTTTGGGGGGGGGGGGGGGATTGTCACAATTAAGGACGCACAGCTCTGGATATCGTTTAGAGCAAAGGCCTCGGGTATTGCTGAGTCTTTAGCAGCTGTGTCCCGTGTATTTTGAATACCTAGACCGCATACTGTACATCGAAGTACATTTCCGCTCCGGCATGGAATGTCCATGAATGGTGTGTTGGCAAATGACTGTGCCTTCGTATGAACTCCTAAATTTATCTTGCTGATCTCCATGTGCTGCTGCAACTACATCCTCTTAGATTGGTTTCATCGATCCTGGCAGCTACAGACAGGCTGAAGCTATTGTTCAAGCCGACACAAGAGGCCGCGGTGTGTTAGAAGTTCTCAATCTGAAGGATGTGGACGAAAGCGACGACTTTTATGCACCACCCGGTAAGCAGACAGCAGGCAAGGCTCCTGCTGCTTCGGCGGCGAAGAAGGAGAGCTCGGGAGGAGCTTCAGCTGCAGTTGCCACTGCTGCTGCAACAGCCGACAGTACAGATGGCTTAGAAACAATGCTGAAATCAGCTCAACTGAATGAAGACTGACAGTTGACCTCTGAGGCTCTGGCATATCATATGACACTTTCATAAAAGAGACAACAAAACTGTTTTTAAAGCTCTCTGGAAGTATTGCTGGCGATAATTCTTGGTGAGCTCATTCTAGTTGTGCACAAAAGACTGTCATAGCAATTTACCTACCTACTCAACCATACATTCATATTTATTCGGGAGCTGGACTCAGCATGACCTATGCTAGCTTTACATGTCCTGATACTGAGGTCTGAGATCAGCAGTAGTAGTTAGCAAGAACATACATTTCACGTGTAGGCTAGCTGCGTTTTTTACACTATCCTCTCTGCGTCAGCTAGGCCACCAGGGTGATCTTGTGCAGTCAGCCTGCTGATATACTAGTAGTCTCATCTTTCTTAGCTCCTATTCAGTGTTGAGTTTCAATCCCATCCTTATCAAGCACCTCCGCTGTCTGCTCCTTTTGATGCACCAATGTAGTGCTGATCTCCGGTGCTCTTTTGCGAAGGCTGGAGTACATTCAATGATTGTAATCGTGTCACAGCCAGTGCACTTTAGATCTACGTCAAGAGAACATACAGCAGTGTGTAGTCTCTTGTCTCCTTGAAGTACATCCACTGGTAAATTAAAAAAAAATCTATAACTTGACAATGTGTGATATGCCCGGTGCAAGTTAGATTGTACCAGCTCTTGATTGTCCGGTACATGGAACATGGAACCGGCCATTACATCTGCCACACCCCTACTGTAACCAGGTCGTGTTGCAGCTTGGTACTGATCATCCCAAAGGCGCACAGGTACTGCGACGTGGCATTGTAGTACTGTACAATCGTACACAATTAGTTTCTAAATGGAGCGAGGCTTTTAAAAGTGTTTTGCTGTTAGACGTGGCAATTTAGCGCAGCAGGCGGAGATGAAGGCGCCCAGGGTGACCATGCATTGAAGGAAGAATACACAGTGACTGATGACCCGGAGTAGGAAAATCGTTGCAGATGGTGATGAAACCATGAAAGCAAAGGAAAAGAGGATCATAAAAATTATTATTGTACACTGGCCTCAAGTTTCTGGCTGCAGCCAGAAAAAAACAAATTGTTTTCCTCTTCACCAACATCGTCAGGACTCAAGAATATTTCTTGTTCTTGTAATGTTTTTCACGGACCAGTTTTCGTGCATTCTCTTCAAGTGAATTACCAGCAACTAGAACCAAGATACAGTACAGATTTAATATTCGATTTCGACAGCATGTTACAAGGCGAGGACGCACAGTGCTCCTGACTTCAATCATAACCCGGTTGGCAGAGTCCCGGTCTTGCGACCATTTGAACCGTATGGGGGAAAATCCTCGGTTCGGACCCTCTTTATTCTAGGGGGTGGTTGAAGTTGGATTTTTTTCTTTTTTTGCTGATGTTGTGTCACGGCGGTAACACAACAACGTCAACAACAACACCACCACAAGCCGGAGAACTGGTTTGTGAAAAACATTTCTCAGTTGAGACCTGATCAGGGTCTACATGTGTATGTGATTGCATGTTGCCAGAGATGACTGACTACTTCATAATTAAATGTTACTAAACTGATGATGTATGTTGATATGTGGCATTGATGTATGTAATAAAGCACGCTCAGAAGGTCATGATGGCTGAATCTTGCCCGAGCCTGCAGCCCAAGGGCTGCAGGCAAGGGCAAGATTCAGCCATCATGACAGACAGAGCGTGCTTGATTTGATTTCTTACATCGCGAAGCAACATATTAGGGAAGGTCAAAGGTCGAAATGTCGAAAGGTCGAAAAATTATTCCCGAAATGACGTCAAACGGTCCGAACATTCCCGAAATGACGTCAAACGGTCCTGATGGCCTGATTATGCCCGCGGCGGGAAGATCACCTATTGGCCATGGCCCCGGCAACGATCACGTGTCATGTAAGAAATAATCATTGCCTTTGCTTTCATCGTACATGTATTGTACTGATTTTGTGATAATGAGTGAAGTGAACGACCGTGCACAGTAGTCGCAATTGTTGTACAGACAGGGAATACAATGTAGTCTAGACTCGACGGAGTACTCTAGTCTCCCTGGGACATGTAGCTGGTGGATCTACGACTACACTCGAATTCGATTTTAACCCTCTCCCGTTCAGTCTCCAACCTGGCCAATTTTCTGGAAGAAAGAGGCTTAATACTAAATCCTTCCAAAACCCACGTTCTGGCCCTCCATGCGTCCCGCAGGCAGCCCTTGTTACTTAACATAGAATGCAATGGAAATCCCCTAGCTCAGACCACAACTGCTCGATATCTAGGTCTACATCTCGACTCTCGACTCCCAGCTTCGGTGGGAGACTCAAGTTGCGACTATCACACGGAAGACCTCAGTCCCAGAAAGGCTGACGGCGCTCCGAGCCATTCGCTCCTGCTTAACTGAGCAACAAGCCCTGCTATTTTACAGATCGCTAATACTACCGGACATGTTATGGATCCGATACCTTCTTCTCGGTTCTCTCTGCTCACCAACGGCATCAGCTTTCGGTCCTCGACAAGCGATGTATCCGCTGCGTTGCCAACCAGCCATTCCCCTCCCACAAAGATCCCATCTACACCCGGCTTGGCCTCATCCCCATCATCCAAAACCCCCGGGCATTGTAAACTCCGCCTCCTCATGCTTCGTATCCACACCGCCAGAATTAGTAATCTCCTGTCCAAGCGCCTATGTCACGAGTCGCCAGACTACCGGAAGGCGTCACTCAAATGCGCACGTTGTCCCTGCCACCAGGCGAGTCTCTGGTGACTGTCGGCCGCTCGCTTCTGCTGTTAGATTATGGAACGCCCTGCCCCAAGAGTTCAAGTCCCTCGCCTGCCATAGATCATTCAAGAGACTTTTAAAGGTTTACTTTTATGGCTAGCCAGCATCTTATTGTCTTTTGTTCTTTTTCCTTTTTCCCTTGTACTTTCTTGTTCTTCTTTCTTTTTCTTTGTTTCCTTTCTCTTTTTGAGTATTTGCAGTCTAGTCTGTCACGGTTTTCCGACTGTGTTTTTCTCTCTTTCGTGGAGGCTTGCTTGTTGTATCCTTGGCTTTTGGCCGTTACTTTATCGCCATCATAATATTGGGCACCATTGCCCGTTTGGTCTGTGATACAAAATAAAATTTCAACAACAACAACAACAGACGTCTAGACGTCAAAGTATGCCAACCTTGTGCAGACCAGCTCAGTGCAAATAAAGTTTTGCCATACTTATACGCTATCTTCATGATCATGATTGTCATGGCAGCATGCTAGCAGTCCTCCTGCTAGCATGCTACACTACAGTCTACAGACGGTACAGTCATGATTGTAGTACCGGTAGTACAGGCCAGGCCCAGGGTATCCTCCTCATAGCGGATACGGTCCAGCTGAACATAAAAAATGATCAGATTCAGTAAAAATGTTCGATTGCCCATTTTATGATTAATATGCATTTATGGACAATCGAACATGAATAAATATTATCATTATTGCATGTGATGTGACATTATTGGTTTCAGATTATATTTTTTATTTATGTCAACAGAATGCCGCACTTGCCGCTACATTCGTCGGTGCACCGGTGCCGAGTCTGCGGAGCTAGCAGATAGCACCGTATAAATATCATCACCAAGAGTCCATATGGACTAATGATATCACTGAGCCCAACCGTGGACACCTTCCAGTATTTCTGTATTAGTATTGTACCTTCGTAGAAGAAGTAATTCACTTTTGTTTGTTGTATCGCCCGTGCACGCGTGTTTGGTACATTGTAGATTCAAAGTTCTTTCCCTTGTTCTTCTGAATGTAGGCATTTGTCACAGAAAAAGGCTTACTATGGCTGTCACCTCCTGCTTCAATTGAGCGGCGATAGTAGAACGACAGCTAGCAACTGGTTTGGCTTACTTTGTCTTTGACTGCGGGTCACGTAGCAGGATAGCGCCTACATGTAGTAGCTGTTTCACGCTCTGCTAGACTGCCACAAGCGGCTAGTCCGTCCTGTTGTGTGCCTGTCACGCGTCTAGTCTGTGTTGGTAAGACACATGTGGAGTAACTAGATATTCGCTAGAAGATGTCCTGTCCCGACAGCCCAGCGAAGGTGACGTCCTTTTTCGACGTCGAGGCAGCGATGAAGTCGCTCCTGTTCATGAACGGCTTGAGGAAGCAAGCAACACTGCAAACGAATAGCCAACAACAGGAGAAGCAGTTGGACCCGAGCTGCAGTCTGTGTGACGTCACTGTGCAAGTGAATGGCAGACAGCTGCCGGCACATAAGGTGGTGCTGGCATCGTGCAGTGAATACTTCGCCCGTGTGCTAACGACCGGCCCGCAAGCCGTGGCTAGTACTGGCGATAGAGCCGCTGGCAACGCCGCAACGGAGCACAACACCAGCACAGGCGTTGTTGACGTCACCAGCCAATTGTCGGAGGCAGAGCGAATAGAGGATGCCGCGTTTGATGCGCTTCTCGACTATGCATACACGAAGCGGGTGGATATATGCGAAGCGAACGTTCACGATATCTTCCACGCGGCCGACTGCTTGCGGTTCAGTGGTGTAAAAATAGCTTGTTTCAAGTTCTTGGAGCGTGCCCTGTACAAGGATAACTGCATTAAGATGTGGATGTTTGCCAAGGGGCACAGCGATGCGGCGCGGCTAGTGGATGCGTCGCGGCGCGTCGTCGAGGCCAACTTCAAGGCGCTGTGCAGCACGTTCGGGTTCCTGGAGCTGCCGCTCGAGAGCGTGGTGGAGCTGCTGTCCAGCGACAATCTGAACGTGTCCAATGAGGAGGAGGTGTATAAGGCGGCCGTGGACTGGCTGCATCATGGAGTGCACGATGAGCGCCGCAGCAATGCCGCCAGCATCATGGGTGCCGTGCGTCTCGAGCTGCTGTCGCATGAGTTTCTCATGAGCATTCTGGACACGGACAGTCTGATCACGGACGACTGCAAGTGCCTGGCGCAGGCGATAGCTGCGATCGAGATCAAGGTGGAGCACCAGGACAAGGTGCCGAGTAGCAGTGCCGTCCTGGACGAAGCGGGTACAACCCACGGCCGGCGATCATGCCATGGCATAGAGGTACGGTGCCCCCCCCCCCCCCCTCGCTGCACACTGGCACTAGTGCCAGTGGGGAGTTTTCACTCTACGGAATTACGTATGAAAGTAACGGAGGAACTGCACGTAATTTTCATACGTAAAAATCAGCGCTGTTGGGTTTCGCTCTACATTATATCTCCACGACTGCTAAGCATGCCCTGTTGCTACGGAGACGGGTTGGCTGCATGCACCACGAACCGAAACCGCGATTTCCATTTTGTTTTCCACGTGATGTGTACCTTGTGTTTCGCGCGGCTTGAATGTTGCCATGGATAAATCCGGAAAGTGCGAAAATATTTCAAGAAGTCCTACGGAGGTCCAAACGTAGGAAACAGCTTTCCTACGGAAATCCATAGGGAGATTTACGTATGAAAGTTGCCCTCACTCCCCGGCGCGTACGACATACGGATTTTCATACGTAATTACTTGGAGCGAAACTTCCCTAGTGTTTCTCTTACTGTCTTGCTAGGGTGCTTGCCTGTCTTGCTAGGGTGCTTGCCTGTCTTGCTAGGGTGCTTGCCTGTGTGTTTGGCTGATGCCTTATACTTCGAGCAAGAGGACATTAAATCCAGAGTGTGCAGCTCTGATGGGTTGCTGTCCCGGCGAGATTCCGAGATTCCACGATCTGAGTGATGTAGTACGTACACGCAGGACTCAAGCGGGTCTCTTTCTGCACAACTGCAGCTCAGTTGTATGCACTACACCACTCCCGCCTCAGATCTGCATGCCCGATATTACGTATTATGTAATCCCGGAATTTCGCCGTGACGGACACACGTGCAGAAAAAGTCAAAAGTTGCACACTCTGGGCTTCGTGTACTCTTGCTTCGAGTATTACATGTACTGCCTTTCATCCGTTACTGCGCTTCAGCTTGTGGTGTACAGCTGCAGCAGTTCCCGATTAACAAGATTATAATTATAATTCATGCCAGGTTGCACAGCTGTTCTTGGCTGAAGCTATTGGTGCCGGGATTGTGGCATAGTATGCAACAGCTGTGCAAACTGACTTGATCTCGAGAAGGAGCAGAATGCCCCTTCTCGCTCCCCCCCCCCCCCCCCCCGTTTTATAATTCTATTGATTGTGGAACGACCGAACGAATCTTGATACAGTAAAACCTGTAATGGCGACCACTCGACCATGGCGACCGCTTTTCCTTGTCACGGACGCATGCACATTCAAAACAGCTCGGATAAGGCGACCACTCGCTCAGCGCGACCAACGACCACCCACCCGCGACCGAGTTGCACCCTACTTGTCATGCAGGTTCTCACACGCAACGGGAACACTTCGTGGTAGTAAAATAGATATTTCGCCAACAACAAAAAGACAACTCTTTCTCTTCCTTTCGAAGAACCGAACTCATTACTTGCCGAGCCTCATCGAAAAACAAAACCTGAAAAAGCCCTACACTACACTAGTACGGGATTCAGCGCAGAGCAAAAAATAATCATGAGTCATTATACAATGCATGCAGTGTAGCCGTGAAAACTGGTGAATAAAGAATGCAGTAGGTTGGCAGCACGTGACCCGTCGTACCGCAGTACGCGACGGCGTCGCGGCTTAGAAAATGAAAGGAAACACTGCGAGAAAAGACAAAACGAAAATACATGTCCCTTTGTCAAAACTTAGAAGAAACAAACAAAATGCGACCAAGAATCATTTTGAGAGTCAACGTCGATACTCTTGTGCAGTTGTGCAAATTCTTGTCTTGCACTGTGCAACGCAAGAAACTAACAACCTACGAAATAACTCGTGAACTAACTGTAGGCTAAATCACTACATGTACGCGAAATTGCGTTCCAAAATAAACTGAATTTCTGAGACATTTCATATTTCACATCCTGAGAGAAATATTGAATAAATAGTAAACACTTCATAAAAAACACATGGCCACGACGGCCTTCCCAACACTACTATACTAGTACTACTTGTACACAAGTTCATGTACATGCACACATTGCACTGTGCACCACACATGGTAGATCTACACATCAGCGCAGGAAGTGTAGAATGATGTACATAGTGAAAAGCCTCTTGTACAGGCAAAGCGAATGTAATACATGTTCCACAAAATCTCAATACAAAAAAAATGATCAAAACGCCAAGAATCTGAAGAAAAAGACTCAATCCAATCCTGTGTTGCCATAACGGGAACTGAAACCCAACACAAATCTAAGAAGATGGCAAGTACAGATAGTTGGCGGTCACGCGGCAACAAAATCACCAAACGTAAGCACAAACAATGTTGAAATATGGTTGCAGGAGACAAACTACAAGTAAGCAAGCAACGCATACAAAGAAACAATCAGACAGTTAACACATTAATATCGTCTAGGCCGCTGACCTGAACAGGCAGCAGTGCAGCGGTGCAAGAAGCCTACGGCCATACGACCCCCTGCACCCGCGGAAGCATGTTATGGCCCAACGGAGCAGGGTAAATGACAGGAGGCTCCGAAGCTCACCCATTACTACCAAGTAGGCAAACTCGCTATGCTTCTCCACCAGTTGCGATGCCAGTGCCTTCAAACACAATGTCGTCTCTTTACAGCACATGCTGGAGGTACTGAAAACGAGAGGAGTGAAAGCTCCACGGTCTACTCTGTTCACTCTGTCACAGTATGTTCTTTTTTTGGCCTTTTCATGTGCCTGGAGCTGACTCAGGACTTCCGAACGAGACAGCAGGGAGGCTCTCGGGTGAGTGACCCGTACATAAAAAAAAAAACATCCTGCTGCCTCGACCAAAAGCCCCGGGCCCGAATATCCAGGCTGGCTCCTGCTGACCGGTTGGCTGACCGGCCTGGCAAATCCTCTCCCTGATATGGGAGCAGAGTCGGCTCGGTTTCCACATCCTTCACCACCTCCCGCATTACCTCCGCCAGGAGATCTCTAATCTCATTGTGGCGAGCGATGGGCTATCCCCCGCATCGGTACGCTAGAGCATGATCCGTGGTGAGGTCAGCCCCCCCCCCCCCCCCCCCCCACACACACACAGGTACTGGGGAGACCATCCAAAGACAGACCGTAACGCAGGCACAGTGCATCACGGAAATCGGCTTTGTTCAGAATTGTTACTCTGTGCATGAGGGAGGGAGGTGTCATGAGCCAGCTGGAGACTCCTTTTTCACCAGTCGTCTCCAGAAGCAACTGCTGTTGTGGTGACAGGGTGCCATGAAGGTTCCGGGACTGATCCTCATGTTCCCTCAGCTGCACAGACCGGAGCTGGCGGGCAGTTTCACGCACTGCGCCAATGGCGTCCATGACCGGATCAGCCTCAAAGAAGACAATCGCTGAATCCGGGACCGCTGTCAATGCGGCAGCAACACCGGAGGGCTGCGCGCTTGAATCCACTGCAGCAGGGGGGAAATCACCGGCCTGCCGCCTCGAGGCCGTCACCAAGCGAGATCCGTCAGTCCGGGGTGCTGGCACCAGCAAGCGCAGGTACTTGAGCTGTCGGAGCAGCGTAATCCGGCAGCACAAGCCGGACCAGCGGTGCTGTGGTCCTGATGGAAGCATCGTGCTCGTGTGGCGCCAGGGAGCTGAGAACGGGAATGGCCAGACCACCAAAACGAATCATAGAGTCAGAGTCATAAATTTGTACCCCAATCCACTTACGGACCAGCTATGTTATCAAAGCCCTATCTACGTACTCTATGTAGACAACTTTCCGCAAGTGGAGTGCAAACTCGCGAATTCACGGGTTTTTCCCGCCCACTAACGTAAAGTTGCTCAACTTTACGTAGTGCGGAACCTCTCTTATTTGTGGCACCTTTTTGCATTAAAATCCAAGGGTAAAACTTACTCACTGGTTTGAGGTAAAACTTAAAAAAGAAGAAATGAGAACCAAGGAACTACAAGTTACGCTATAATGGCCACAAACACCACCAGTTCAGAGCCAAGGATTAATTTATAAGAAGAAATGAGGGCCAAGGAACTACAAGTTGCGCTATAATGTCGCTATAATGTCGACTTACACCACCAGTTACTTTACACTCAGCTCATGCGATAACATCGCATGATACTGACCAACGGTACTCGGTACTTTCAGCTCTTGCTCGTCTTGATTGCGCTCACCATCTCCTCCTATGTTGTCATATAACTTAGAACCTTCCAAGTTGGAAGGCTGTTGGAGTGCGCATCCAAGATGTGCTAGAGCTGATTGCCAGTTTATATAATAGGTGTAGAACGTCAGTACCGTTGGTCAGTGCCGTGCAATGAATGTCGCATGAGCTGATTGTAAAGTAACTGGTGGTGTTAGTCGACATTATAGCGCAACTTGTAGTTCCTCGGTGTGACTTGTAGTCGGGGAAATACGGTACGTCGTCTGTGTTTTCGTGTCAAGCGTTCGATGTTCCAGCCACGTCCTATGTTGTCCTGGCTCAGTATTCGGACGCAAATGTCGCTTACCCCACAATTTGAGCGTGGTATAAATGGCCCATTACAGAACTTCTGTGTACTTGCTCAGCATGATTAATGCAGACAATAGTAAGAACAGTGTACAGCGAACTCAATGATGTAAACAAATGGGTTGTGAAAAGGGCTGCGCCATGTCAATTACCACAACTAGTCCGTCCTGGAGGTGGGTTAGGTATTTCGTGAATTGTATGAACTGAAAAAAAAGCATGATTCCCTTTGTCTGCAGGAGATCTGCATACCGCGACAATCTGGCGGTCGACTGGGTGTCGGTGTTATGGGAGGTGTCGATCGGCCAGGGCATGTTTTCTACAAGGGCAGCAGTCCATGTCTGCGCGTAACAGAGATACATTCGGACGGCGCTGCTTCGAATAGCAACGTGCGCGCCGGTGATCAGATCTTGTCCATCAACGGCCATCCAGCAGAGCACCTGCGCCATGACCAAGCCATCGCTCTGCTCTCCAAGCCCAGGGATCGCATCACACTGGTTGTGCGACACGAGCCGCCTCCGCCCGGCCTACAGGTGAGAGTGTTCTCTGCACTGCAGCTACTGCCCGTTGTCCTCTGCCATGCAAGGGAGACTATACTCTATGCTCCCATGCACTGCAGCTACTGCCCGTTGTCCTCTGCCATGCAAGGGAGACTATACTCTATGCTCCCATGCACTGCAGCTACTGCCCGTTGTCCTCTGCCATGCAAGGGAGACTATACTCTATGCTCCCATGCACTGCAGCTACTGCCCGTTGTCCTCTGCCATGCAAGGGAGACTATACTCTATGCTCCCATGCACTGCAGCTACTGCCCGTTGTCCTCTGCCATGCAAGGGAGACTATACTCTATGCTCCCATGCACTGCAGCTACTGCCCGTTGTCCTCTGCCATGCAAGGGAGACTATACTCTATGCTCCCATGCACTGCAGCTACTGCCCGTTGTCCTCTGCCATGCAAGGGAGACTATACTCTATGCTCCCATGCACTGCAGCTACTGCCCGTTGTCCTCTGCCATGCAAGGGAGACTATACTCTATGCTCCCATGCACTCCTCTCTACTGTAAAGCCCATAATATATAACGAAGTGCTAATTCTAACGAGTTAACGAGGAGAAATCTGTCGTTAAAATAGAAACCGTTATACAGGAATCGATACATATACTGTCCTATGGAGCGTTGAGAATGAGTAAGAGACCTTTGGTTCACGTAAACCAGTCAATTTTGGGAAAATGTTATATAGATAAAAGCGTTACTCAATCTGCGGACAGAACTGTCTTGTCCATTGTGGACTCATCAGCGCAGCACAGAGAAAAATAGCAATGAAAAATAAATGTTCCAAAGCCAGATTTAAACCAGGCCCGAACGTACCACATGCGCCTCGTTAGAACAATGGCTTTTGCAGCATAACAGTTACTACCACCACTGTACACTGTAGTGTACTGTTTAGTCCCATGCATGAGCCTGGCACAGACTGCTCACCACCTGGAGGTGTTTAAACTCACTCGGCATCCCCGTCGATGCCACTGTCCACACGACACCCAAGTCTTGAAGCTCTACAGTACTTCACACGCGCAGCATTAGTATGTGTTTAGTGCTGAATGACATAGGGCAAGCCATTATGTCTTGCATGTGCTGGAAAGCACTGCTTTAAGTACTCGTACATGTGCATTCATGGTTATGGGACTTATCACAAATCTTCAAACCTCATATGCCCCTCTTAGCTGCCGTTAAGTTAGAGCGCATAGGGTTTTAATTAAATCTTTTTAAAAAAGAGAGTAGAAATCAGAAGCGAGCTCCAAGTGATGGGCCCTCCTGTTTTCAATAACTCCCTGAGTGGGTGCTGGGATGTCATATGGTGGATGTGTTGTGGATGACTTGGTGGATTCTTCTCTGTGTCGAATCATGTGATGCTGCAGCAATTTAACCTGTCTTCTAATCGTGGACAGGGCTTCGGTCTGTGCATCGAAGGCGGCGCCAATGCACCTTCAGGAAACCCGGAGGATCCGGATGACGACGGGATTTATGTATCTCAGGTATTCAACACTGCCTGCTGCTGCTGCTGTTGTCTGACTCTAAGAATGAAGCAAAATCAATTTAGGCAGGCATACTGGTTGGTATTCCTGTGGGAGAAAGCGGATATGTTCTGCATGCGGCTGAGTCGTGTGAATGTCAACCGCAGGGTAGAATTTTCCGTCAAGGGAGTCCGGCCATGTGTGAGTGTCCTTCTTTCTTTTTATCCATCTATTTATGTAAATAATCGACGCGGAGACAACAATTTTATAATAGCAATAAAGAGAACAAATTCTGCTGTCATCTTTCAGTCACGACATTCCACTGATGATTGTGATAAGAAAATCGATTTTGGTAAACTTTCATGACTTCATTGTAGTGTGGCGATGACAGCAAAATTTGTTCTTTTTTATTGCTATCATCTATTTATAATTTTATTTATTTGAAATGGCCATGGCCAGTGGGTCGAACATCAAACCCTTTGACGTGAAACCCGCTGCATCAAACAAGCATTCAAAACATGCATTGTATCTTTGCGCTGTCTGTACCATGCCTGTAGATCTTGCCAGGAGGGGCTGCAGAACATTCCGGAATGCTCAAGGTTGGTCATCGCATTCTACAGGTGAGAGCTACAACTCCAGCAGCTCATTGCACCACGGAGCAGCCGTAGGTGATGCCGAGTCATCCTGAATGCATTTTTTAATAGAGGCAGGGAATTGTGCAATCTACTCAAAACGTTTACTTTCAATAGTAAGAACGACGTTTCGGTACACCATGACGACACGCACTTTCTCATCTCCTGTACTTTGAAGATCTAATAAAAGATCTCCATCGTCACCGTTTAGTGGACCGCGTTTGTTGTTGTTTTGCGTTTTGGACCGCTTGTAGAACATCCTGTGCTTAGCCAAACCTGTGAATATTGAAAAAATCATTGAAATTGTGACTCGTTAGCAAATCTTACAGTATCGAGCTGGGTTTTTAGCTCACACTGGACAGTACAAGAATAGCAGTTCCAAGGGATACATCCTTTGTACATGCATTGATAGGCTACAAGGAAAACTAAATTTAAAAAAATACTTAGTAAGTCCCTTCCCGTAGCTGCACACCACAAGGACTACAAGACAGTTTGAGCAGCAGATTTCGCCAGTCCTGACAACATGTTAGTGATCCTTTTCTTTGGGTGATATTTGTACAACTGTGCAGGCAAACAGTATCAGTATGCTTGGAATAAGTCACGCCGAGGCGCTGCAAATACTGCGCCAGTCAGCCGAACGCCTACATCTCATGGTGTGCGACGGGTTCAAGTCAGCCCTAGTGCCGCCCGTTGGTGATAGTGCCGAGAGTCGGCGGCAGCAGGTCAGCGAACACTATCGCAAGCTGTGCTTCAATATTCCCGAATATGCCAACACCGTACCGTACTAGAATGCTACATTGTAGAATGCCTGCTGAGTAGCGTTACAACACGTCTACTTAGCTAGGTTAGGCTAACGCTTAGCTCTGTGTCGGCATACAGGCCAGAGACCGGCTGCCGAGCTACACATGATAACGAAATTTACACTTGATCTATTTCCAGCAGGGAGTCGTAAAATATAAAAATTCGTAAAATACGACCCCCTGATTTCCAGCTGTTGCTGCTTTCATTCAGTGCTGCCATATTTCGCCAATATTTAATCAGCCCAACAACCAAAAGAATTCGCTTTTTTAGCCAGTTATAATTATTATGATTAGGAACATGTCAGCAGGAGCTAACCCCTCACTCATCACACATCTTAAATGCAAAGTTCATCCTCCAAGCTTTTCTCGCCCAGCACATCAATGGCTCCACACACTTTTTGTCTTTCGTCCTCCAAACTTGTCTTGCGAAGCGAATTATCAATGGCTCCACACACTTTTTTTGTCTTTCAAAACGATTGACATTTTCAGTATCCTCTAAACTTCTGATGATTCTTTAGAATTTCATGAAGAAGAATAGGAAGAACTCCCAGAGCATTCTCGTATCAATGTAAATGTACAAGAAGCACCTACATGTACATGTCAGTCTGTGTAAGCACCACCAGGCGGCATACCCCACATGAGAGAAGAGTGTGGCCAGCACTGGGTGGGTGCTGCTCGGTGATGAACAGAATCAGGAGAAGATACCTGCTTCAAAGTATATTATGCAAGCTATGAAAGTATTAACGACGAACACCTCGCGTAGCGAACTGCAGCACACTGCACTGGCGTGACGGCATGAATGTAACGGATGATGTAACAGTTCGGGCCAGTGAAGATGTGAACGAACAAGCAAGAAGCTGGCATACCGCCAGTAGTAGAATCTAACAATAGTGCAATCATGACCGTTACAAAAGCAAACAAATGGTGGCTCTAAACTAAGTTACTTGCACGCTCGCAAAGCTGACAGTTGAAGAAACGGCTGGAACGCGAGTACGGGTGTAGGGGACCTATACGTAGGGCAGGGTGGCACCACGGTGCCCACCATGGCTCACACAACGCAAGTGTGAAAAAGAGAAGAAAAAAGATACTGCATGCAAGCACATACGAATCTACGTACCTGTACAAGAATATAGTTGATGTAAAGAAACCAAGACTGGCTCTGGTAGAGATAACTGAGCCAGTGACATTGGCAGGGCTCACCGGCGGCAAACGTTAACGCCAGAGAAAAGCTCAAGAAGGAAACCATGCTGCTACTACCGTTTCTTTGCGCCCTTACCCCGACCTCGACCAGCAGATGGCCCGCTACCGCGGCCAGCCTTGGCCTTGGATGAAGATGCCAAGACACTAGCTCCAGATTGCTTGGGTTTCTTCTGAAGGATGGCAGCAACATCAACTTCCTCCTCGTCAGACTCGACCGGGTTCTCTCCGTCTTCACCGCCGCCGTCAGGCTGATCGTCAAGGCCCGCTCCGGCCTTGGTCTTGCGCTTCTTTGTCACGGTTGACTGCACCGAGAAAGTGGTGTTGGGTGCTGTCTTGTTGAAGTGCCGTGTAAATGCACTCTTGGTCTACGATGGCAAACAATACATTGCAAACAAATCATGTATTGTTAGATCCATCAAGTGACATGGTGTAGTGCAAATTCACAAAAAATGCCATGCAAAAATAGCAGACAGAAACAGAAGTGACATGTACACAACATAAGTTAGTTAGGTGAGTGGGGCACATGGGCACAAACAAAGCACACAACTCCTGACTGTACAATGTCATCAAGTAGCACAACTGACACAATCAAGCACACCAGTAGAAGCTAAACTACAAGTATCGTAAGTACTCAAGTACAGCTGGACACCACCATCTTTACACTGCATACTCAGGGGCGGATCCAGAGATCTCTACAGGGGGGTTCCGGTTGAATCTTTAAATTGAACAGCCAAACTATTATGGAATCAGATGTGCGGTTGACACTTGTAATAACGACAATCCGATTGTGTTAGTGGGAATCGCATGCTTTTAAAACACACTACGGACATAATAATTATTATATTTTTCCATCATCGACCACACCACAACTGCGCTCTCCAGCCGGCCTCGACACGTTGCCACAGCACACCACCACTGCACCATCGCTGGAGACTGAGTCGGAGCGCAGTTGTGGTGTGGTGGACGATGGAAAACCTGTACAGGGCCAAATGCTGCTGCTTACCCTACATTGTATATTATTTAGTACGGAAGACCCTTTCAACTTCTTGTAAAGATCAAATATGCAAGCCATGGGTACGTTGAGAGCCAGGAATGCCGAAATGACAACTAAGTTACCTTCCCTGTCCATTTGTGCTTTCGGAAATTTTTGGCATTTTTACGATGCGAAATGCTCTATAGTCACAGGACAAGAGCATCGTCTTCACTTCAGTGACAGAAACAACAATAGCGGAACAGTGTCGACAATTGTACAATCCTTCCAATGTCATCTGAAACACATCTGGCGCAGCACTCCGTTCCTGCGGAGGAACAACTAGTCACTACTGCATGCTGCAGCAGGTAGAGATTACTGACTTTGCTTGGATGTCGGAGCCCTCATCTTGATAGGCGTCAGCCTTTGGGTAATCCTGAAATAAAGATTATTATATTCTGAGGAGCTTGAACTCTACGTGTACGGTTCGAAGTTCGTTGAAGAGTGTCAGTACTCGGAACATCCTTTCTCTTCTGCAAAAAACTTGTCCAAGGAATACTGACCACACCACACCGATCCTGAGCAGCAGTGAATGACAGCGCCAATGGAGGTAAGTTTGGATCGTTTCGAAAGATCAAAAAGGAAACAACCACCCAATGTTGTCTACAGACTGGTCAGTGTCCGTTTGTAAATCACGGATGTGAACACCAGTACAGACTACTATCCGTACAGTATCGATCTACCGCACGCGCATGCAGTGCACTGGCTGACAGTCTGTGCTCCTTGACTCAGTGACTGCACTGACTGTGATCGGACGGACGTCCTTTTGTGCACACATGTACATGCTATTTTTCTCAGCCGCACACTTTGCAAAATTTAGGGGTTCCATGGAACCCCCGGAACCCCCCCCCCCCCCCCCCCCTGGATCCGCCACTGATACTTTTTTCATAACTTATCGCTTGATGGTTCAAAAACCATTTATCTAATTCGATTCAAGTACAAACAGCAGGCAACAGGAGAGTCTTAACATTTAACATTAGACTTCCTGAATTAGTCCAGCCACTGCCACCATGTGAAGCATGCTGTGCACACTGTACAGCAAGGGCCTCGGTTACAAATACGGCGTACTCGTACAGTGTACGCACCTTTGTCTCAAGCTTAGAGTACATGTCAGCCTTGGGTGGGAAAGTGCACAGCTCGGCCAGTGAATCCAAGTCTTCACGGAGCAGCGAGTATGCCGTCATCTTGTCCACACTCTCTGGAACACCCGATGAGCCCTGCAGACCAGCCAACCCACACATGCACATGTACAAAACCACATGGAAGAGATACGAAGCAGGTGAGTGCAAAGTCATCTATCATCCCTAGACAAAAATAACAGCAAACGGATGCAGCAAAGTATTACACGCAACTTGGTTGCTTATATACAAAGCCATGTAGATAATCGATTCAGCTACACAAGTAAGAAAGGAGAGTGAAGACAGGATAAACCTTTTTGCATCCAGCACAGCACGCAGACACAGGTATGATTTTCATAGTACAAAAAAACTAACAGATAAGACCCCCCCCCCCCCCCCCCACACACACACACGCACACAAACCACACACCCACAACGCTTGCAAAGGATCATACCTGGCTGGCCAGTGGCCGCAGTATGGCGTTGTACAGATGTGGCGCCATGTCCAACCCCATGTCCACTTTACTGACTGTTGTCCTAGTAACAAGACATGCAAATCATACACAACACACAGAAAACCAGACCCATTCTAGCGGTTCACGGCGCTGACTCCACCATGGAACAAGATATCACAGACCGTTGCAATATAACATAGGGAACTTCCTCTAATTCGAGGCGCCAATAATCTCCAACAAAACGCCCAATTATCCCGAAGACATGCACTCAGATTGGCCCGTACTGAGAAACACTTTGTTCAAAGCAAATCATCAAACTAGAAAATGTTCAATTTAGCAGCATTTACTGTAGCAAAGTAGAGCAGAAGGTTCGGTACATCACAAACTATTTTCAGAATTTTTCTGTGTTATTCTCGGCCTGTAAAAGGATTTAGAAGACCTAAATTTTCAACACCCTAACACTAACATCAAGAGTACATAACCCCCCAGAGTGTGCAACGCCTGATCCAGCTCTGCATAGGGTCTTGGTCGAGCGTAATCGGATCTTCTGATGTCATGCGTACACTCCACACCAGCTCAAGGCCGGTCTCGAGGCAGAGCATCGTTGTTTTTGATCCGAGAGTATCTGCGACTCCCCGGGTTCCCCTCAGATGTGTACGGTATTATGACGCAAAGATCCGATTACGCTCGACCAAGACCCTATGCAGAGCTGGATCAGGCGTTGCACACTCTGGGGGGGGGGGGGGTATGTACTCTTGCTAACATACATCATCCATGATCCAGCAGGATACTGCTTCTCTATACAAAAAAAGGCGAACACCAAAAAATTCTGAAATTACATAATGTTGCGTACAAAGTGCTGGGCGGTGATTTTCTCTCTCACAAGTAAACAAATTAGCAATGATGGGCGCCACTGTATGGCTCCAGGCACAACTAACAATGAACTATGCACTTGAACACAAGTTACACAACGCTGCTTGGGACTATTTCGCAGACTGTACAACACGAAGCAACGAGTACATAATTGGTGACCAGATGCAAACAAACAGCTCCAGCCGTGCCTTACGTTAGTCGACTGTGAAGAGAGATATCTTGCAGCAGGCGCTGGCACTTGGACTGCTTCGAGCGCTTTCCCAGCCAGGCCGGAAAGTCGACCTGCGCACTGAGCGAACCGCACATGATCGTGCCGGGAACTACGGTGCTCAACATGCCCTACAAGCACACAGCAGCATACAGGACAACATGATGCAGGAGGATTGAATTCGAGCTGACTGCAGACACCGTGGTGCGTTGTGATGAATGACTATGAGCACATTGTAAAGCATAGAAGGTCTGCTCTTCTTTGGATCATTGGCTCTGTGTGGTACTCAAATTAAAGCACAACGGAAGCAGCGTGTGGAAACGCAGCAGGTAACACATCTGCGAACCACTGGTTGTACAGTGTAAGTAAAGCATGACACCTACTTGTATAATAGCTTCACAGCGGTGCAACCGACACATTCTGCTGCAGCTGCATTCTGCACTCTTGGCACAGGTGGAAGATTCCTCCAAAAGGATGGTGGGGACTCGCGATATTGTTTTAAAAATTCAATAAATTGCAATTGAGTAAACGATTGAACACAATAGTCACTGCCCACCTAAGGAATGTCAAGGACGATTGCTCACACCAGCAAGAAAAACAACTTCGGACGTATCCCAAAGAGTAATGTACAAAGCGCATACCTGCAGTTGCAACAGGCCCCAGTTGTTTGAGGACCGAATGGTCCTCTCCACCAAATCAGACCGACTTATCGATTCCGCAGCATTAGCCAAGCAGTCCAGAGTCTTCAGCTGGGAGCTGCCAAGACATATGAACATATAGAGTACACCACAAATGAATCAATGATTTACATGAACACACAACTCTGTCCCCGTCACAACAACATTCTTACTTAGCCGCACGAGGTCGCACTTTGGGATACATCTCTTGCACAAACAACGGCATGAGAGAATAGTCCTGGAAGAAGAGATCGAGCTGGTCGCTGATCGGTTTCTTGACCGTATCAGGGGAGAACACCCGGCGCACCACTTCAAACGGACTCTGCGTACCAGAGACAAGAAGAAGAAGAAGCACACGTACATACAAACATGAACACGTTGACACATGTTGACCCGCAATACCAGTACTAGTGTGCTATTGAGGGACTAGAAGCAAAAAAACCAGGAGCATGGAAAGCAGTTCTTCCATATAGTGATGTGAATACTGAATATGCCAGTTAGATGGATATCGGTACACATATATTCATAGCTGGTAGCAGCTAACACAAGGTAAACAAATACTGTTTCCAGGGCAAAAAAAAGAGCATGAGAATTCTGTTGAAGCACGCATGAGCAGAACCCATAGTCGCAAATCGTAGCTTCACTGCAAGCTACGCCATCATAGGATTTCAAATATTTTCATTGACCACGGTATTGTACCATCTTCATGTGCTTCTCTGCTTTGCTCGAGTCCTCCTTAGCCTGGTCGTAGGAGACGGCGCGATCCTTGATAGTCCACAAGTACATGTGATGCAGTACCTACGTGCCAGAGAAAACACGCACACACACACCAGCAACCACACCAACACACACACACAGACGATACTTGTCAATACATGACGCTTGCACGGAGAGAAGACTGCAGTAAGCAACCAGCGCGGCTGATGCACGGGCGCAGTGATCTTGCCCTGCTGCCCACTGTCAACAGCTTGAACGGCAGGGAGAGGGGTTCAGCATTGTAGCCCAGGCCGTTCTTATTTTCATATACTGGAGTCAATGCGCACTCGCCACGAATACATCGGTACACTGCGTTTGGTGAAATTCTAGCCTGTTCATACTTTGGCGCTACGTTCTTCAGTGCCCGGCAATACAGTACCCAGTGTGTTATCACTGTAATATGTACACTGAACCCCACCAGCCAGACCACCAGCTGTACATACACTGAGCACATACACTGACTACCACTGTCAAGAAACCAAACAGGGTCAAACCCACCTGCCTGACGTCGTGGTTGGCTGCATTTATTATCAGGTCGAGCGCAGGTGGCTTGATCGAAATGCCTTCCCGGTACGCAACAGACAGCATTGCAGCCTGGAGAGAGAGAGAGAGAAATAAATAAAGAGAATAAGATCGAGCAGGAGCTGATAAGAGAAAATCTAAAACAAAGCATGCGCACACGTTGAAGTAACGCAAATATACAAGTCGGCAAAAACTGACCCGAATCTGCTCCACTCGAGGCCGTTGGAAGCGCAGGTCAAAGCAGTAGTTGGCTAGAGAGCGGATCTTCTGACTTTGCCTGTCGTTGCACATGCAGATTATCGGCATCTTGGTGGACTTGATGAGTGCAACCAGCTCCTGAAATGATCACACACACAATGTAGCCAACAAGATGATGCACAGTTCTTTGTGGAGAGTTGCACGCAAGTACCATTGGAGAGGATGAAAAAATGGCTACACAAGTAATGAAAAATCCAGGGCCAACTCGCGGACAACGATTCTCACACTAAAAGCCAAGAGATCAACAACCCACAGATTGTATTGTGGTTAATTATGGTTGCGCAAAATGCGTGCATCGATCTTGCCATACAATGCCAATAGCAATACAAGCTATCGTTCACACAAGCGACACTTGCTGCAAAGCAAACCGTTCACCCACCTGCATTCCACCACGATCCTCGTTGCCTGCCATACCATCCACCTCGTCCATCAGCAGTGCATTGCGTTGCTGGTCGTCCGTGCTGCTCTGGGCGGCTAAAACAGATAGCAAATACGAAAAGCACAACAGAAAACATTCCTTGGTTTGTGGGAAAGGTGCAAATGAAAAAAGAAAAGAAAGGTGAACAATGCTGGGCAGAACACAGTAGCTTGAAAAGCCATCGACGACATGCTTAGTCGCAGTACGACTACGTATCAACACCAGGGCAAAGTGTGAATACGCGCACAGAGAAGCATGGCGTGCCACCAGGAAGTCAAAACATCTACTAGGAGACGACACAAGAATTATAATAAAATTCTTGTGTCTCGCACATCGTTTCTCAGAAACGATGTGCGCATCGACCCCCGGATTCGGAAGTTCTACGTGATTCGCGATGTATGCAACTCGCGGTCACGACCCTGGCCTGCCGACCGCAAGCACGGCACAGACAAGAGATGCCACATAAATATGTCATAATTTAGAGTAGGCGTGAAACGGTTCCATGTTTTTCATGTTCGGGTACCCGAATGCCAGCATAGTTTCCCACGGTTCGGGTATCGGTTCCATGCACTCTTTTCTCCAGACCGACCAAATGCGTCCGTGACAATTATTTTCAAGTTAGAAAACATTTTTACGAGCAAGAACGAGACATCGGAGAGTCCATGGTCCATGTGCGAAGAAGGTACGCTCGTAGTGACCAGGATCGATAGGAGAACCCTTTGGATCCATGGAAGGGCGGTGATCATAAGGTAAGACATTTAAAAATCTTGAGTAGACTTGGCATGTACATGTATTTGTACGAGAACAAGATTTTTCGAGTTTCGGTTCGAAATTTGAAGGAACGGGTACCCGATTCTTTTCAGCTGGCGGTTCCAAAACTGGTTCCTTACCCGAACCGTTTCACCCCTAATTTAGAGTTACAAATTACAATCGCCGGTGTCATCTCCATAGATGCTATGACTTCCGGCTTGCCACCTACCACAAAGCCCTGCATTGCTGTTTACTGACAACATAATTGTACTTTCAAGTAGGCAAGTCGTGATTGTACAAATACATATGAAGGACATGCTGGGCAAGTATAAATGCGTACATATATATATATATATACACACAACAACAAGGTTGTCAATTTCATAATACTAAAAGCTTTTCACCCATTTTCATCAGTAGTTACATGGGAATGAGCAAGAACGAAAACGAAGCCAGAATTTATACTGGGGGTAGAGAATCAGCAAGAATATTCTTACGCGCCTCAAGTTCACACTACACTACCATAAGAATGTATGGAGCAGTGGAAAAATGCGGGAAACAACACATGAGGGGAATGCAGTACCAGAACAAACACGTGATAAAGTTGTCAGTCCGGTTGCAGCTCCATACATTCTTATGGTAGTGTAGTGTGAACTTGAGGCGCGTAAGAATATTCTTGCTGATTCTCTTCCCCCAGTATAAATTCTGGCTTCGTTTTCGTTCTTGCTCATTCCCATGTAACTACTGATGAAAATGGGTGAAAAGCTTTTAGTATTATGAAATTGACAACCTTGTTGTTGTGTGTATATAAATTTTGTTCGCCTACATCTCTATTTAAATATATATATATATATATATATATATGCACACGTACACGTGCACACAGATACATACTTGCACACAAACTAGGCCGGTCTAGGAAGCTCGAGGTAGAGTGCTCAATGTACGAATGTACAGAGCAGTATACACACACAACAGAGGCGAAAGGCTGTCTTAGCTGTAACTTAAAGTTTCACGCATCGGAGCGATCATCATACAGCAGCATTCACTACTTGCACACATGTACAGTCAACTTCGCTAATAACGACTGCGGATATAACGACAATTCGCGAATAACGACAGCATTTCCATGCCCAGAGCAAAGTCCCTTCCACCTGTAATACATGTAATGAGACTTCGGGTATAACGACACTTCGCGAATAACGACACTTTTTTGATGCCCCGCCGAGTGTCGTTACCGTAAAGTACCGCCAGAGCGCCCCACCATCTCATCCTTTCGTGGTCGTATTGTGGAGGTGGTCTGCTGTCTGTAGGTCATACGGCATGAACCTTGTACACATATTGCACGTTTTGCAGTCAATCCGTACCTTCGAGCGGACACAAGCTCCACACAAAAACCTGCCAAGTGTGACCTTAGTACACTAAGATTCTCACATCGTACAAATTTCGTTGCACTCTGCCATACGATCTTCCTTCCTCTGGCTGTAAAATCAAGGTGGGGCGCTCTGGCGAGACGGGGCGCTCTGGCGGTACTTTACGGCAGGGCATAGATTAACGGCCGGACATCGGACATTTTCCGGCCATTTTCGGCCACTGACTGGACGTTTTCAATTTCACCGAACATAGTGTCCGGTCAAAAAAGTTAAAAAAAGAGCAGCGACCTTTCGACCTTTTTATGCAGAGTTGGGCTTTCTTCGGAGCTTCGTGCCAAATGCCACTTGCATATCGTACAACTAACACGTATACCGTCGTCTCAGGTGTAGACTTCACTATATTAGAGAGGTTCTACTATACGTGAAACGTAGAGAAATCACGTAGAGAGCAGGTGTCTGGGGTAGAGTCTACGGCTTCGCGTGTTTTGGCTCCAGATTTCTACGCGGAGATGAGGTTCTCTACGTTGTGGCACACGCAGAGAAAATGCGTACGGATTTGCTGGGTATCGATCAACTGCATGCAGAAAACTGCCAAATATGGAAGGGGAAATTCCCAGTACACATTCCACGTGACTTCTCTAGGTGAAACATCGAGCAGAACAGCATTTCTTTACGTTACGGGAACGCGAAGAAAGTTCGCGTGATTCTTTGCGTCGCGTTCCCAACACGTAGAGCAGAACCTCCCTATTATTTACTTGATCCGCCTGTAGCAACGCGTTGTTGCTACAGTCAATTCAGATACGTCCACATAATGAGTCATTGTGAATATACTTCAGTACTACTACGAAAAAAAAGAAGAAACACCCTGAAAATGTGTTGTGGAAAATGTCCGGGCATGTCCGGACAGATTTCAAAACGGAAGGACATTTGTCCGGGCTAAATGAAATCCTTAAGCTATGCCCTGTACGGTATAAGCGAAGTTGACTGTATACACATACACACACACATGTACACACATGTACACACATGTACACACACACATACACACACACAGCAGCAGCAGCAGCTCAAACTTACCACATTGGAACATGCCATTGATAGTCTGGTTGTCCAGGCTCTGGGCGACGACGGTTTGCAGGGATTTCTTGCTGCGCGTGTCACTCGCATTCAGCTCCACATAGTGAAATCCAGCCTCCTGCTCTCACCAAGACACATCAGCACACGTACACACGTACACATGTACACACACACACGCACACACAATCCATGCAGATGAACACGTCATGCAATGAGCACAACCATTTAACTCACAACGGGTGAAATGTTACTAGGAGCTATGTATACACAATACAGTACTAGAATCCTGGACCAGAAACAACCTGGCTCATACTGATTCACAGAAAGGGAGAGAAGGGGTCCGACGCTGACAAATGACTCGTCGAAGTTGGAGGCCAGGAAATGAATATGATTAACGTATACACGTAGTAGGGTGGTGGTACACGTATGATCACAGCATTCAGTCTGCTTCAGCAGTTGATACTGTACTGGCACCGCAATGCTGGGTACTGCATAGCCCATAGTCATAACAGTATTTGATACAAACAAAGCTAACCATTTTTTAACTTTTTCTTTTCTTCTTTTACCAATGTTTTCAGATCGGCAAGTGATACTTTCATTGAAATCAACACTTTATCCAAACTTTCCAAAATACGGCAAACCCTGATACGGCGAGCGGAGCACCGCAGTGGTTAGCACAGAATGTCACCTCATTACCGCGACCTACCTGACAGACAAGCGTTGCAGTGGTTGTCTTGCCAATGCCAGGAGGTCCGGAGAGCAAGGCAGCACGGTAGCCAGCACCGCTGTCACGATCTGGCCGTACTGTTATTGTTCCAAATTCACAGCGTGTAGGCACACACACACACACACGCACACACACGCACACACAACAAACAACATAGAAAGAAATGACTTCTCTACAGCGGGACGGCGTTAAATTACTCCCGCAACTAAACTTGGCGGCATTCTTACAGATACACATTCATATGAGTGAAACTTATGCAGACAGACTAGGAAGTACAATACTCACTAATAATGCATACAAGTTGAGGCACAGCAGTGGGTCTCTCAGGGTTTTCTTCTTCTTTCTTTATTATACACTGTTACAGCACCTGAAACAACTTCTCTACGGCTACGAAGTACACCTGTATGCATGGGTTTGGTGCAGCGTGTACACACCTGATGTGTTGCGATGCCAGTTACGCAGCCACTTGAGCAGCTTGTTCATGTTGCTACGGTCACCCTGCTGACCAATGAGCTGCTTGAGAGTGCGAGGTCGATACTTGTCGACCCACAGGACTGATTCTGGGCCAGACGACTCTGCAGAAGACGCCGCAGATTTGACCGAAGAACCGTTTGCTGCCAACTTTGAGGAGAGTCCCCCGTCCGTGCTGGTCTTGGCGGTGGCTTTCTGCTGCTTCTGCTGTAGAGTACAAAGTGCAGAAGCGAAGACCAGAGATGCCAGACAGGCAGCAGGACATAGCAATCACAACCACCAAGACACAGCACATGATGCGAGCTAGCACTGGCTAAGAATGGTTAAAGCCAAACAGTGAAAATAAACATGCACTGGATGTCAGCAGGGAGTAAAATACCGGTAATTTACTACTCCTGGTGTCAAGCCTCTCTCTCTCTCGCTCACCGTTGAGGACGAGTAAAACGACGAAGACGACGAAGCCGGCTTGGCTGCCGACGTTGACGAAGATGGCGACGCTGGTGGCTTTTTCACCGTGAACAGCGGTATGTCATCGGACTTCTTAGCTGCCTTTGCTGCTGCTCCTGCTGGCTTGGTCTGCTTCTTAACGGTGACTGCTGGAATCTCATCTTCAGGTGCTACACCAAGAATGATAGCATTCTTGCTTGCACCCTGCACGAAAGATTAGAACATGGGTCATGGATATACATTTTAGCAAGATGCTGAGCAAACTGTACAGCTACGCATGTACACAAGGCAAACAATGCTTCAAAAGAATGGGGGGGGGGGGCAAACGCCTTAGAACCTTGCAGATTTACCATTCGTTAAAACTGCCATGACCAGTCAAACAGAACACTATAGTCACATGAACAGGCGGGTCTTGTCACGTACCTTTCCCTTGGATGGTGTTGAAGCGCCTGCTCCATCATACGGCTTGGCAGGCAACTCCTTGACCAAGTCGAAGAACTCTTCCTCCGTGAGTTGCTTGATACCAAGCTTGTTCGCCTGCCATCAAGAAAATCAAAGCAAGGGGGAAAGCCAACTTGAAAGAGCACCGCATGCTAGAAAGGAGGCCGTGACTCTTGCCACAGTTTCGCTCGTCCTTCCCAGCGAACCACATGAAAGGAAAGAGAAAGAAGCGGGGAGGGGTAAAAGGCAGCTATACATGTCTGTAAACGGTAGACTGCTGGTGGCCGTACCGCGCGCTCACTCTATGCAGGCCTGCACTCAATCAACCTGTACAAATACACAGCACCTTCCACGCGGCCTACAGGTATATTGGTACAGTGTCCACCCAGCCCAGTATTTGCTGGTTTGGGGTTGCACAATGCCCAGCGCTAGCTGCCTCCCTGCCGAGTAGCACTGTACAGTAGAACCCCGTGTTTGCCGCACCCAGTACCAAGCGGAATCCTGTACTGACTGGATAAATTTCCATGCACCAGCGTGCTGTGGATTGAACGTTCATCCCTGGATGAAGCGGAATCCTGTCATACCAGGACAGTTTCCGCTGCACCAGGGGCGTCCAAGTTAGGGAAGGTTTTACAGTTACTGTACAACATTCCCGATAATCGTATCTGTACTCTGTAGATAAGCAAACAGCTTACCTTTTCGATCTTGGCTGGACCCGGCTCCCGGCCGGTCACCACATAGCTAGTACGCTTTCCAACGGTCTGGGTCAGCTTTCCACCGTTCCGCGTGACCAGCTCCTGGGCGTCCTCTCTCTCGCAGTACTCCAGCACACCCGTGATGATGAATGTCAAGCCAGCAAGGCAATTCTCTGCACCCTGTAAGCAGCACAGCAAGCACCAACATCAGCATCAGCAACAAACACCAGCAAACCCCGCCACTCTTACAGCCAACACCAACACCCCGACCAGCAACCACAACATTACCAACAACAAAAGGCAGGCAGTCTCACCAAAGGAAAAGATGTGCAACAATAAACTGAAGAAACTGTTTTAACAGTTTCTTCAGTTTATTGTTGCACATCTTTTCCTTAAGAAACAATAATAAACCCCAAGCTTGCGAGCCATACCTCTGGAAGTTGCCTGGAGCCAATGTTGCGAGGCCCTTCCCTGTTCTTGTATTCAAAGTAACTCCGGTTGCGCTTCAACGGTGCAGGAGATGCCTCCTCAGGGTCAGCATTCGCACTGGTTGGGGGTTCCATCTTGGCTGCCTTGGAAGGTGTTGTCGCAGACTTCTTCGCTGCCCTGGGCTCAGTCGAAGTTGGCGTTGCCATTGCTGATGATGAAGAAGAAGCAGTGTTTGCTTTGGTACCTGCCGTTTTCGACTTCGGTTTAGGTGATTCTGCTTTGACAGTAGACGTGGGTGTCCTCAGAGTGCAGACATCGGTCTTCGCAGCTGGCTCAACTGTAGTGGAAGCCTTTGTTGGACTGGCCACACTTGAGGGCCGGGTAGGCGTACGCTTCGGACTCTGCTCCAAGCGAGTCTCTCTCTTGGGGGAGGCCAAGGAAGACGGTACCTTCAGGTGAGGCCGCTCATGCTTTCGAGGGCTTTGCCTGAGGGGACTTTGCTCGAGACGGGCAGTGTTCTTCCTTGGCGAAGACCTGACAGGTGTTGTTGCTGTCTTGCTAACACTTGGCGCAGGAGATTCTAGCAGCGCCGGAGAGAACGCAGCATCACTTGCTTCTAGCAATGCTTCAGTGAACTCTGGGTCATCAAGTGGGTCTTCCATGTCGTCATCCGGCTGTAAGAATAGAGACGATAAAGAGGAGAGAGAGAGAGAGAGAGAGAGAGAGAGAGAGAGAGAGTATACACATGAACAGCGCTATCTACCGTATTTCCTCGATTAATGGACCATGCTCGAATAATAGACCATGCTCAAATAGAAGACCCTCCTAGAGGCCTCACGGAAAAATAGTAGACCATGCCTGAATAAGAGACCCGATCTCTTATTTGAGTTCATCGCTTTGGGCATGCGCACTAAGAAAGCACGTGGTGGATCAAAAAAGGACGCGATTTTAGGTTGCGCAACTACAATTTTTGTAGTGGCTAGTGCTTTCTTTCATTATTTGAGCACGGTCCACTATAATTTTCATCGGCACATCGCTGGAAATGGTGGATTTTTAACACGTCATAATTCTATATTATGACGTGTTAAAAATCCACCATTCCAGCGATGTGCCGATGAAAATATAGTGGACCATGGTCAAATAATAGACCATGCCCAAATAAGAGACCAGGGGTCCAACCCTCTTCAAAAAACAAAAGACCGGGTCTATTAATCGAGGACATACGGTAATATCTATCAGCACATTTACAAGCCTAATTTGCGTGTACAGAAAGACAGCGTGATTACTCTAAGATTGCTGAGTTAATGCTCATTGTTTCGTGCTACCATGTACAACCACTGCTATTCTACCATACACGTGCTTTTTGAGAACCTAAAAAGACTGTTCGTGCGTCGCGGGTTGGACGTTAATTCGGCAAGTAGTGCGTGTTTTGATTATCATGTTCTCATAGCCGATGCATACCTTCGATGTTGATACCTATACGCTTATTGATAGCACATTCATTCTTAGAAATCATACTTTGATAATATTTTAGTGCTGTGTGTGTTGCTTCTCCAACTTAGTTTCTATATTTGCTCATTCATCATTTACTTTTTTAAGTTTTGTATCAGTCGATTGCTGTTCTCATGCGAAATTCTAATGAGAAAGAGTAAGCGACTCAAAATTCGGACTTACCACAGAAATAGGCAAATCCTTCTCCGGGGTTTCTGGAATCACTGTCTTCTCCGTCGGCACCTGGGACACATCAACGCAGTCGCAGCACAGAATTCAGCATCACACATACAGCAATACAATTCAACAATCGGTGTGGAGACACTAATTTTATCACAGCATGACGATGGATGACAGTGAGGTGGGGGAGTCCGGTGGTGAAGACCAGGACGATGCACATGAGTGTGACTCAAACAAGTGCATTGTCATCTGTTATCTCGTCCGGATTGTTCGAGTGTGAATGATGATTCTCACTTCTCTCTGTTTCGTTCCGTGCAAGTTATGTAAGGCAGTTGAATGGTTTAGAAGCTCTCTGTATGGGTTTATACAAGCCTGTTCTTTTCAAACAAAAGAAGTGTGATGTAGCTCGAAATTATCTTGTAGGGTTACCAATGCGTAGTGTCACTTGAACATTGTTATTAACAAACGCTTCGCCGAATGCATTATGTTACGCACATTCTTGCACTAATTATGATAATTATTGTGAATTTCTGACTGTTACACACTACAATACATGTATATGGAATGTTTCTTCACCTCAGGTATCCACTCCTTCAAGTACCAGTAATTTTAAAATGTTCTTTTGAAATATTTTACTTAGTTCCATAATTCCACTGATGCATGGGAGACGAAAAAGCGATTTCAGAATAAACCGTAGTTGACGCAAATAACAATTCCCAGCCGTGCAAGGCAGAACTACAGCGGGTAGTGACATCACACATACTGGCATGCACACTAGAAACCCAGTCATCAGTCCCTAAATCAAAGCCGACCGACCCCGCAGCTACACCGATCATCAACAAACCTTTTTCGATAGCGAGAGGGACTTCTTCGCCGGCATCTTGGCTGGTGTCTGCTTCACAGGAGCATCACCAAAGAAGAGATCCGCGCTGATATCTTTCTTGCTGGAAAAGGAGCAGGTATATATATACGTACAATGAATACATACGTACATAAACTATTTAACAGGCATCACTTAAGAAGACAGTAGGATCAGCAAGGCAATACTGGCGGTGGACATAAAGGTACCAAGAGATCTGCTATGAATATTAGTGCTGAAACGATTATATCGATTACTCATTGCTTACTCGATAAGAAATAGATCGAACGGTTATTTCGATTTTATCGGCTAAATGAGTAGAATGGTACTTACGCTCGGTACGGGATTTCCCCCATTTTGGGGTCGCACAAAGCATGCATCGAAAGTGTTGCGAGTAGGTCTACGACACGAATACGTACAATCATACTGTACTCTTGCAACATTGATGTACGTGTAAAGTACAAGCGCGATCTGAGAAACATCGACGCGATCACCGTCGCCGTCTTTTCAGCTGACTGCTTAGTGCTTTTGTTACATACAGCATTCAGAACGGGCAGGCTCAGTATGTCACTATGTGTCTACACTAGCTGCAGGGGCTGGAGTTCCCTCATCATGCGAGTAGTCTTGAGCTAAAGACAGTACAGTGGTCTTCAGTTTCATGTTTTCCGTTCTGTCGACGGTTCCCGAACCAGTTTGCTCGACGACAAGCTAGGCCTGGCGTCTGTGCCTATTTTGAGCATAGACAGGAAAAGCAACTAGTTCCTTGTTGGTGCGCCTCAAGTCAGCTCATCCGTCGAAACCCGCCGATCTAAACCCCTAGCCGGCTTCTCTGACTTCATCGGCGAAGTCAGCAAAGTCACAGGCGAAGGGTACCATGAGCTCTTGGGTTGCAACCAGTGAGTTGCCTCTGTCTTGTCTGTATTCGTCTGGTCAGTCCGAACAGCTGACAGACTTGTTGCGGGATCATCGGATCTATGCGCCCGCTTTCCGTCGCTGGCGATGTTGGACTCGTAATTTTTTTTGAAATTCACAGAATGTACATGTACTGATGTAGTTACAATGATAATCGTTTAGCCGATAAGCCGATCGTTATGGTATCAGCTAAGCCACTAAGGAAAAAACGTAATCGTTTCAGCACTAATGAATATAAATACGTGTAGATTGCAAGAAACTTACCTTGACTGAGTGGCTTTGTCCGATGACTTGCTCGAATCTGTGGTAAGGGGATAGAGCGGTAGCAGCAGGAAAGAGAGGGAGAAGGGGAGAGAGAGAGAGAGAGAGAGAGAGAGAGAGAGAGAGAGAGAGAGAGAGAGAGAGAGAGAGAGCAGAGATAGATAGATAGAGGGGGGGGGGGGAGATAGGACCCAAAGAAAAAAGAACACAAAATCCTCAGTCACAGAAGGATCACATCAAACACACCAACGGGACTAAACCGGCAGCTCAAAGCACTTTCCTCAGCGTTCGGTATATTTGCCGCCAATCCACAGCACATGCAGTACGATCATACTACGATGTGCAATGTACACAATACAATGCTAGCAAAAAAGGAAGGATAGTTCACCAGATATTTCGGTTCAGGTCTGGACACTGGTCACCACCACTCTGCGCAGTAACGGAACATTCAAACAACTGAAGCAGATGCTTCAAACGAAACGGCTCATTGCACTCAATCTTATCCTGTGCCCACTACTTCCTCTATCCGTTAAAACATGATCAGTGCACACATCGCCCACAGCCTCTATCAGCACCAGAAGCACACAGGCATACCCAGAAGCACATACCAAAATAGCGAGATGTGCTGCCCTTCTTCTTGGCAGGAGATGGCTGGGCTTTCTTGCCATCATCTGAGTCTGAACAAACCCAAACATAAACAATACTGAAAATCAGAAAATCAGAAAACATCACTGACGCTACAGCCAGGGCCCTGCTACAACTACTGACTAAGTTTACCAGGACACACACGCTCTCTCTCTCTCTCTCTCTCTCTCTCTCTCTCTCTCTCTCTCTCTCTCTCTCTCTCTCTCTCTCTCTCTCTCTCTCTCTCTCTCTCTCTCTCTCACAAACACAAACACACGCACACCTTGAACTCTTGAGCGTGCCAGTTGCCGACAGCAATGACAGCGAAGGGACTATCTTGCTAGCTTCACAGTACGGAGCGTAGCGCTTGAGATCCCCCGGGGCGACAACAGACCTTTCTGCATGCGCAGCGGAAGCCAAGATCAGGATCAGGGGGAGCACGACGATGAGCAATCTGCCTCCACGCAGGGCGATCTTGGGCAGCAGCACACCAGCAGTGAGAAGGCATGGGGGGGGGGGGGGTGATGAAGCGGATATCATCCGCGATGTCACACCACCGCTCGCGTGGACCATGGTGAGGACGCGTTGCAGGGAGCTCCCCAAACAAGAGCTGCGTTGGCATACGGTCGCGCACGCTCGCACACACAATCGATGGCGTAGGAAAAACAGAAAAACTAGTTCACAGAGCTCCAGTTCCAAAAATGCAGCTGAGTCTTACCAGAGCTGTCAATGTAATTGATCCGCTTCCGTGAGATTTCCTTTTTGCAGCTGCGAGCCGCTGGCTTCTCCGGAGAGACCTTGGCTTTCTTCTTCGAACCAGTGAACGCCTCGTCGTCGTCATCACTGAGTATCGCCTGTGGTGAACGACCAATAGTGCCATACAGTCAAACTTGTGCTTAGCGACAACCCCGGTACTCCATGGTGCAGTAGTAAGAAATGGTTCAACTTCTCATGCACAGGTGGTCTTTCTACACATGCACATGCACTCAGACAGCCTGCCTGGCAGCCGGTTCTACCAATCACTGTACGAATTGAACGCATTTATATCTCTGTGCTGCATTCAAATACAGTAGAGTCGCACGCCCAAGAACGTTGTTTCCAAGCGGTTAGCGTGGGGTGTTTGCATTTTTCAGCAGTCTGGCTGCGTTCTTATAGCACGTTCTTAGAAACAATTTGGATCATGTGCATCTCACCGTCGTGTCCGAGTGCTACGCTTGCGTAGTTGTTCTTACTGCAATACGTTTTAGCAATATTGAGATGCCTTTTGTTGGCTCTTCTGCCTGGATTTCATTGACAAATGCGTTAATGATAGCTTGCATACCGTCCTACCGGTAGGACCCAAGAAATCGAGCTGCAAAAGTGCCTTTAGTTGAGAAATTTCTTGAAACAATTGTTGAGATGAGGTCTTTGTCAGGCAAAGTAATGGCGCAAAATGCAAGGCTATGTCCAGTGCATTGCGTATGCGCAATTTTATCAAATTTCAAAATGGCCGCACATAATCCTGTCGGTGCGCTTTCAACTCTGTCCAAAGTGAATTTTGACCATGGCACATCAATTGTGGTGAGGTCCTAATGTTTTTATTAGCTTGCCAAGGCAGTGGAATGCATAGTTCCATACTCCGTTTCCATGGTTACCATACGTTGTTACCATGGAATTTTGTAGTATGCCTTGTGCGATCACGTCTAAAATTTGTGGACTTCTTCATTAGCCCCTTAGCAACAGTTAAGGGTCAAATTTTAGGTCAATGTTAGAACAGAGGCCATGCAGCATGTCTGTGTATGATGGTCTTACCGGTAGGTCCTACCGGTAGGACCGAGGTCTATGCAAGCTATCATTAAAGGGGAAGTTAAGGCAAAAATTAAAATTTCACCAGTTGTAGTCTTCGGGGTGCTGAGTCGAATGGTCTTGGTCCGAGAAAGCTGAGACGCTCCCTTCCTACTTGAATCCCAATCGAACTCGCGCACTTCCACCGAAACTGGGTGACTGCGCCCTACTAGATGGGGATTTGTATGCAAAATGTCACTGAAAGCGCCATTTCGTTCTTATAAAAGCACGGATGACCGCGATTGGCCCATATGTTGTAGTCTTTTGGACACCGAGTCGACTGGTTTTGGTCCGAAAAGGCTGCGATGCAGCGTTCCTCCTTTATTCCCAATCGAACATGGTTGAACAAGTGGTCACGTGCTCCTGGGTGCCCAAATCACCTGGTCACCACGCCAGCAGGCGACAATTTTCACACCAAGGTTCAACTCGAGTGACAGGACTGCACCCAAAAAAGGTCAAACAGGCTAGTAAGTTGTACCCTGCAGGCACGGTGACCAGCTGACTGGTGTACGCAGGAGCACGTGACCACTTGTTCAACCATGTTCGATTGGGAATAAAGGAGGAACGCTGCATCGCAGCCTTCTCGGACCAAAACCAGTCGACCCAGCGTCCAAAAGACTACAACATATGGGCCAATCGCGGTCATCCGTGCTTTTATAAGAACGAAATGGCGCTTTCAGTGACATTTTGCATACAAATCCCCATCTAGTAGGGCGCAGTCACCCAGTTTCGGTGGAAGTGCGCGAGTTCGATTGGGATTCAAGTAGGAAGGGAGCGTCTCAGCTTTCTCGGACCAAGACCATTCGACTCAGCACCCCGAAGACTACAACTGGTGAAATTTTAATTTTTGCCTTAACTTCCCCTTTAAGCCCATGGATCCTTCCATGAGTGACATGCGAACTGTCACCATTAGGCCAAACTAAAAAAGGTGTGTGGTTCGATTAACATGGACATTTTTTTTTACGGGCGGGCGGGTGGATTTTTTTTTAAATATATTTTTTAGTACATGTAAATACACTGTATTGCCTTTAGACACCCAGTACATCGGCATTATTACGCAGTGTTATGCCATACATGTTGTATAAAGGGATCACTGGCTAATACTTTGAAACATTGTGCAATCTCGTCTGTCCTTCATCCCAAAACAGAAGGCCGTCCTTAATCTGGAACGAGGCAATCACTCTCAACCGGACGGTCACTTCAAAATAAGTCTCGCCAGTCTGCCGGTGGTCGTATCGAGTAGACTCTACTACCAGCACAAGGCAGCAGTCGTACCACTCACTGCACTGCACTGCAGTACAACTACAAGTCAAGTCCAAAAGGAGCCGCCTGCGTCCGCAGACTCACGCTGCACAGCACGTAGACGTGGACGTGTTCAGTCCACGTACGTCAGTCACACGACAGCCCGCCGAAAAAAAAGTTACGGTCGGGCTGAAAAATGTACGGTCGGTCGGGTGAGTCGAACCACAGACTTTTTTCAGTGTGGCCTTATTGTTATTATATGTATCTCAAATGCCGCCAGAACACCAACACCACAGTTCTTAACTTAGGCTGCGGTGTTCTTAGCATTTCAGGCTGGACGTTCTTGGGCTCCAAGTTCTTCGGTGCGCGACTCTACTCTAAGGCTTCGACAACATTCATAGATCACCCCGACAGCCACAGTTCATATACCGTAAAGTACCGTTGATCCGCCCCCTGTCGATTTTCTACCTGTGAAGCGACTTCGGCGTATACAGCGAAAATACGATGTTCACCCGACGCATGCACTGCTGTACACAATACTTGCCAATCCAGGATGAAAATGGGCACAATCCAGGACATCGAGTCTAAACTTCTACGCTGTTGTACATCGTACTGCACTTGACAGCCTTGATCTAATTCCCGCCCCCTCCCGAAAACCCAGCTGGGAAGCGACATGGCGTGGGGGGCGGATCAACATGTTAGAACAGAGGCCATGCAGCATGTCTGTGTATGATGGTCTTACCGGTAGGTCCTACCGGTAGGACCGAGGTCTATGCAAGCTATCATTAAAGGGGAAGTTAAGGCAAAAATTAAAATTTCACCAGTTGTAGTCTTCGGGGTGCTGAGTCGAATGGTCTTGGTCCGAGAAAGCTGAGACGCTCCCTTCCTACTTGAATCCCAATCGAACTCGCGCACTTCCACCGAAACTGGGTGACTGCGCCCTACTAGATGGGGATTTGTATGCAAAATGTCACTGAAAGCGCCATTTCGTTCTTATAAAAGCACGGATGACCGCGATTGGCCCATATGTTGTAGTCTTTTGGACACCGAGTCGACTGGTTTTGGTCCGAAAAGGCTGCGATGCAGCGTTCCTCCTTTATTCCCAATCGAACATGGTTGAACAAGTGGTCACGTGCTCCTGGGTGCCCAAATCACCTGGTCACCACGCCAGCAGGCGACAATTTTCACACCAAGGTTCAACTCGAGTGACAGGACTGCACCCAAAAAAGGTCAAACAGGCTAGTAAGTTGTACCCTGCAGGCACGGTGACCAGCTGACTGGTGTACGCAGGAGCACGTGACCACTTGTTCAACCATGTTCGATTGGGAATAAAGGAGGAACGCTGCATCGCAGCCTTCTCGGACCAAAACCAGTCGACCCAGCGTCCAAAAGACTACAACATATGGGCCAATCGCGGTCATCCGTGCTTTTATAAGAACGAAATGGCGCTTTCAGTGACATTTTGCATACAAATCCCCATCTAGTAGGGCGCAGTCACCCAGTTTCGGTGGAAGTGCGCGAGTTCGATTGGGATTCAAGTAGGAAGGGAGCGTCTCAGCTTTCTCGGACCAAGACCATTCGACTCAGCACCCCGAAGACTACAACTGGTGAAATTTTAATTTTTGCCTTAACTTCCCCTTTAAGCCCATGGATCCTTCCATGAGTGACATGCGAACTGTCACCATTAGGCCAAACTAAAAAAGGTGTGTGGTTCGATTAACATGGACATTTTTTTTTACGGGCGGGCGGGTGGATTTTTTTTTAAATATATTTTTTAGTACATGTAAATACACTGTATTGCCTTTAGACACCCAGTACATCGGCATTATTACGCAGTGTTATGCCATACATGTTGTATAAAGGGATCACTGGCTAATACTTTGAAACATTGTGCAATCTCGTCTGTCCTTCATCCCAAAACAGAAGGCCGTCCTTAATCTGGAACGAGGCAATCACTCTCAACCGGACGGTCACTTCAAAATAAGTCTCGCCAGTCTGCCGGTGGTCGTATCGAGTAGACTCTACTACCAGCACAAGGCAGCAGTCGTACCACTCACTGCACTGCACTGCAGTACAACTACAAGTCAAGTCCAAAAGGAGCCGCCTGCGTCCGCAGACTCACGCTGCACAGCACGTAGACGTGGACGTGTTCAGTCCACGTACGTCAGTCACACGACAGCCCGCCGAAAAAAAAGTTACGGTCGGGCTGAAAAATGTACGGTCGGTCGGGTGAGTCGAACCACAGACTTTTTTCAGTGTGGCCTTATTGTTATTATATGTATCTCAAATGCCGCCAGAACACCAACACCACAGTTCTTAACTTAGGCTGCGGTGTTCTTAGCATTTCAGGCTGGACGTTCTTGGGCTCCAAGTTCTTCGGTGCGCGACTCTACTCTAAGGCTTCGACAACATTCATAGATCACCCCGACAGCCACAGTTCATATACCGTAAAGTACCGTTGATCCGCCCCCTGTCGATTTTCTACCTGTGAAGCGACTTCGGCGTATACAGCGAAAATACGATGTTCACCCGACGCATGCACTGCTGTACACAATACTTGCCAATCCAGGATGAAAATGGGCACAATCCAGGACATCGAGTCTAAACTTCTACGCTGTTGTACATCGTACTGCACTTGACAGCCTTGATCTAATTCCCGCCCCCTCCCGAAAACCCAGCTGGGAAGCGACATGGCGTGGGGGGCGGATCAACGGTAATTTACGGTAAGTGTAATGACCTATGAGTATAAGTATGATGTAGATGGTGACACCCTGTCCATGCAAAGTATTAGAGCTGCCTTTGCCAGTGCATCATGCACTTGCAACTTGCAACGCACATAGGAGGAGCAACAGTAGTCAGTATGCTGTACTGGAAATATCCATGAAAAAAGGTGTGTTTGTACAGAACTAGCGCTCAGAAATTTAATGTGATTAAAAAAATGTGGGTGGAACCAATACTTGTACACATAAAGAACTGCGCGAGCTCTCTTACTGCTTTCCGCTTGGGTGCAGGTTTGGCCTGTTTTCCTCCTGCTGGAGAGAGCCATTTGCGTATGTCCTAGTGATCAGTGAGACACAAAAGATTTCTCAATACTACGACTAAATTGAGGGCGAAGGGAGTGACTACTTTCCGCTTACCATGTCCAGGGACGCTCCTGGCTACAGTGTGCCAGGAGGAAAGCAAAAGTGACAAAATCAGAAACAAGCAAGGGATATTATTTTCAGGTCAGCGATACTGTTTCATGAGGCATACATAATCTGTACTGTTTTGCAGCAGGAAGGCAAGAACCTGCACAAAAAGCTGATGAAATGCGGATCGAGTTTGACTGTACTGTGCGAAGGCAAAGGGCTACCCACGTGAGATTTCAAGATTTCCCGCCTGATCAAGCTGCGTTTTCTGCGATCGGCACGGCCGCACTTCACATCAGAGTGTTGGGCTGTTTGAAGCAGGGAATCGACTCCCTGGTTTGAACTTGAAGTGTTTTCCACACGTGGTAAAAAAATATGACGTCACTGAGAGTGGAGGGTTTTTCAAAAAATGTGGTTACCAAGTAACCATCTGCCGCTTGGCCGTCCGCCTTGTGAATCCGCTTGGCTTGAGTGTCCAAGAACACAGGGCAGCTCGTCATTTTTGAAGACATGAAGTGAGGAGAAATAAAATTGAAATTGTTTTGAGAGTGCAGCCTTTCAGGCGGGTGACTAGCGCCAGAAAAGGCTCCTGAAGCATTGGATGGTCAGGTATTCTTGATCGCCTTCCTTGCTGCTTTCAAAATGCCTCGAGATGTTCGAATTTTGCTGCTCGGTGACCGTAAGTTCCCAGTGATACCCATTCATCATGCACATCAGTTTCTCGAAAGTCACGCTTTCGATTATGGTCTATGATATGTACAGCGTCAGTTGGCAAGACCTCCCTCATCATGGCTCTTGTCACCGAGGAGTTCCCTGACTTTGTGAGTGCACGGCGATTTTTGCGTGTTCTCCTATTCTAGCAACTACAACACAGGTTTTGCACAACGTAATGCAAAAGAAAATTTGAACAATAGTTTCAACTCACTCAAACGTTTGAATAATAATTGTAATAATATTTAAAAGTTCCAGACATGAGACTTTTGTAGCTGGTATTGCTGAACAGCTAGCTGTCGTGTAAGGCAAGAAATCGAGAATTAAAAAAGGTACTTGTTGTCTGATAGAAATGCCAGGCAAACATGCCTGGGATGAAATATCCTCCGCGGCAAGGTCATCCCAGGGACTGGTTTCAGGTCGCGACATGTGGCGGAATATCAGAGAGGTTACATAAAGCTGAGTGTCGAGAACGGTAGGGGAAGACAGACTCATCAGACTCATTCTCATACCACAGTTTCCTTTCTAAAGACTTCACCTTCAACCATAATAAAAAAACTTTAGCCAACAACAACAACCCCTCGCCAAAAACCTCGACCGCCAAGGGCGCCGCCAGCCTGACGGAAATCATATGCATATCATAAACGTAGCGCATCGCACTGCCGAAAATGCAGTCACCAGCACGTGACATGCAGAACATGGGGCTTGCGCGCTGGTGTGCAGCCGGGCTGTATCATGCAAGCGCGGATCATGCGGAATGCAATGATGCAACTACAAGAAAACAAATCTCGGCAGCAACGAGTGCATTCAGAGAAGAAGAAAATAAGTTCAGATTTAAGTATTTTGTGATGAGCAGCAGAGACAAACATGCAGGAGATTATAATTATATGATGAGATGGAGGCGACATTGGGAATACTCGGATTCACAATGTACGCGTGCCATCAGCTGGGTAATCAGAGTCGTCGTTGGACATCGTAAGTCCCAACTCAAATGTATTTGGAATATGATAATAAAATGTTATGGCAAGTTGGACTGACTGTTAATTAATTACGGTATGATCATGCAATGCGGGAGTCTATACTTGCAACTTCAAATTGATGTGAAGTAGTCTTCATGATGTGGTGACATTCATGACACTGAGGAACTTTACGCTAGTGGGCGGGAAAAACCCGTGAATTCGCGAGTTTGCACTAGTGGTATAACGAACCATGAATTTTATGATTGAATAATCTAGCAAATGCCACTCAAGTGAACGAACGATTCTACTATTCCACAAGAAAATTCATTAGGGGCCTTCCGTAAATACCGATATTTATTTAGAAACGAAAACTAGTCGTTTCTCTTCAACCCCCCTCCCTGAGAAACTGAAAAATTGTGAAAATGCGCATATGCACTGGATGCATCCCTGTGGCCCAATTCTATGCCATCATCTGGAATGGGACGTATGCATCAATTCCCCGCCGTCAGGTTTCGCGGGGCAAGTCCAATACAACCGTATACACTGTGATACCAGCTCTGCGTAAAAGGTCATGAACTTTGTGAGGTCATACTCATAAATGTACTATAACGGGTTGTACCTGCCAAGCATGGGGTAACTAACTTGCCCCGCGAAAAGGTGACGGCCATCTAAGGGGCCTATTATATGTGCAACTCCAGCCCGGGCTGGAGCAAGCGGGCCAGCCCGCCAAGGGTGTTTACATGGTCAAGGCCGGGCTGGTCGCCAGCCCGCAGTGAGTTTATAATATGCACTGAGCACACGCCAGCCCGTTGTGAGTATGCAGCAAACACACTACGACTGTAGTGTGCTGCCCCGGGCTGAAACGCAGGGCTGCAACCCATACTCAGGTTATAAACCTAAAAACCTTTTTTCTCACACAATGTATTCTTCTGCTGATTTCTTTTCGCGCTGTGGCACATGTTTGGTGTGTTGTATCACCTCGTTTCTTTTCCCTGTTTTTCACATTTTTAGCTGTCCACATCAAAGTATTTTGCAAGTAGTTCCCCTTCCACTTTAATGTAAATCATGCATGTCGACACAATAAACAGTGCTCATTGTACGTCCTTCTTGTTGTTGTACAAAAAGCTTCATAGATTTTCAAGACAATATCGGGAATCCTCTTTATAACTACCCTCAAAGGGTAAAAGTACCTATTTTGTAGTATGAACGCAGTGTCGACACCATAATAATACAACTCTGGACCGGGCTGGTCTGTTTATATGTGCTTTTTCTGGCCCGCCTAGCCGGGATCCCGGGTGCCTCGAGGCGGGATCCCGCCTCGCCGGGCCAGCCCGCTTGCCATGTAAACGCACCACAGGTTTTGTGTGGATTTGTGTACAACCCCGAGATCCCGTTGCAGGCGGGCTGGCCCGCCTGTCGACCAGCCCGGGCTGGAGCTGCACATATAATCACCCCCTTAGATGCATACCTCCCATTCTCGATTTTTGGCAGATTAGGGCAATGTGTTGTATTAGCTGCTTTTATGAATCTGTTCAATTGGGGATATCTGGTAAATGGTACGTCTTAGCGTCCTCGGACCAAGGTCATTCCGGTTCTGAAACTTTGAGTTTTCCCAAAGCTCCCTTTCATGCACCCTGGTGGTCAGGCTGGGTGGCAAACCCGACAGCTCAGGTCTACTTCATGCAGGGTGGCATGTCTAGTTATGCTTTCCGTTCTGTGTCTGTGTGTACGTATACATTGACACGTTGCAGGTTCCTCCCAGAGCAGAGGAGATAACCATCCCTGCCGAAGTGACCCCGGAGCATGTTCCTACTCACATTGTGGATTACTCAGGTTGGTGTCTTAGGCATTTCTGTAGTGATTTCGTTCAGCTTATGATGATCATCTGACGTTAAACCTCTATTTAAATGACCAGTGCGATAAGAGACCGCCTGTCTCTAAAGACCTGTCATTGATGGTCTAATTGTTCCATCTTTTTCACTGTATTATCTTTTGACTTTATGCAGCTGCTGAGCAGAACGAGGAGGCACTCCATGCGGAGATTGTGCGGGTATGTGTGGCCTAAGGCACTACCGTATTTTCCCGAATATAAGTCGACCACCCCAAATCCAGGAGTCAATTTCATGAAGAGAAAAAAAGTTATAGCTCCATGACACCCACACATACAAAATGATGAATTCTTTGCGAGGAGAGATCATAATCATGCCAGTAAGACAAAATCTGAACAAAACCAGTGTCATCCCCAATGTTCATTCAATGTTAACTAATTCACATGGTTCGTACGGTAGTGCATTTTTGTACGAACACTCCAGTCACTTCATTTGTTGTGCCAGATGCCCGTATGCAAGTCAAGTTCCGTTTGTAAGTCGACCCCCAGCTTTTGGCGAAATTTCTGGCGTACAGAAGGTCGACTTATATTCGGGAAAATACGGTACTTATGTGGTCATCTGCTGTTGTTCAGATCTGTGTGTGTGTGTGTGTCTCTCTCTCTCTCTCTCTCTCTCTCTCTCTCTCTCTCTCTCTCTCTCTCTCTCTCTCTCTCTCTCTCTCTCTCTTTCTCTCTCTCTCTCTCTCTCTCTCTTTCTCTCTCTCTCTCTCTCTCTCTCTCTTTCTCTCTCTCTCTCTCTCTCTCTCTCTCTCTCTCTCTCTCTCTCTTTCTCTCTCTCTTTCTCTCTCTCTTTCTCTCTCTCTTTCTCTCTCTATCTATCTCCATCTATCTATCTCTATCTATCTCTCTCTATCTATCTCTCTATCTATCTCTCTCTCTATCTATCTCTCTCTCTATCTATCTCTCTATCTCTCTCTCTCTCTCTCTCTCTCTCTCTCTCTCTCTCTCTCTCTCTCTCTCTCTCTCTCTCTCTCTCTTGCCCTCTTTACTGCTGTGTAGTATTCTGTAAGTTTGCTACTTGTCTTGCCAAGAGCAGTCGTAATACTGTCGTGGACATGGAAATCCGGTCGCACGTCTAGCGGCCCCAGGGCGCTGGCCATGCAGCCGTGGTTATACGAAACACACATGCATTTTTAAAGCGACAAACTTCCGCGGCGCGCAAATTTAGCGTTTTCATAAATTGAGCTGGTTCACGATGAGAAACCTTTGCGATTCTATCTCTTCAGTCGGATCTTGTACTGTCTACAATCAATGTACAGAGAGGTTTGCGGCGATTTATATTCGCGAATGTGTGATGGTCGCGAAAATAGCGAAATTTAATCTCTAGCGAAAGTTTCTCGCTTTACAGTATTTGCTTTCGTCTTTGTGGGCATTGGTAGATATTGATGACTGCAGGACCCAGTTTTAGCTGGCTGCTGTGGGGAAGAAGTCCTCTAATTCCTGGTTGCCTTCTTTTTTGATTCCTCTGCAGTCCAATGTCATTTGTGTGGTGTACTCTGTCGACAAGCAAGAGAGCGTGGAGAATGTAGGTCTACCCTGTTGATGATGCATGTACTGAGTCTACATACGCTGTCTTATCAACTAAACCTTTCGGGGATAGGTTGCGGGGCAGCATGTCCCGCTCCTGGGCAGTATGTGTTAGCATTTCATGTGCCGTGGACTGCAACATCACGATGGTGCACGCCAATAGATAAAGTGCTATGTATAATAACGGCCTGCCTCCTATCCGCCTTCCATTTTTGATGTCACTGTGGCGGCTTTTTGCGGCAGTTGTGCTCATTCATACTACGGAGGATTAGCAAGACGAAATTCGCGTTCGTGTTCGCAAACATTTTTCAGTTCGCGAACTGGATTGCGAACTTTCGCATTTTTCGTTCGGAAAAGTAGTCGGAACACGAATCGCGGATTCGTATCAGGGCAGTCATAAATTTACCACGCTATATACATGTACTGTCTGTACACAATGTACGTCGTGTCAACGTCATGCATGTGCGAATTCTGTTTGCTACTCCTTCTCATAACGCGAATTCCGTCACTGAGTTCGACTTTCCTTGGAGAGCGAACGCGAATTTCGTCTTGCTAATCCTCCGTAATGTTTGGTGATTTCTTGTCCAGATCACATCCTACTGGCTGCCTTTGATTCGGTCCAAGTCACCCAAGAAACCTGTTATCTTAGTTGGAAATAAAGTAAGCTCTACTTCTAGCATCCCCTGCCCGTACTCACCTACATGCCTGGACTCAGTATTGTTGCTGCTGGGACGAATTATTTTATTTTTCTGTGACTGTGGAGTTTCTTTTTATTCAATGCAATCCTGGGATGCGACTATACTGTATAGCAGGAAATTTTCGGACGGAAATATTTTCGGACAAAGCCGAATTTCGACCTTTCGTACGGATTTTATTTTCGTACAGTGCTGCATGCTAAATGCACGTGTTCGCAAGCAGTACCCATGTATAGTGTACATAATTTCACATGAACAAATTTTAGTACGGAATTAATTTTAGTACAAAAGAGGCCGTGTACGAAATCGTACGAAAATAAATTCCGTCCGAAAATTTCCTGCTATACAGTATTGAAGTAGTTATGGTGTAGTGCCTCCTTAAAAAAACCTCCGCAGCTCCATCATTTCTTGTTCAAATTCAACAATCGAAGGGTCTATGTGGTAGCGGAAACCCCAAGCTTTCCAATGCAACAATCGCAATCAATCGCCGAAGAGCTACGGTGTCCAAATCCAGAGATATCGCGCGTCGTACTGTAAAAAGCCATTATTCTAACGAGGCGCATATATAACGATTTCCCAAAATTGACTAGTTTACGTGTACCAAAGGTAACGATTCTCACTCATTCTCAACGCTCAATAGGACAGTATATGTATCGATTTCTGTATAACGATTTCTATTTTAACGACAGATTTCTCCTCGTTAACTCGTTAGAGTTAGCACTTCGTTATATAATATTATATGGCTTTTACAGTATTCTTGAAACGCCTCGAAAAGACTTGGGCGCTCTGCGATAGAGGAGATTGGAATGGCGTTGATGGGGAAATTTGCTCGCATATCGGGCTTGGAGACGACTTTGCTGTGTTCCCGCGCCTGATTTGTGGTAGCTAGTTGATGGAGTGATGGAGGCCAAATTTATAGCCTGTTGAAGGTGAAAATTGTGCTGAAAATTCACATTGTGCTTCATTCTGTGCTGGAAATCAAGCTTATAATGCAGTTGTTTTTTTCTCCACTTGCAGATTGATTTGGAGGCCACAGAATCACTTCCATCACTAACTGAGGTATGTATACTTGCCCACTGCAATAACATGTTGTGTCTTTCTGCAAGTGCCGAGGTTGTTGTAGCGACGGTGCGAAAAATGCCCCAAACGCGTCCTGCTCCAGTTGTTTTGTTTTTCTCGATCGCAGAGTTTCGATTTTTTCGCTGTGTTTTCTTGAGATTAGAGAGTTTATGCTTCTCGTTTTTTTTAATTTCGAACGTGAGATCTCACGGTCAAAATGGCGCATGTAGCGTGAGATTTCAACGCGACACAGGGCCAACTCACTGTGAAAAAAAGCGATTCAACGCACATTTTTTCGCACATTCAAAATTGACCGACATGAAACGTAAACTTTCTAATAGTGAGGTTCTGCCACACGGTAAAACGTACCAAAGTACGTATGGAAACCTTGCCGCGGTACGGGATCAAGTTTCATACGGATTTTTTCATACCGGTTTCCGTGCGAAGCGCGCTTCACACGGACTGGTCTCCATGTGAAAACTGAGCGGACAGAGTACATGTGGCAGGGAGTTCGAACATGCTAGAGCATGCTACGCACAGCAGAACCGGCGCAACGTACGAAAAATCCGTGTCAAACTTCACCGCAGTTGACACGGAGTTTGGTACGTAGGTCCGTGTGGCAGAACCTCTCTAATATCGCAAGTGAAACCCGTGCAAATTTGATCAAGTCAGCGTGACGAAAAGTCTCAAAATAAGTTTTTTAATTCTCAAGTTGCACTGCCCGCTCACTGCTGTTTGCGCCTGGCTAGTGGCCACTCAGTAAGATGGCGTCATTCACGTCATGTGCAAAAGCTCTTTGAGCTTTCATAGTAATAAACATGGCGCGTGTGCACGCGTACGCAAACAATCATGTGTGCACTAAAAACGGAGCCACAAAAATTAAATTTGTTTGAAAATCAACTTACAAACACCATGATTCGGATATTCCTTGACGCAAGGAACTTACCTGAAACGATCCTCAATTGGCCTTCCGCTTGCGCTTGGCCCTTTGAGGGTCAAGTTTGGCGTGATGAGGAACCGTGGAGGAAAGGTGAGCCTTCAAGACAGTTCGTAGCTTGTCGACATCGTTCACTACACCTTTGTGTCGCTTGCGAAGGTCGTTGAACTCGGCGTGAATACTTTCACCTCCCTGCTCAGCTAGTAGGCCCAGGCCAACTCTGAATCTTGCCAAGGCGTCAGGCGGATGGCATTCCAGCAAATGAAGCTTAGGCGTTATGTGGCCAAGTTTTCTGGTGACGACCTCTTGCCGTACTGTCGAGAGGAAGGTAGCACAATCACTCTCGAATAGCTGAATATCTTCTGCTGACATTGCTGTGCAGGACGAGTATCTTCTGCGGCAGAGAGAGAGAACTGAGTGAGCAGGTCATTATACCGCTTTGCCACTACTCTGGCCTGGTCAAGTACGGATGGAGGCGCTGCTCCCTTTCTCTCTCTCCCTGTGGTGGAGGCGGCAGTCAGAGGCGCATTTGACAGAGCAGCAGCCACTGGTGGCTGCAGGCCATGGTGAATATGGTTGCCGATAAAGGCACCACCCTGGTACCGCTGGCGACAAATATTATACTCCTGCAGAGTTCTGTCAAGTGATGCCTCACATGGACCATGCAGAATACTGCAGCTCTGGAGCTGGTCAGATAGATTCTTCACTTCATCCTGGAGAGAGCTGATGGCGCTTGTGGTGGTGTGCTGCTTGGCCTGAATTCCTGCTGTGGCTGCTCTAGCTGTGGGGCAGTCGGGTTCGAAGCATGATTCGCAAGCCAGTTGAGCTGCTGCGTGCTTGTTCTGTAGATCCAATTGCTTCTAGCGAAGGCTCTCGTGCATCTCTGTTGTGGTAGTGTATGCTCGGCTATCTGTGCCAACTGCTGTACTTGATGATGCAAGGGCAACGTCTAGCATCTGGCAGTCCTTGGTCATGGCATCGAATATCCAAGCGAATATTCCCAGATCCAAATGCAGAATGGGAATGATCACATTGTCCAGGGACACCGGCAAGATTGGTGGCCGGATGCAGTTGTTGTACTTCTTAGGGTCCGCTAATTTTGCACCAGCTCCAACAAAGGCAGCGTTGTCCGTGCATAACGAATCGAGACTGCGCGATGCTCCGCTGCACCCACGTAGCTGAATCTCTTTCCGAGTAGCAGTGCAGTGCAGGCAAGGGTGGGTTCCACTCGATCCTGACAACGTTGTCTGCAGTTCATAGTCTCCGAACAACAAGACCCTCACTGACCTGTTACGCCACGTAACAGGTCAGGTCCTTTTCCCCTCCTTGGCCTCCGCCCTGGCCCTCCTCATCCTCCGTTCATCGTCCGTATCTGACCCGCACTCCATCTTCCCGTCATGTATGTTCGCGGCCGACCAACCTTCGCCGTCCGCGAACAGTAATAGCTTGAAGCGCCGCTGGAGGACGCTCTCACCTTCTTCAATATTCCTGGCGATGTCTTTTTCGCCTCGACGCTCCGCCTTCTGTCTTGCCTTGGCTAGAGGCTCCAACGCCTTGCTGATCACACAAAACTGCTCCTCGTGGGCCTTGGCCTTCCAAATTCTCTTTTTCGCCGCCGCCACCCTCTCGTCCTGTCTCTCCCTCTTCATCTGCTTACTCTCCTTGCTCCTCTCACTGTCACTGTCACTCCTATCCTCTCTTTTCCTCTTACGACTGTCGACTTCTCCAACTTCCTCTCCAACGTCTCCAATCTCACAGCCATCTCTCTCATCTTCCTACTCTCCTCATCATACCCTTCACTCTCACTACCACTACCACTCGGCGACACACTTCTCGACCTCGACATTCTTCTCACAAACCAGAACAATTTTCAAATTAAATTTCACTACTCTCACTCAACTCTCCGCACAAAGACAAAAGAGGCCGACCCTGCACTCGTCACCTCCTGTTATCCCACACTGTGCTCCCTCGTACCCGTTCCCGGGTGGACAGAGAACACTACTTCTCTGCTAATTCTTATATTGTGACGTCAACCGCAGAGAAGTGACATTTGTACTCCGCAGCTTCTCGGCCTCACTGACAAATGGTTGCAGTGCCGTTCATAGATTTGCTGCCGTATCTTTAGCAGCAAAGATGATAAATGGAATAATATGCCGTAGAGCATTGCAGTGCTGCACATTGACAATCTGGAGCGACATCTTGAATGACTCTCCACCCTGATCGCCGCCGATTTGGACCCATATCTCATCATGTGGGATTGCGCCATCATGCCAGTGAAGTTGATCTGTTGCCTCCAGCTGGTTCAAAATAGTGATGGACATCTCCAACAGGATCAGGAATGGTCACCATTGCGTGCAGCTCGACGCTTCCAGATGCTGTTACGAGCGGTGTCTTTTCTGCCACAATAGTAAAGGGCAAAAGATCCTCAAGCTGTTTGCGCATTACCCGCTCTGACTCTAGGTACAGGCCAAAGTCCTTCAGCCATACTTTCAGTTTCCGGAGCTGATTCCATGGCATGTGCAGGTTAGCTTTCAATGCTAGCGTTGTGCCTGTCCCAGGTGTTTTCGGCATGACACCAGCCTCAATGAGAACGGCTTTACACTCTTCCTCTTTTAGCCGGCTTATGACGATCCATTCTACATGTGAAAACGGAAAAACAGAACCAACAAGCGCAGGCTATGTTTTAGTCACTCACTGTATGTGGTTCTTGTTCTTCTTTCATGCGTAGAACAGTCCAATAAACGCAAGAATGTGACGTGACCTGTGTCAGCGAAAAACTGTTGCTGTGAAAATCAAAAATTCAAATTTCCAGGCGGAGTGCGTACCCTCGTACCCAGGATACTGTGGCCGGGATCAGGTTTATGATGACAGCAGTGCGATTTTGACGAGATCGCGGCTTATGAATGATGTATTTCAAGAACTGTTGTTGATCGTTGGAGTTGAGCGAGATTGACTGAGTTACGATCTGTTGAAGTAAAGTTTTGCATTCGAATGCGTCGTTCACGACCAAAAGCGTTGCACATCGGTACGTTTGGAACATTTGGGGGGGGGGGGGTCCGGGCAACGGGCCCCCCCCCCCCCCCCCCCCATGCGTACGCGCCTGACGTCCTACCAGTGTTCTACTGTAGACGTTTAGCCATCACGTCCTCAATTGAGGTGTGGGTTGTGCAGTGACATGGCAACCATTAGTTAACCAGTTATCACTCCATGCAAAGTGCAGTGGTCCCTTTATAATCCGGCACCATTTGTGCTACAGAAATTCTGCTGGATTAGGAAGGGTGCTGGATTATGAAATCTGATGTTCTGCTTCAGTGTGTATGACGAGGACTTTTTGGCTGTCCCCACAGGATACCGCGATTCCGCGGACGTGCAATTTTCCGCGTTATTGGCTTTTATCCGCGTCTTTGAGAGGTTTTGCATAAAACCCGCGTTATTCATGAAATGTACAAGAAAATAGTAGGGCTGAAACGATCGTGGATTTTCAAGTATCGATTACTCTTTAGCTTAACGATCGAGTACTCGATTATAATCGTTAGCAAATAGAGTCATAATTCTGTGCAAACATTTCTGTTTCCACAAACTATGCCTTCATAATACCAACAAATCTGCATTAGTGAAAGGGTAGCTCCGAAACATGGCAGTTTTGAAGTCAATTTAACCTCAGAACATGAACCATACCCCTGGCAACTGCATACTCCCAGCGGAAACTGATTCAAACTTCACAAAACGAGGGTTTACAGTACTTTCTTGACACAAATTTAAAAAACGCAAAATAATCGTAATCGGTAATCTAAACGATTGCTCGATCGTTAGAGTTATCAAACGAGTACTCGATTATTCGGTATAATCGTTTCAGCCCTAGAAAATAGTACATGATGTTGAAAATGTACTACGAAGTCGTACAGGTGCATGAGTTTGTACGACAAAGTTGTATACTTGCATGCTAAGTTGTACAGGTGACAGATAACTTGTGCATAATGACTGCATTATACCGCATATTTGCCGCATAATCCCGCATATTTGCCGCACTATGGCCTGTTTTCGCCCGCATAATTTTAGGATTTTGTCCGCGTTATTCTGTGGGGACAGTTTTGATTCCTGAAAATGGTGCTGGTTTAAAAAGGGTGCTGGTTTATAAGGTGCCGGATTATATAAACAGGGACGGCTGTATATACGATGATGTCATTGGCATAGCCTCTAGAAGTATGCTGCTTAGCCACACTACTGGTACTAGTATGCTGTATATAATGCAAGCCTTGCCTGATAGAAAAATGTGGGCACAAGTTATGTGATCGAGTCCACCAACTAAACCAGATTTTGAACAGTCAGACGTGCACAATCTAGCACAAAACTGACAAGGAGTACTGAGACATTCCACGGCATCTCGGTACTCCTTGTCAGTTTTGTGCTAGATTGTGCACGTCTGACTGTTCAAAATCTGGTTTAGTTGGTGGACTCGATCGCATATCTTGTGCCCACTTTTTTCCATGTTACATTTTTTTTCCTTGGCTCACCATCTGAGTTCTTCTTGCCTGATAGGCAACATGTTTTCACAGTGACAGCGTGAACAAGGCGAGTACACACTGTATGGGAGACAGTCAACCTGACTACAACCATAAACCGGTTGGTTCAAATGGTCGCAAGACCGAGACTCTACCAACCGGTTTATGGTTGTAGTCAGGAGCACTGTTTCCCGCCTTGTTCACGCTGTCACTGTGAAAACATGGTACTAGCATGTAGCCTTATACCCATCATCAAAATGCATGGGATGTCATTAGGCAACGTACCAATGTATCCGCCTTTGCTCAATTAGTTGGTTTCTAATATCTCGGTTATTTCCCTTCCAGGCCGTTCTCCCGATAATGGATGAGTTTCTTGAAGTTGAGACGTGCGTCGAGGTAGGTGCCGTGCAGTTTATTTCAATGCCACCGGTATGTGTGTGCCCTGTGTCTCAGAGCACACTAACATTGTGCTGATATCGCGTGCGTGCGCCCACACACACACGAGCGCGCGCTCGCGCGCCCACACACCACACCACACACACATTTGCACACACGCGCGCACACACACTCATTATTTCTCTCTCTCTCTCTCTCGTATGACTTGTTTGGTTTTGCTGTAGTGTTCAGCGAAAACACTGATGAACATCTCAGAGGTGTTCTACTTTGCTCAAAAGGCAGTTCTCCATCCGTCCGAACCGCTCTACTCGGCCGAGGAAAAGCAGGTCAGTTTGTGAGATGTCAGTGGCGTTTACACATACCGGTACATGTAGCACTAGTGTTGGCTGTCACGAGGCTTCGGCCTCGTGGAAGCGCTTGCTGGTATTCTTCCTCTCCCACTGCTGCATTGTGTTTGTAGTGGTTGTTGTTGTTGTTGTTTCAAATCTTTATTCTCACGATAGCCAGTGGCCAATAAGAGATACAGTAAAACCTGTAACTAACGACCACCGTGACTAGCGACCGGCCTGGTACTACCGACCACTTCGTCAGGCACGGACGGTCTCACATTCAAAATGCACTGTGACTAGCGACTACCTGCTGAACGCGACCAGCGACCGCCTTTTCTTGTCCCAATGTCGAATTTTGACCCGTAACTAGCGACCGCGATGTAGGAAATCAAACATTGCTCGAAGCTCCTTCTCGAAATGTTGATGATTTTCCATGGTCTTGAAAGGACTGTTTCGATACTACAGCTGGACAAATGAACGCAGTCTCATTTTGACTGTGGAATCAGTGTGGACTGCACTACACCTGTCATAATTTCAAGTGCTGTCAAGAACAAACATGATAGGAAACGTCTTGGAGAGCGCATCCAAAGCGCTCTTTGATCGATGTTACTACTCGAAGGAGAAACTAAGACTGAGCGGCTCTCTGTCGAAGTGCAATCACACAGCTCAGTCACCAGGTCACACTGAGTCCACAGAAGTCAGAGAAGTATCCGGCAAAGAAGCACTGTCCTGCATCTCAACATTGCAACAGTTTACGTTGCAGCGTGGCTTGTCTACCATGGCAATGGATGTAGAGAAACTTGCTGCCTTCATGAACAAACTTGAAGCCCAGCGCAAAGAGAAGCTTCAACAGGGAACTCTTGACTCCTGGCTTCAGAAGTAGGAGCTGAATTTAATATCTGCAATAAAACTTGATTTTCTCTCTCTCCAAGTGCTGTATGATCTGAAAGAATAATGTCAGTGCGCAAGTGGTGGGGGATTGTATTATCTGCATTTTGATATACATATCATATAATGGGATCCATATATGGTCACGCGGTGCAAACCTCTAACTAAAGACCACCTGCCACTAAAGACCACTTTTCCGGGCACCAAGGGGTGGTCGTTAGTTACAGGTTTTACTGTACATGTTTTTGTTGTTGTTGTTGTTGTTTTTTTGTTGTTGTTGTTGTTTGACATGTATATTTATATGTGTATCCACGTGCAGCTAAAATCGGCCTGTATCTCAGCATTGACACGTGTGTTCACGGTAAGAACTCCGGCATGCTCTTTACGCTCACTACATTAGCCACCAGAGTACTTCCTCCATTAACCCTTTAACCGTCAGACCATACATTTGTGGGTCGAATTCGACTCATCATTTGAAATACTCGCACTGGAATGATTTTTTACCCACGATAGAAAATTTACTATCGATACGGTCGCGAATTTTCCAGGCTTTCCATTGCAGAAATCCGCGTTGAGCTACGATGTAGTGGAGCAGAGTTATCAAGCGCTGAGTACTGCACGCTTGTCACTTCCGCTGCGCTGGGCGCGCGGCTGACGTCGTCACGGGATTTCCCCGTTTCTTCACGCGCTCTGTGACTGTTGCTCGCGACCAACGTATTCCTCACGAAATGCTCGATCTCTCAAAAAAATTTGAACACTCTACGATGAAGGAGACGGCCATGGCGGAGTTTTGAACTTGTCATTTGCATGCCTGGCGTTGAGACGACGTCGCTGCGTTCCAGCGCTGGTTGTGTGACTGCTGAGGCGAAGAATGTGGTATCGTCGTGCTGGTCTCGTCCAGAGCTTTCCAACGAGCCCAAGATTATAAAAATCGAGTGAGTACAACTAAAGTTATGACCTGGCAAAGTTGAAATTTCGTTCGGCGTTTCAATGGGTGAAATTTATATGACGGTTAAAGGGTTAACAAAAACTTCGTGATGGATTTTTGATGGATATGAAAACGCTTAGAACAGGTCAAGAACAGTTTGTATCGACTGCAGATCACTGGACCAAGGTAGTTCAGCCTATGTATAGCGTCTTTACAAGAGAAACTGTTGGCGCAATGAGCAGAGAGTTCAGGTTGCGTCGCTTTCGCTCGACTCGTTTCTGACCCCGCATCGCTGACCTCATCTGCTGCACGCGAGTCGTCATCTCTCTCGAGTCGTTATTCAGCTCATTTCAGCCTTGCCTCAGCTTCTTTGATTACACTCCGCTGAACTTAATGTCGCCTTCGTTCAAGTGAGTTGGCTTTCAAGCTGCGCGATCTGCCACGGTGGCGATTACTCGTTTCCACCAGAGAGTCGTAAAAATATTTTACGACTCCCTAGTTTCATCTTCGCTCTCCAGAACTCCGTGAAACTAGGAGTAAAGGCACAGCCAAACTGATTCCATTTTCTCTGATGGATACCCCTGCCAGCACTGAACGGCAGCAGCTAGCAAGTCCAGTCGACTTTCTTTAGCCACGAGACTCGCGTCGGACTAGTGCAGACTTCTGAAAGAATGCATGTTCATCAGCATTCGAATCTGGGCTTTGCGCAGGTTGAACAAAAACTTGAGTTCAGAATTATTTCATTGCGCCATGCGATCAGAGTAAGAGCAGCTCCTTGTTCACTCGCTCATTGTGTGGGCTCGCTGCTCCGTCCACCGATCTCTATCACCCTCAAACTCAGTGCTAGAGTAGTAGAGAGGCCAAGCAGCGCATTATCCCCTCGGAGAAGTGGTATTTCATCAATCGCTCGCCATGACTGTCCTCACCTATGTTGCCACGGCGCAACCATCGATTCCGCTTGACTTTGTTGTGAAAGGTCGCTTTCCTTGCGTCGTACCTCTTTCATGGCATGCCAAGGAAGGCCGAGAAAGTGATTGCGACTCATTTCACGGCAGTTTGTGCGCAAACCAGTCCCTCAAACATCCATCACGAAGTTTTTGTTAACGGAGGAAGTACATGTGCAATCATGTACTCAATCTGCGGACAGAACTGTTTCGTCCTTAGTGGACTCATCAGCGCTGCAAGTATGTACACAGTACCTTACGTTGGTGCAAGAATTTTGCTGAATTGATTCGCTATCCTCAACAATTTACCTGAGCCTTGTTTGCCTGTGCTGAATAAGTTGTCTCCGCATGGTATGTTGGTGCTATGTACATGTACAACTCTCGCCTTACTTTACAGGTGTGTGATTATGATAAGAACGATGCACTCAGTGACAGGGAACTGAATGACTTTCAGGTAAGTGTTACGCCTGCATGGCTTGTGGTGACTAGTTACTCAGCATTCTTTGGCCTGTTGATTGTCTCTGTGTTGCCACACCTGCCGACATGTCAGTAGCCTGCCGATTTTTGAGGCCTGTAATGACCTGCCGACAACAGCCATGAAAGTATCCAAGTTTGCCCTTGTTCTTGGTTTGGAAGTCATGGTCCAGATTTTTGGCTATTACTGCTCATCACGAGTGTTTCCATAGCTCTCTCCTAAGGTGCTAACATCATCAGCTGTCTGGGGAAAATCGGCAAACTCAGCCCGAGTCTCACGCAAAGCCGTGAAAGGTTTCTTAACCCTTTCAGCCCTGACCGGAAAATCACCTCCCACTGGGCCAAAAATGGCAATTTTTGAAAATGCATATTCTGGTCCAAAATTGATTGGAGATGTTGGGCATAGACATATGCACTGTGAATCCAAAAAAAAATTGTAGGATTTCATTGTACGAGACTCATAACACCATATTTAGATATGCGACTTTTGGCGATTTTTCCTCAAAATTCATTCAATTTAGGCAATTGACGACAAAGATCAGACAAGCAATGGCAAGCAGTGCTATAACTGGTCAGTGTTGACTTCAGAATGGAGAAATGTCATATAACAAGCTTGATATGATCCTGGTGTTCTACGGCAACCTAGACTAGAGTACAGCAACTCGTTTTATACGGCGCTTGAATCATATGCGACTGCGCGATCCAGAATGGGTCTTTCTTTTTTCTTGGGCGCCTCGTAAAGCTTGAATCCTCCAGCAGCCCTACCTACTTCAAGACAAAACCATGTGATGGACAGTGAGGATGCCGAGTAACTGGAGTAGCAACCACAGCAACTGCATCGGCTATAATAGCAGCCGGTGCAGTGGCAGCGGTTGGCTCACTGTGCTCGGCGCATCCCAGGGTGAATCATCACTGGCCGCACGCGTACGTACGTACGTACGTACGCGGCACAGGTAAAGTCATATTGATAGAGAATGCAATACAGCTCATTCTCTGATTTGGACACTCACTGGCAAGACAATCCAGCTACCAAAATAGTCTGAAGCATTCCCTAAACAGCCGAGTTCATACTGCGTACCGGTGTACGTACGCATGAAAATTCAGGAAACAATCGGCTGTGCAATTTCTGATAGTGGTTCAAAATTGCACAATTGTTGACTATTCGGGATTATTCTGGATTCATATTAGATAGCAATCACCATCCTGTAGGTGCCTGGCTCTGTACTCAGCATACAATACTTACATGTATGCACATCTCTATTGTGATCTGCATGCACGTCTGACCAGTACACTTGATTTCAAATTCAAATATTTTCAAAAATCTGACCTTCAAATTTGATCGCAGTTTACTTGAGGAGCTTCAGCAAACGGGCACACGACAGATAGCTCCTGCTCAGAACACCATGCCTAGGTGTCAGAGACTTCAGCATCGCTTTCCAAATCTCTTTGGTCTCCAGCATCCCCTGCGTCCGAGCCAGCTGCGATCTTTTGAATAGCAGCAAATTCGTAATCCTCAGAAAACGACTCCGACACAATTTCGCTGTCTCCAGAATCATCCTCAGAGTCATTACCCGCCTCACACTGCTTCACAGGACTCCTTCCATCGACACAGAGTAGTTGAGCTACTTACCTTGCCGAGAAACAGCAGGGCAAGATGACGAAAACGAACTTTGAGCAAAACAATTTATTTGAACGATATGCCAAAATACGCACTTCAAACTCGATGCTCGCGGCTGTTCTGCTGTGCAGACTGGCCACATACGCTGCGTACACGTCGATCAGGTCCTTCAGCCCACTGCGGAACAGTTCCAGGCCCCACTGATGTTGAGGCATCAGTACAAACGCGACGTACACCGAGGACGTATATATACGTCGTCAGTGGGGCAGGTGCACACGTCATGACGTATATATACGTCGACAGTGGTGAAAGGGTTAACAGTTCCGCGCGCGCGTGCGCGCATGTGTGTACATTGGGGTTACTGTGAAGGGGGGGGGGGGGGGTCCGGGGGCAAAGCCCCCGGATGATGCATTTTTATTTTTTTTCATCCTACTGATATTTGGCTATAATGATGTGGCAACACTGTTGTCTACACTTTCAAATGTGTGCAGCTTAGTTTAATCTACATCTTTTCTGCCAGCTCCATTGCCAAATTACTATCCATATCAATGCTGCTTTTGTACCATTCAAACACCTTTTCTTTGGGGGAGGGGGGGGGGGGGATATTTTATACAACTGGACTTTCATTCCACTTTCCTGGGCTTTTATTTCTCAAGATGGGTCTGGCCCGAAAATTGAGATAAAACTTCATTATTTTTTGGAAGGATTGTAACCAAATCTCTGAAGGTGTATATGTTTATGTGTGTATGTATGTGTGTGTATGTCTGTTTGTCTGTGACTACAGTGCCGCTGCTTCAACGCGCCACTCCTGCCCAACGCACTGGAGGAGGTAAAGGAGACCGTCAGGCGTAACCTTGAAGGTGGTGTGACAGAAAAAGGATTGACACTGATTGGTGAGTTTGGAAATTCGATTTAATTAGTTGCCTTGTTCAGATTGATTTGGGTTTTGTTATACTTCAGGATTAAGTTTTTTTGCCGGTGATTACTTTCTCGCGTTATTAGTGGACTGAGATGTCGCGGAGTTGCTGTGTCTTCTTTTTTCATCTGTTCTCCATTGCACTATCTCTTTTGTTCGTTTACCCTTGACTTTTCGTCTGCAGGGTTCCTTTATCTTCACTTGGTGTTTATTCAGCGGGGTCGGCATGAGACAACGTGGACCGTCTTGCGGCGGTTTGGCTATGACCTGAACTTGCAGCTGCAGTCAGAATACCTTGAACCCAGGTACTGGTATAACGCTTACGTAGAATGCCGTCTGTCGTGTACAATATATTTGTTGTGCTCAGTAAAATCCGACCCAAAGTGCATACTCGTCACCCTCAACTTGTACGTCCCTTGACGCCCTGGAAGTGGTGTGAATGCGGCTGGACGTACACATGTACGAATACAATGATGTAATCGGAACTGGTCCAGTGCGCCGGCTTTGCACTGTTTGTCGGATTACAACACGCAACTGTAATTTGTTTTGCAATACTACATGTGGTGGTAGTAAGTTTTAGTAGCTACTCATTACCTAGGTTGGTTGCCCGCGAGGTCAAGTGTTGCGAGCAACCAACCTTCTTATGATTCATCGCCAAAGTTGCTACCACTAATTTATCATCATTAACGACTCGATCATTCAATCTTGCATTTGCGAATGCTGGTGTGTCCAGCCGTGTGGATTTTGTTTGAATGTTGTGCTAGACTTTGTCCTGTACTCGAGTGCTACTTTGCTTCTTTACGCTGTACCAGAACCCACTGTAATCCGCAAAACCTTCTTCTCCGATGCTTAATTATGGGTGTTGTTGAACATGTTTGCGTTTGTGCACAGCCTTACCATTCCAGCAGGTTGCATGCTGGAGCTGTCTGGTATCGGTGTCCAGTACCTCCGTGACTTGTTTCACCAGCACGATGTGGTAAGATGATCTCTTCTGTCAGATGTGCTGCAATGGGAGCAGCAGCCATTCATGCTGTATTGGTGATGGTTTGCAAGGGCTTGTGCTTGTGGAATACGGTTGTTGCACATGCACCACATAACCGTATCGGGTAGCCATGCTGCTTCCACACTGCAGTCAATCCCTGCATCATTAGGTTACATGATATGCCAGCCATGCTGCTTGCACTCTCCACATGCAATGTACACGTTCTACACGAACGCAGTCACGCAACCCTTCTATACCAGTAGTCAGTCATCGATTCGCTGTATCAGCTGTGTATAGTAAGTAGCATGGCTCTTCTTGGTGAGGGCATGTTGCATCCTGCATGTTTAGCATTGTCTCTCATATGTCGATTGCATGCCCGTGTGTGATGTGTGATGTGCAGGATTTGGACGGATGTTTGTCTACACGGGAGCAGCAGGTACGATTTGTTTTAGTACACTGAAGGGAGCGCAAGCATCATTGCCTTGTATACTGCCTGCAGTCTTGTCTTCTGATCTGGTGTTTTATCATGTTTGTGTTGTGCAACTTTCCGTACAGTACTTGAGTTCAGCAGCATCGTACTGGGGTTGCAGGCACCTAGTGTTGAGACTGTCCTTTCTAGGCCTTTGCTTGGTTTGCAGTATCGTGGCTTGAACGGAAATGGCGTTTTTGCCATTTTTATCTTCTTTCAATCTCCGGACAGCTGTAGCTGTTTTGTATCTGTAATCTGGATGCGTTTCACCCAGTCTCACAATACCTATTTGTCTGTTGTGTCATTGTCCTTTCTGCACTGCTATCCAGCGCATGTTTGAGCTCTGCCCTCACTTGATGTGGGAGGCGCAGAACCTGCTGCATTCTGTCAACTGCTCAGCACTGGGCTATCCCACTCTGGATGGATTTCTCTCTTACTGGGTGTAAGTCGAACTTGAGCCTTTTTTGCAAGAATTCGGCTGTTCCCAATACGTTTGCATGGTAGCATGCTTTGCCCGAGCAACAGTTAACTTACCGCAATTCAGGATTACTACTGGCTAGTGCCTACATGTGAATGCCTTTGTCATTGATTTCTACTTCGAAATCGATTGTGCTTTGCTGGCGGATCGCTTCGAGCTAAAATAGGGGAGTGCGTGTGTACTGCTGAGACGGAGATGCTTTGAATGTTCTGGCTGTGTTCTTGCACGCGCAGAATTCAGGCAATGACGAATCACCGGCTGCTATTTCATTTCCTGGCGTACCACGGCTACGTGCACGGTGACACGGATACTCAGCTGACTGCTGTCAAAGGTTAGTCGTGCTGCTGCCGCTGCTGCTCCTGATTTGCACAGTGCTCCATGCGTGGCGTTTCATCGGCGAAGTATTCATTCATCACCTGGGACTTAGCATTGCAGCTGTTAGCATACCTCGGTACTTTTTCGAGTATCGTTTTGGCTCACACTGTTAAAATGATACAGCCTTACAGTAGAGGATACAAGTATGCTAGTGCATCATTTCTTGTTTGCTTGTTTTGCCTGTGCTCCTGTGCAGTGAAAGCTGTAAATCCTGATGATCAGAGTGTACTTCATTGCGCGGTGATAGGTAACGATGTGCACTGCAAATCGCTGTTCATGCACCAGTTTGTCAACCCCGCATACCCGGTTAGTGCAGGAAGACGGGGCAATGCTCTATCTATCTCTCTCTCTCACTCTCTTTCTCTCTCTCTCTCTCTCTCACTCACTCTCTCTCTGTAGCTGTATCTGTCTCTCTCACTCACTCCCCTCCTCAGGACAGTAATCTCTCACCCTATCTCATGTATATGTGTCCCATGTGTGGTCCGTGGCCCGTTGATTACCACACTACGTAGTCTTATGTTGATACACAACATTCACTTTTGCAACACCTTCGCTAGGAGCAAGTCTTCAGCATTTTACACGTAATCGAAGTCTACTTCAAGTACTCCTCGCCCATCTCGTTCTTGTCGCTTGATTTTGCTAGCAATTCTGTGAGCAAAATATCGAAGAGTTTTGAAAAGGAATTTGCTTGCAGACCGGAGCCAAATATTGGTATGTTCAGGGCTCACAGTTGCGTAGAAAAGCGTCGATTAGATGGGGGCGGTGCACGTGCTCCAAAATGCCAGCTTGGCCAATCAGCAGTCAGCATTTCGTCGCATTTTTGCTCGAAGTAGGGGGTGTTTGAAGGAGTTAGCAGCACTTCAGCCAGGTTCTACGAAGCTGGGACTTGGCCCAGGCACAGATGACAGGTGTTCCAAAAGATTTACCGAAACAAATTTTCATTACTCACACGGGTATGCCAGAGCATATGCGTAAACTTCGTGAGATATAGTACAGCATTCGAAAGGAGTATCCAAAAACGTCTCGGTAAATTTCTTTGCCAGGGTCTCCTGAATATGTTGAGCCATAGATTGTCCAAATCGACCAAGGGGGAGATGCTCTGTACTGATTTTAGTAACCCCGAGTCCCAGCGGCGCACAACCGCTTGCGCGAAAATGTGTGAAGATCAAACAACAAGAAAAACGCATGCATGCAGCAGAACAGCAACGCGTGCCGTCGAAGAGAAAATCATTGTGCACAGATTGTTCAGTGCTCTCTCCTCAGTTCGCCCGCGGCGTTGGTTGCTGTGCTTTCATTCTCGCTGGAGTTCTTGTGGCAGCGCATTTCGCCATCATGGAGGGACTGGCACCCTGGGAAACCTGGTCTTCAGTGGCCCTCGAAAAACGCCCGGTGGATTTGCTGGTCCCGTTCACCTCCATCCGATCACCAGCTCCGTGTGGTATCATCATGTTCTCGGCGTTACCTGCCTGGCGAGCTCTGACTCGTTTGTTTGTCTTCTTACCTGTGGAATCATCATGATCGCTCATTGTAGGATCAGCTTTTGGTAGAACATGGCATGTTGTTTTTACTGGGACTAGCACAGGTTGCGTTTCGCCTTCTCCTCCAAAATATCGCGAACATCGGCTCTAAAACTACGAGAACAGGCTACAAGTACAACTCTGGTTCTTTCTCTTTTCTGTTCTGTTTTGGATGCGTGGGATGTACACGATCGGTACTCTCCCGGGATCACGCGACTCACGTGCACCAAACCCGCCCTCGCACGACGCTTTTGTCGATCCTGCATGCCTACTGTGAGCCCTGATGTTGTCTGAAAATTGGTGGGATTTTGAACTAATGCTATGATACTCGTGTATGATTTTGCAGACCGGAGCCAAATATTGGTATGTTGTCTGAAAATTGGTGGGATTTTGAACTAATGCTATGATACTCGTGTATGATTATTTAGTATATTTACCGCACGTACGATGCGGATACAACTTATGCGGCGCACGTGACTCATTTTTGGCGACTTAGCCAGCTTGTGACACACATTTGACCTCACATTGGAGGAAAAAGGTAACTGAAATTCAAATTGAGTGGCCTAGCAAAAATGAAAGAAAATATTGATGATGAGACAGCAACATTTTTGCAGCAAAATATCGAAGTTTCACTGGCATAAGCGGGCTTTGCCTTATGCACACTTACGACCATCTGCTTATGGGCCATATGGACTGGTGTGTGTTTCTGCATCTGTGTGACACAGGCATCAGATAGCAGCCACTCTGAGTTTGCGTGTCGTAGCGTGACTGTGGGCAAGACACCCAAGCATATGGTGGTGAGTAGACTGGCATGCTGGCATACTGGTGTTCTGTGTGGCGTGTTCTAGTCGTACTTCCCTGTTCGAACTTTATCATCATGCTGCTGTTGTTGCAACCTGCAGTCAGCTGGTTGTTCTGAACCTCACACACAGCACAGTAGTAGGTTGTGTCCCCGGCACATGGTATTTTCTTGCACATCTTAGTTGAGCTGCAGGTGAACCCAGTTCGACCGACCCTGGCCTGGGAAGTGGGATATATGTGGTGGTGAATTTTCTTTGGGGATGGGGTCTTTGCTTTGCAGGCACTTGTTCACAAGTGCTTGGTAGAGCAGCTTAGAGACCATCGCAAACATGTTATGCTATCTCGGAAACGAGCAACATTTACTTCACACTCCGACCCCCCCCCCCCACACACACACACACACCACCACCACCACCACCTAGCGATTAGTGTATGCTATGCTGGATGATGTGAATTGCAAATCATGTCATGTTTACATAAATTTCGGTCGACGTGTAACCTTGCTTCCCCCATGAACTGTGTTTGTTTCAGGGATGCCAAAAAAAGCTTTCATGGCAATCCCGTATCCTAAAGAAATGTCCCTTACATCAGTTGTAGATGTCCTGCTTAGGTACAGTGTGTTCTCTGTTTTGACTTTGCATGACAGCAATGACAGCAGTAGTTTTCTTTTGTTTTATCTTAGAGGAAGGACCAAATTTTACGAGTTATGACTAACAGTCCACCAAGGCAATGAGATAGTACTATACAGTCAGATAGTGCGACTACGCTCAAATCTGTTGCTTACTTCTTGATGTTTCATTCTGCTGCGCAGCTCCGTGATACGAAGCTTGACGAAGTCGCCACCAGTGTGCCATATCACGCTGCCGTTGTGCTGGTTGACACCAGCAGTGCTCAGTCCATCGAGGACGCACTGGACGCACAGGAGCAGCTTGGCTCCACCACGCCAATCCTGTTCGTGGCCGTTCCACCGCAGGTTACGCGCGTCGATGCAGAGGTATGGTTGTTGGTGCAGCTAGCTGCCTGTGCTCCTGTGCCCAGGTGTACTCTAAATCCAGAAATACTTTCGTCTGGATAATACATACAGTCAACTGATTCCTTGTCCGTTTGCTGGCAGTTATTGCAATTTGACCATGCATTATATTGGATGCAGTTAAAGGGGAAGTTAAGGCAAAAATTAAAATTTCACCAGTTGTAGTCTTCGTGGTGCTGAGTCGAATGGTCTGGTCCGAGGAAGCTGAGACGCTCCCTTCCTACTTGAATCCCAATCGAACTCGCGCACTTCCACCGAAACTGGGTGACTGCGCCCTACGAGATGGGGATTTGTATGCAAAATGTCACTAAAAGCGCCATTTCGTTTTTATAAAAGCACGGATGACCGCGATTGGCCCATATGTTGTAGTCTTTTGGACGCTGAGTCGACTGGTTTTGGTCCGAAAAGGCTGCGATGCAGCGTTCCTCCTTTATTCCCAATCGAACATGGTTGAACAAGTGGTCACGTGCTCCTGGGTGCCCAAATCACCTGGTCACCACGCCAGCAGGTGACAACTTTCACACCAAGGTTCAACTCGAGTTCAACTCGAGTGACAGGACTGCACCCAAAAAAGGTCAAACAGGCTAGTAAGTTGTACCCTGCAGGCACGGTGACCAGGTGACTGGCGTACGCAGGAGCACGTGACCGCTTGTTCAACCATGTTCGATTGGGAATAAAGGCGGAACGCTGCATCGCAGCCTTTTCGGACCAAAACCAGTCGACTCAGCGTCCAAAAGACTACAACATATGGGCCAATCGCGGTCATCCGTGCTTTTATAAGAACGAAATGGCGCTTTTAGTGACATTTTGCATACAAATCCCCATCTCGTAGGGCGCATTCACCCAGTTTCGGTGGAAGTGCGCGAGTTCGATTGGGATTCAAGTAGGAAGGGAGCGTCTCAGCTTTCTCGGACCACGACCATTCGACTCAGCACCCCGAAGACTACAACTGGTGAAATTTTAATTTTTGCCTGAACTTCCCCTTTAATGGGATTTCGGTCTTTGACCACTTTGTGGTGGGTCTGATCTACTCACCTCCCACCGTTTAGGTGCTGCATCTGCGCCTTGATCCTAGAGGGCGGTGACGTTCCTACGGATGTGGAAAACTCGGCTTCCAGCCGAGTCTCACACGAACCGTGAATTATTATTATTTTTTTCTTAGTAATCTTCAAAGCTTGATCTGTCCATGTTCAACGTTACATGATTTTGCCATGTGGAGGTCACTGTTTTAACATGTTGTTCCATTTCTTGTCTCCTTCTCTCCGTTCTCAGGCTGCACCGAACCACGGTCTCAAGATCAAACATGTAAGCATAGGAGTGCTGTGTGTGTGTGTGTGTGTGTGTGTGTGTGTGTGTGTCTCTCTCTCTCTCTCTCTCTCTCTCTCTCTCTCTCTCTCTCTCTCTTTCTCTCTCTCTCTCTCTCTCTCTCTCTCTCTCTCTCCCCCCTCTTTGTACTGGTATTTATGAGTATGCAGCCACGGGTTCACTGCATGTCTTGCTTATGTCCTGTGCCCATACTGACGCCTAATGTCTTGACTTGGGTGATGAGAAAAAAATTCTTGCTCAGCGTACCACGATCGAAGCAGTTGCCTTGGTCACGAAGGTGATGTGCAGTCCTGGTCAGAGACATTTGAACTCATGAATAAAATAACCCCATTCACTACACAGCCCTAACACTACACACACACACGCACACACACACACGCGCGCACACACACACACGCACGCACGACACACTGCCCTGCACTCTTGAGCACGGCGCTACTTTATTCATGAGGTTGATTTTCTCTGGCCAGAACTGTACATCTCAGATCGGATTGATATGGTCCGGTCAGTTTACCCAATGCTGACTCTCTTTTTCTTTTCTTCTTTTAGAAAATCCCGCCAATTGAATCACGTAGCCATTGGAGACTCCACAAAATAATCCATGTCATTGTCTGTGAATACAAGTATGTTCAACTGCTGTTCAATCTCCCCTCTTCTCTCTCCCTCTTGCTTTACTGCAAAGAATTTCATTCCTGGCAACACACAGAGTGAGCAGATCTTCCAGGCACTAGCGAGGCTTGCTCACAATCCGTAAGTTGTATCGAGACACATTTTCATTTCAATTGACACATTGTACATTGGCATGTGAACTTGAGATCCTGACGTGTGGGTGCATGCGTACATATATTTGAATGCCCTGTCTGCCTGATTGTGTTGATGCATGTTCCTGATCGTGCGCTATTGTGCATGTGCTTGGTTTCCAGGACCATCAACACAGGCAAAGAGGCATCTTCCTCTTGGCTGTCATGGTCCGGAAAGGCAGCATTGCTCGTCGGCATCCCTCTTGCTGCGGCGTACGTTATTTACAGGTACCGGGCCTCGTCATGACGCTAATTGCTGCCCCTGCTTCCAAACGGGTGTTTGCAAAGCTAACGTTCTATTTGGTTGATGATTTCTTTTCTTTTTCTCGTCACACTTAACCGATGACAGTGTCTTCAGGTGACATGGGTCTGTGTGTGTGTGTGTGTGCCTTTTTGGTATTATACCTGAGCCTTCGGCACATGTGCGACCATTGCATGCAGGACCGATCTGGAGTAGGCACACCTGCCTTGACCAGCTGCTCTCCGGCAGTTTACCATATACGCCTTGGTCCTGTGTGAATCACATGTACGTAGGCGTGTTGCTCACTGGAGTGACCCCGTACTGCTGTGTGTTCGAATCGTACCCAGTGACACCGCTCATGCTGCGTACCGTTTTTGCGATTTTTGATTTAGGGTGGTGTGCCGAGCGAGAGGTTTTAGTTCCCACTATTATTATTATTTTTCTTCAAGCTAGCCCCTGGCTCGCTACGTGCTCGATGTCTGCGCCAACGGTTCTGTTACACTGTGCGTGCTTAGGTGCACTCCTTCATTGCTGTACACTGCGGTGGAGTGAACGATCAACTTGTACAAAATATCTGCAACTCTGCTGCTGCTGCTGCTGCTGCTGTTCCTGCTACAGTTTTTCTTCTTTAGTCATAGTAATGGGCTCAGTGGTCATTGTAATCTTGACTTATGATTGTTTTACTTCTTTCCAGCTCTCATTTCCTCGCTTGTACAGCTTTGTCCAATTTTGACTATTTCTTTGTAGCTGCATTGCAGTAGAGAGTATGTTCAAACAAGATCGTGTGCCATAATGCCATAATGCCGTAGTCACACGCAGGGAGTACTAGTACTCTCTGGTTACAAGCTTGCAAGTACTTGAAGCTGCTGCTTGGTAACTTGTGTAGCAACTGCGAGACCATCACAATTCCTCGTCGCTGTTTCCATGTCTATGTGTGTACGGCGGGGGGGGGGGGGGGGGGGTGCTGTGTGATAGACGATGCACCATGGTGTACTGCTTTATGTGTGTATGTGGGGGGGCGGGGGGGGGGGGGGGGGCATGCTCATCCTCCTCAACGAGACGACTAATGTCATTAGTCGTCTCATGATGTGGGATAGAATGCCATTGTGTGAGACTGACATGCACTGTCATACATCCACTCTCTAACATCCAGATAACAAATGAGCATTCAACTTACTTGTGTTTGGCTCATAAGAGAGTGCAAAAGGTCTACTCACACTGACATAATAATGTACTACAGTAAAACCTGCAATGGTGACCACTCGGATATGGCGACCACTCAACCCCACCACATTTCCTTGTCACGGACGCATTCACATTCAAAACAGCTCGGATAAGGCGACCACTCGCTCAACGCGGCCGCGTTGCACAGTGCTAGTACAGTGAAACCTGTCTAAGACGACCGCTCAAGGGACCTTCAATATGATTGTGGTCTCTGTTACCAGGTGGTCTCCTTATCCAGGGTCATTTGACTAGAAATAGCATCCCTTGATCCTGGTTTCAGTGGTCTTCTTGGACAGGTGGTCGCCTTATCCGAGTGGTCGCCTTGACAGGTTTTACTGTACATGTAAATGTATGCATTGTTGCATGGTGCACCATGCATGGTAGATCTGCACATCAGTGCAGGAAGTGTAGATGTGTATGGTGCATGCACGGCACTTGACAGGTCTGAGGGCCTGGCACATGAGTCGTGTAGAGTAGCATCACATTATTATAAGGTGTGTGCACTGTGATACACTGATCAAAATGATGTGTCACATGTGGATATGGTCACGTAACCCACTGAACCTGGAGAAGAAGACCACCTGGCCACGGCGACCACTTTTTCTCGACCCTTGAGGGCCTAGGGGTCGCCTTAGTAAGGCTTAGACAGGTTTCACTGTACAAGGTTATGTGTGTAAGGGTTCAAGCCAGTGAAAAGCTGTATGGGGGTAAATTCTCTGGGATGCGACGATGGTCATCCTCCTGCACGATATGATGCATAGATGCAGCCTGGGAGTCGTATAATGTGACTCCCTAAGTAGCTGGTTGCAACAGACTTGAGTTTGGAAAATACATGTACACTCAGTGACTGCTATCTGCGCTGCACTCTTGGCGGACCCCATCAACTCGCCAACATAGCCAGGACAACTACATGTATGCAAGTACATGTACACACAAGTATTGATGTACTGCCAGACTTCCAAGCAGACATTGCACTCTGTCAGAGCTCCTGAGTGGATGTAGATGATGGTTGATGAGTATACTACACTGTCTACAACCTGGAACGGAATTGTCCGCTCTTTGGTACTACATGTATTGCGTACGTTGAGCTGGCGGGATAGCCAAAAGCACAGTGCGGAGTGGTGGAAAGCCATGATGTAACGTTACACTATTACTACTTTGGTATATATTCACACTTCCAGGTCCAAAGAATATCCTTCATCTATCGTGTTCACTGCCAGCTTCCAATATTTTCCCTGCACAAAAAAATTAATTAGGGAAATGGAGGTTGTCCCCCGGATATCCGACCTTACACGGCCACTGGCCTTTCTCAACATGAAAAGGTAGAGCAGGAGCAATCGAGCTCTGCTTTTTCTCACATTGGGCAGGGGCATTCTTTACTCTGGTACATGTACTAGTAGAGCAGGAAAGGAAGATGACAGCAGCCATGGCCGAATGGGTCAAACGGGCTACTTCGCACCAGAGACAAGCACATGCGCCAAACTGAGACTCATCCTGTATTGCATCAACTACATCTACCAGCGAAACAAACATTCACACACCTCGGGAATTTTCAAATCCTACACACTCAGTGTGCTCGCCCTATGCGAGCGGGCGGAATCCCGGGAATATAGGTTTGTGCTTATTTTCCGTATGCTGTGCGCAGCTTACATACCTTATATGAACACCGGAGGGTGTACCCAGTGTGCTGACAGTGCTCAACACCATGGCGGAGGCAGAGCGTAATACAGAACAGAACAACAAGGACAATCAAGGCTTGTTTGCTGCGACTTGAAGTTTCATGCTCTCGCAATCATCAGGCAACACCTTATATGTACATGTAGAATGGTTTACATGACCAATTGACCACCGTATGTAGCTAGCCATTGTAGGTACCGTTCGTTGTGAGTGAAGAATGCCTCTGTCCACGGTGAGAGGAAGCAGAGGTCGTTTGTCTGCTTGTCGACTATAATGTACACATGTACATGCAGAGGATGCAAGTGTGCAATGCATGTGAACGTGGGATTACAGGACATGCAAGTGTGCAATGCATGTGAACGTGGGATTACAGGACGTTGGAACAAAGATTTCGGGCACTCGAAAAACTATGGTCAGTCAGGCTACCCAAACCACACATTTTTAGTTTGGACTTCATCATGTCACTGTCACCTTTTATTCTTTTAATTCTTACGACGACACATTTAAAGAGTTCCTGGTACGAGCATGCTAGGATTGTAATAAATTACTAGTGTTATTTCTGAGTATATGAGAATATGCTATTTCATGAAGGTCTAGGACTGTTCAATGGAGTTCGGGGTTGACGGAAGTGTTTGTGGTGTGTGTGTGTGTGTGTGTGTGTGTGTGTGTGTGTGTGTGTGTGTGTGTTTGTGTGTGTGTGTGCATGCACGTGTGTGTGCAGTGTCCATGTTGGGTGGGTACGCTGGCTATGCTTCCTTCTTCGACCTCTTCTCCTTTTTATGCTTACTTTTCTGCTTGTTCTTCTTCCTTTTCCTGGACGAGACGACTAATTCATCGACGGCAGCACACTCATCATCGCTATCTTCGGCTTGAGCCGCAGCTTGCTTCTTGTCGCGTTTCTTTTTATCTCGTTTCTTGTCCCGCTTCTTGTCCACTTTCTTTTCAGTTTCTTTCTCTTGATCACGCGCAGAAGATTCTTTGTTCTTATCACTGGTAGTAGTAGACTCGTTGAGAAAGTCTGCTTCCTGCTGTTCAAGTCTGGCAAGTTTTGCACTCAGTCCCATGCCGTGCCGCGCTCCCTTGTGCGCCGTGCGGCCTCCGCACGCTGCCCGCATCTTCTCGTCGTCATCCTCGAACATCAACGCTGGCCGGTCATCATCGCTGCTATCACTGTCCGACGAACTGCTGCTTGGTGCAGCTGACGTCGTGGGAGTGCCGCGAACGAATCGACCGTACAGCATCTCCTTGGCCAGGAACTTGGGCGGCACACGCTTGCTCGATACACCGCTATCACCATGCGCAGGCTGCTCAGCCTTAACTTTAGCATCGCCATGCTCATCCTCCTCAACGTCCAGTTTATTCAACGTACTACTGAACATATGATCCCACCATCGAAACGTGAACTGCTCGCCGTGATCGAATCCCAGGCCAGAGCCATCCATTTTCAAGTTCACCTTGATTGCATCCGATATTCCATTCTCTTGTTTTCCAAGACCTTTCCCACGTTTCCATCCTCTTTTCTTCAGCTCCTTCTTGGCGAAATCCATACCGTTCATGGCCATTTACACCCTCAGCAAAGAGATCCTGATATAGATTTACAAGGTTACTAGTGCTATATTGCATAGAAGCGGTACCATTGCACTGAACGTGAAGAATGAAGACAAGATAGCAAGGCCAAGCAGAAAGATCAAAATGAGAGAAGCTTGAACGGTTTTTTTATGTCGCGAGATTTCCTGAATTACTTTCAGAAATCATGCAATGGAAAAGGCAACAAGTGGTCGTGGCCACGTGGGGTACGGTATGATGCACGTGCATCTTGACTTTGCAATTACTCGTATTGTACATGATTGTATTATTTGTGGGCCTTGGATGATCGACTGTGCATGTGTCATGTATAATCATCATGTAGACCAACTGACAGTACTTGGACTCAACTGGAGTGATTCACTCATTCAGGGAGTTGCAACATCAGTTCTGACGTTTACCGGTATTCCCTAGAGTGCATGTGGAATTGTCATGTATTTGTAGTCCGTGCAATGTCTCCCATTCTCGCAGCCCCGCATTTGTATGCACTTGTGGCTGTAGCTGTCACATACCGGTAGTCATTGCATCACCTACCGTACAGCGTACTTTCTGCAAAGCAATCACCGGAAAAGATTAATTGCCTTGACCATGCTACTTATTAAAGGCCTGCCCTACCATCACACAAGCGTGAATCACATCGTGTAAACAGTAAACACATACATGTACTTCCGAGTAACACTGCATGCATGCAACTCTGAACGGCCCCGGGGCCGAATCTAGGGGTATGTTGGGTTGGTTGGATCCGGATCCCGATCGATTGCCTGGACCATTCGGATCCTCCCAGGCCCAATCGAACGAATGTGGAGTTTTCGTGCCAAAAAGGTTGATGGGCAAAAGAAAAAGATCCGTTGGATCTGGTCAACCTAGCTCGTCGACGTGGATTGGCGGATCCGACCGATCGAAAAGGGTGACCCAGATCCGGATCCCACCAATCGAACATGCCCTAGGACAGCTGCAGTTAGAACCAAAGAGATCCCCTCCCCCACCCAAAAAATGCAATGCACATCTGGCTTTCTTATTTACAATGCAGAAAGGTGTTGCACAGCGTCGTGGGAATAAATAACAAAATATGATGAAAGCAGTGGAAGGCGTAACAATGTACCGTGAATATAAAATGAACTGTGCTTGGCAGCTGATAAAAGAACTATTGGTTCCGAATATAAGCCTAGAAGTACACTCGTACTACACTCGTACTACATAAGAATAGACACATACCAGGGAGAGGGGAGATAGGATGCGCAAGTAAGGAAGATAAGTCGGCTTTAAAGCACGCTTATCTTTAGTTTTCAGTGTAGTCTGGGGTAATGCAAATATCGTACCAAAGATGAACACAGCGGATAGCCCATTCACAAAACAATTTACGACCCACATGGTCACACATGACGGCGCGCTAACATTTCTTCATGGATGAGCCGAATTGCGGAGATGACGCCAGCGTCGCACATAAATACCGGGAGTATGTGTAGGCGGAATGACAAGCGATTAGAGCGAGCGCCTTCTAAAATACATACTGCCCACAAATTGAGTACTTGGAGGCTACGATAATAAAAATAAACTGGAAGCTGGCTATGGAAGTTATGGAAGTTGTAAGAAAGTGAAAATAATAAAATCAGATGCAGGCTGTCAGGTGCATGTACATGCACATGTACATGTACATGTACATGTACATGTGGGGTAGTAGTATGGCAGTTTTACAGAGGTGCCTATTTAGTATCAGCTTCAGGTAGATTCAAGCTGATGACAGCATCAATCCACTTACCATCAAACACATCAACAAAATCTGCAATAGCAATGTTGACACCTGCAGTCAGACAAACAAAAGAAAATATTTTGTTTCGTACAGTGTACTAGTGTAGAGGAGTATGTATCCATTCCTCTACAGTCTACACGTACACAAAAGCAAAACCTTAAAGTTAAAAAAGTTAATTATCGTGCCCGTTCCCGAAGGGAACTCACGACGGCCGCTAACACCCGATAAACCCTAGCGGCAGATGCAGCGCCTAACGGTGGGGGTGAGTGGGTAAGTCTCACAACCACTGCAAAACAACCACTGCAAAACCCTACTGTCCATATATTGAGTGTACACTACACTGCATTTCCTTTTGGCTAATCAGTATGCCTAGGCCCGTCACACCATGTTCTATTTCTTCCAGATTTGCTCAACTTGATTGCAGTGTAAGACCGTGGTGGTGAAGAAGGAGATTGAGACATGTTTATTGTTTACTCAACTCCATAGAGTACACAGTCCTCGGAGCGAGTTGTGCTACTGTTGCGGACATTGAAGTCCGTTGAGAAGTCAAGCGGCCAAGAGCACTGCTGGTCCATTTTCACAGTATGTACGTAAACTACAGTGCATGTACACGTTAAGGTAGTAAAGGACGCCGGGCCCGGTCATCCAATCGGGTTTCAATGTCCACGACAGTGGCTCGAGAGAGTGCACCACACACCAGGATGCAGACTGCAGAGTCTCATACACATGGAGAGAAGGGAAAATACGCTGTTTTTTTTTAAAACTCCGAGCTTCACGCAAAGACAGTTACATCCATAGAATATTACAAAGATGAGTATTGCAACAGCTTTTGGCCTTTTGATTCAATAAGACGTCACACTTCCAACGCCGCTGCATGCATTCCCCGATCGTCCGCGTTCAATAAACTAGCAACAAAACGACTTCAATTCAGATACTGATCCCTCAGACAGCTGTTTCGACCTAACATATTATATCAGCGAATGCCCCGTATGCCTCTTGAGTGACGTTAGCTCGCGGATGCTTTTTTCACACTACCACAGAGCTGCTATTTGCTACGTGGCAGTAGCTTTGTGTCATAGCGGAAGCTAGGCGTGACACCCGATTCCGAACTATGCGACGGCAGTGCAGTACAATGCTGGTGAGCGAATGTACGGAGTGAATGACCGATAAGCCTCTCGTGTCACTACAAGTACTTGCATTGGTATGCTTTTATAGTGCCCAGCCTGGTAGCATCACCCACTCACTTCATTGCCACTATGTGTTTGATCCTGCACCTTGCATTACTGTTACCACAGCAGGATGTCAGAAGATATTCTAGAATGGTGCGGTCAGCCATTGTAGGTGCCAGTCCAGAGCCCTCCCTATAATATATTCGAAACTTAGAGCTAAACAAATTATTGCATTTCACAACTTCATCCGGTGTCCGGGGCGAGAAATGGTACCAAACTGGTTGGTTGGTGGGGGGGGGAGGGAAAGAAACAAAAACCAAAAGGCATGCTCTATGCCACGAACCATAGTAATGCATACCTGTCCATTTGCTACCCGGTGGGGCCAGTTTGCGGCGGTTCGCCAGCCATTCACAGACTGGTGGCTGTGTGACCTTTGCCATGTCCTCCACACACTTCACAGTCACAGACGCACAGAGCTTGAAGAAGTTGGATGTGACGAGCGTCGAGTTGGGCGAACACTGTGTCTGCGTGATTGTGAACTTGTCAAAGCTGGGCCGCACCACCCAGCGCTGCCACTGGTCCGACATTCTCTGCAGGAGAACGTCCGTATCGGGTGTGTTGTGCCACGGCGAGGACACCAGGTCTCTGTGATACCACAGCCATGGGTAAGAAGCCACCTCTACAGGGTTATTGTAAAGGACAATGATGCGCTGTTGCGTATTCCAGATATCCGACAGTGTAACCGCAGTGGTACGCTCCGATGGCAGGCATATCTTATCGCCAAACGCCGACTGTATCATGTGGCAGAGGCGTGCATGCGAGTCTCGGTCCATGTCATAAAAGTGGTTGAAGTCGAGCAGCAGCACTTCGTCGACACCGACTTCAGTTATAAATTGCTTTATCTCCGCCAGCACTTCACTGACGGCCACTGAGATCTGTGCATGGCAGCACCACAGTTCGTTATTCACAAAGCAAACTCTCAAGTCCAGATAGCGAATGCCATTAAGCAGCTGAGTGAAGATGCCATAGTTCTGGCACTTCGACCACGGTGCGTAGTAGGACTGCACAACAGACTGTCCAGCTACAGCAGCTAGGCTTCGTACCCAGTCCAAGCTGTCTGGGGCAAGTGGAGATGCTGCATGGATGTTGTGCGACGCCGAATCATGAGAACCAGGGATGGAAATCTCTGCAAGGCACCTCTCCGCAAATGCAGGATATTCGTCAGCCAGCGCTTTCATCCAAAACGGCTTGCTGTCCATTGTGGACGACACTTCATTCTCAGTTTTCTTACTTCCCACCCCAAACTATAAATGTAAGCAGATTTGAACTCGTAATGAGCTGAAAACTGCCAAAAAGTGCCATGTCTGCAGTTTCGTTGTATTTTTGGTACATTTTTTGAATGTAAATAAATCTTTCACGGTCACCAGGGATTTTACTACTGACCTGGTTACAACAGCTCCAGAGCCAAATGTCAATGAAAGTAACTTCCCCTGTACTGTCCAACGAGAAGGACGGTCGTGTGAGTGAAGTCCAGGGGTCACCTTGTTTACGTAGCTTGTAAACATCCGCTGACAGCTTGATGCCTTGGTTTTGAGTCAAGTGAGGATTTCCTATATTTTAGTACTACCTTTACGTAGATTTGGTTATTGGAATTTCTCATGCAATTGAACATACATGCAGTTTTCTTGGCCTGGAGCGGCTGCACATGGTTTATGATTGCGGACAAGATCCAGCACTGAACAACAGCTGGTGAACACTAGTTGTTTCTGAGACAGCAACGATGCCCCTATCTTAGCCTGCTGGAAAGTGCAGGGTAGACGCCGACTGCCAGTTGCTTTCATGCTGAGTAAGAGGTCATCATGGCTGAACAATTTGGCCCCAGTCGTGGTCCGAAAAAGAAGAAGCCCAAATTCTCCGCCAATGTCGTTGGCACACGGTCGACCTCTGTCGGTACATCCCAAGACCCTGACAATGTGCCACGAAGCAGGCGAGAACTTGTGGTATCTGATTTCAGGAGTAAACTATGTGATGTGATGTCTACATTAGAAAGGGAGTACGAGGCTCTGTATCTGGAGAATGAAGCCCGTGAGTATTAAAACTCAGTGACATTGTGATAGAATGCCACTATGTTTAGTTTTTGTAGTTGGCAATTTATCTGTAGCATAAACATGCACCCACACATACGGGCACGCATGCACACACACACACACACACACACACACACACACACACACACACACACACACACACACACACACACACACACACACACACACACACACACACACACACACACACACACACACACACACACACACACACACACACCTGTCCTGTCCTGTCCTGTCCTGAACATTGCCGTTTCCGGTTACATGTCCCCTCGTGTGAGGGGCCGACACACATGGAGAGTTGGGTTGAGGCGCTGTGTCGCATCAACGTCCTAGCGAGATTTCCTAGCCACACACACACACACACACACACACACACACACACACACACATGCACACACACACACACACACACACACACACACACACACACACCATGTACCATGTACCATGTATACGCCCGTCGCAAGAGAAGCACGCAAATCTGCAAATGCACTGGATGTGCATCCACAGATTTTCTCTTATAGCAACGATGGCGAACAAGATCTGAATGAGACAGATCAAGACTTGCGCCAGATAACTGTCCAATCCATACAACCTGCGAAGCTATGTGAATCGCGCACACACACACACGGACACGCACACACACATGCACACCTTGACCTTGATCTTGCCCACTGCGTACGCAGTGACAGCAAATGTCTGAAAGTTCAAGTGAGAACACGAGCGCAGCATTTGGCATGCAGATTCAGGTTTCTTGGTCGATAAAACGGGTGTCCACTGACACAGAGAAGAAGATCAGGAGCGGGCCATGGCGGTGGAGTGCTACTGGCAACTTGTCTCCAGCCGGGGTGATCTTGACAACTCTCAATCCAGGTGGTCACTCATAGGCCCGTGGATTGCAAGTGTTCACGGGCAAAGTGCTTGTATTCACGTTTGGATTCCTGCGGGCAAATCTGGGTCGCAGGCAAATTTACAGGGAAACGGACTCTCAAACGGGAGAATCGTATCTAGTGATGTAGCGAACCATGAATTCTACGAACGAATAATCTAGCGACTACCACTCAAGCGAACGAACGATTATTCTTCTATTCCACAAGAAAATTCATTATTGACAATTATCAACTATTGCGAATGCGAAGTGTACATGTAGCAAACACACAACACAAACGCTCAGACTTGAGTCAGAGTAGAATCTACCATGGTCTACCGTGCATAGTCTAGTCCTTGTCTGCAACACAGTACAAAGTTCAATTAGTTCATGCATTCAAGTCAAGAAATCTAGAGTCGCCCGCCCGTGAATATTCGAATTTTCGAACCTTTGACCTAGATTTTATCCGATCGATTATTACTATTAGTGGAGGTTCAAGAGATCGAGGAAATTCGAATACTGTAAACCCCCTAATTTTAGCGACACATAAACCTTAGCGAATTTAGCGAATCAGTCAAATTCGCTTAAGTTAGGGATCGTGAATCCTTTTTTTTTTCATTTTTTTTCATGTGCATACCAGTCTGTGTTACTGTGTAGTATTCTGAGCTTTTTTTTTCCTTTCTTCACCAGTACATATACTGTAGATCTACATGACGAGTACTGTAAAAGCCATTATTCTAACGAAGCGCGTATTATAACGATTTCCCGAAATTGACTGGTTTACGTGTACCAAAGGTAACGATTCTCACTTATTCTCAACGCTCAATAGGACAGTATATGTATCGATTTCTGTATAACGATTTCTATTTTAACGACAGATTTCTCCTCGTTAACTCGTTAGAGTTAGCACTTCGTTATATGGAGAAACGAACTACTTATAGGTTATTGGATAGTGGGAAGTATACAAGGTGAGGTGTGAAAAAACTAAAGTGGGAGAGAAGACGAAAGAAATTAGAAGAAAAGATGTGAGAGTGTTCCCGACGGTGTGAGCTACTACATAAGGTGAGTGAAATGAAGGCGTGGAAGCAGGTGAATGTGATAGAGTGAGGAACTGTGAGGTGTAGGTGTATGCGAATGAATACGTGTGTGAATGCTAGGTGAAGAGTCTCAGTTTTGTGACATTTTCTTTCTGAATGCATAGTCGGGAACACTCTCACATCTTTTCTTCTAATTTCTTTCGTCTTCTCTCCCACTTTAGTTTTTTCACACCTCACCTTGTATACTTCCCACTATCCAATAACCTATAAGTAGTTTGTTTCTCCGTATAGCCTCTATTGTGAGACGATTTTCCCTGATGATAGTCTCAAGAAAATCGATTAGGAACTTCGTTATATATATGGCTTTTACAGTACTCCGTTTGCTCACATTACCAAAAAAACTGTCTACTATCGCTAAAATAAACGGTCGCTAAAACGTCGACAATTCGAAATTGCTAAATAAATTGGTCGCTAAAACTAGGGGGTTTACAGTAATCGATTATTCACTACATCACTGGAGAATACCCTTCGTATCAATCCCCTATTACCATTAGCCCGCCGCACACATACAACGCTGATGAAGAGTTGATCCTGTCATTTAACCCAGTAGTGGTCATTTTATTACTTCCCAGCCGTGTTTGATATTGTCACTTAATCTCTTTCAAGTTTTGGACATTGGTATCATCATGATCATTTGCCCCCATTCCCCAGATAAATAAGTACAGTCATGTAACTTACTGTAAAACCGGAAAATTTTGGTGGAGTTTTATTTTCAGTAATTTCGGTACAGGTAATTTTAACCGGAAATAAAACACACCGGAAAACTGGTTTCGCGCTACCGAACCGTTGATTTTGGGAAATACCGAAAATATTGCAACGAAAATTCCCGGTTTTACAGTATTATCTGATGTGAATCAAAATGTGTTGAATGTCTCCTCATGCTCTGTGACCTCTGTCTGTTCCAATGTTTTCCTGTTTGCAGTTCGCAAGCGAGTCGATGAACTGTCTGACCTGCTGGAGAGTAACGGCATCCGAGCAGACGGTAATCCCAGTTCCCTGCCCACCACATTGGAGGATGGCGCTGAAACACACACACCACCGCCACCGTCATCTTTGCCATCCACTGTCATGGCTGCATCCTCCACGGCCACTGCCACTGCCACTACTCCGGTTGGTAACAAGTTGCCACTTGGTGCTTCACCGCCGCGACGGCCTACAACGTCTGCCCCTGTGCCAATAGCACACGCACCTAACCTAGCCACCACCAATGCCGTAACCAAGTTCAATGCCACCTCACCGAAACTTGTCAAGAAGCTCTGTGAGCAGTCATACTGTCATTATCATTGCCAATCGACAACCATCTTTGTCCCACTACGACGGGCATTTGTCTTTGCATCCTGGCTTCTCCCAGCCAGCTGTCTAGGCTGAACATGGGGAATGTAGAGTGGGGCTGGGGCTTGTCCAAACGTATTGTTCTCACAGCCAGGCACAGTATCTCCTGTAGCAGAATGGCAGCACTGATGGCTAGATTCTATGAGGGCCTACTGGATACCAAACATAACTGGCCAGCTGTGTACTGTAACTTGCATTGTTTTCATGCACGCCCAGTAGGTATCTGTACTCTGGTTGTTTGGAAATGCTTGCAATCTGGCAAGTTCTGATATATACTGCATTTGTAAAAGCTACTCCATGCACAAGTCCAAGCCTTGCTTGTTTTTGGGTTTGTGCAGCGTCATCCAGCCGAGTAACTCGCTTCAAGACGACCTATCGAGCAGGAGCTAACAAGGTGTGCTTCTGGAGGCTTTGCTTGCAGTGTATGCGCTGGTGTGAACAGGCGTGACGGTGCATGTACCGGTATGCATGGGTGTATCATGGATAACATAATTATTGTGTTTGCGATAGTCTCTTGCTCCATTCGAGACATATTCTACGTGTTCCAGTTGAAGTTGTTGAGCCGGACACTCTACTGCCGAGTTCGTATTTAGTATTTTACCAGACTGTTGCTTGACGCAGTGTTGTGCTGTTCTTATGCGGCCTGGTGGGTGTAGATTCGGCGTGCGGCAACGTTTGCAACTGTCGAAGTCCGCCGCAGCTTGCAAGGCCACACGGACGGCGTATGGGACGTTGCCCATTCACCCGTCACCAACGTGATTGGCACAGCGTCCGCTGGTAAGCTGCTGCCACCACCGTTCTCTTCCTGTGCACCGCTTTCTTGTTGCGTTTACCTCATGAACAGTATTGCTGCACTGTGAGTCGACACTTCAAGATAGCCTGCTACAGTACTGTCGGGGGCCGAGGAACTGGAGAAGCAGCCTCGTAGCCTATGCCGTTCCTGTTTTCATGTGCTATGGTCTATGCTCAGTTGAGTGACCGTGTATACATTGGTATGCTGTGCCTGGTGAACTTCTAGCCTGTTCTGTTCTTCGGCACCCGGCAGTACTGTGCTCCACGATGCACTTGTTATGAGAAAGTGACGGCGGCATGGCCGCTGGGCCATTTCTGCCAATACTGCAGGATGTGTAGGGCTATACATACGCTATTGTAGAATGCATACTAGAATGCATACTGTACTACTGTGGGTGTAGTTTGTACTACCAACACACTCCACACAACTACCTGGAGAATGGTTATGTAGGGCGTTGAACGGTGTACAGTCAGTATCGCCTATAGCGTTGGTGTTTGATTTTGAGCATTTTATCACTATAAGCGATATATTACTATGACCGATACTGCATGCTATGTATGCAAGTGGGGTGTCAAATGACTCAGCGCGCCGTGCCCATACGCACAATGTCATATAGCTGGCTGTAGCTCCGGACACACAAAATCAGCATTTCCTCATGATGGAGGCATATTTTGGCAACGTGTACAAGCAAAACTCACCAAACAACACTCACTGGACAAGTTCTTCACGAAGAAGTAACACCCTGTTCTTCTCTGACATTGCTTGATTTCACATCAATCACTATAACCGACGCAAAAATAGTGTAATAAAGGTCTTTTGAAATATGAATTTGATCACTATAGGCGATATATTACTATAGACGATTATTACTATACGCGATAACTGTGTATACTTAGTTATGGTAAATGAAAATGAATTTGAGAAATTGATCACTATATCCGGTATATTACTATAGCCACCAACCTTATAGGCGATACGGACTGTATTCCTGGTCCCAGCATACTCACATCATGCATTACTCATACTGGTACAGTCCATAGCTACATGTATTTGGCAACACGCAGTGTGCTTCTTATGATCTTGTGAAGTGTCTGACGTGCAGTGTCTTGGTTCTGTTTTGCGCTCTCCTTTGCTAGACCGCTCGGCTCGTATTTGGTGCACGGAAAGCACTACATGTCTCATGAAGTACCAGGGTCACTCTGGATCGGGTGAGTTAGGCTGCGTCGTCGTGCCGCTCTTGCAGTAGATTCTCTTTCCACCTGGTTTAGCTGTATGGCTACTAGACCTGTGCACCAGTAGTCTTTCCTTCTCTATCACCGACACCACTGCATTCTGTTGCATTTGTACTTGTACTCGTTTGTTGTGCTTGTACTCACCGTGAATGATTTGTTTGGTGGTTTTGTCGTGCAGTGAACTCCGTCCGTTTCCATCCCAACAGCACGATGGCCTGCTCAGGTAGGTGGCCTACGTGGTATATGGCTGTACTGTGCTTTGCATTTTTATGGAGATTTGCTCACACTCATGATAAGTCTGCAACACCGTTTTCAGTTGTACTTCTACGGTACTGGCCAGGGAAGTCCAACCTCCTGGGTAAAGTATCCAGGGCGACACGCAGCCCTAGCCCAACGCACACTGTCCTGTGCGCTTCAACACCACACTGCTATATTCATGAGGTTGGATTTCTCTGGCCAGACCAGTACTGTACATGTAATATCTCCTATACATGCCAATCCAGAGCAGGTTGTGTGTGTAAAGGCGCAACGCAGGTATGGTTGTTGGCTGGCGGACAGGACATTGTCAACGCAGGTATGGTTGTTGGCTGGCGGACAAGGCATTGTCAACGCCGGTATGGTTGTTGGCTGGCGGACAGGACATTGTCCTACTCGCCAGCCTTGAATCATGTACATGTCCTCTACTGCTCTTATACAGAGTTCCACTGTCTTGTTGTTTGCTGTTGCTTTTGAAGCATCGGGTGATGGCCAGATTCATCTCTGGCGAACGCCATCAGCAGGCCCATCTTTTGCAAACAATCACATAGCGAAATCGGTCAGCCAGGGCAACGTTCCACCACCATCGTCCATACCCCTTTCTCCATCGGCTGACACCATAATCGGATCTTCGTCGGGAGCTGCGGTAAGTTCTGATCACATTGGCGCTATCCGTGTATTTTATCTTTACATGCATGCATGCGCAGTTGTGTGTGTGTGTGTGTGTGTGTGTGTGCCCATGTGTGTGTGTGCCCATGTCTGTGTGTGTGTGTGTGTGTGTGTGTGTGTGTGTGTGCATGTGCGTGTGTGTGCTTGTGTGTGCGTGCATGTGTGTGCGTGCGTGTGTGTGTGTGTGTGTGTGTGTGTGTGTGTGTGTGTGTGCGTGCGTGCCGAGCATTCGGGTTGTTTATTTAATAAAATGGTTTGTGTCTGCTGGTCCACCGTGCATAGTGCATTAACTCCTATTTTATGCATAGTGACTGCTAGTGACTATCTTCCTTCGTGACATCAAACAATAATTAGGACTATAAAAAATACTTCTGTGTATGCACATGTACAGGTATGTGTCTTTGTATATGATACCTGTACATCTACTGTAACTATACAACCTGATGTTTGTTATGTATGTACATGTATGTGCACCCTGTCCATGCTTGCTTGCCTGCCTGCCTACAACAGAGTGGTGGCTTTTACACGGACATGAGCAACATTGCCAACTGGGCGCAGAGCCAGGACTCGCATGCGCCGGCGGCGCCGGCGGATGACGACGAAGTCACGACGTGCGGCGAGCGTCTGAACGAGGAGCAGGCGGAGAACCTGGAGAAGTGCCACGTCACTCGCACCCCGGTCACCCACCTCTCCGGTCATGTGGGTACGTGTCTGTTGCTGCGTGCATGTGTTTGATTGGATGTAGGGCTGGCCGCTGGTGTTTCTTGATTTCAGTGTGAGTGCTGGCAGTCATAACGCTCAGCTGTTACTATAGGATAGCACTACTCCATCTATTTTTTAAAGCTCTTCTTTCTCATGGGTTTATTACATGTACGTTGAGGTATTTTTAACTGTTTATCCCAATCAGCATGAACCTAGTTGTTGCTGAATTGCGTGTGTTGCGTTGCTCAGGTGTTGTCACAGCAGCACATTGGCTAGCTGATGGCGATCACATCGCGTCTGCGTCCTGGGACAGGACACTCAAGCTCTGGAATGCGGAGACGTCACAATGCGTATCGACGTTGACAGGTGACGTGTGTACCACGGTGTGCTATCTGTGCTCGTGCGTGTGCTCGTCTGTGTGTGTATGCTTGCATGTGTGCATGCATAGGCATGGGTATAGCTATGCCTGTATTAGAGCAATTCAGCGAATCTGTAATCTCACTATGGCCGTTAGCTAATGCAAAAAAGTCGGTGCTGCTGTCCAGCCATCTTGTTTGCATGTGAGTTCTCTAGTCTCCTCTACCACGTCTCTTGAGAAATTTCATTCGTGCATTTTGGCTGCTCTCTTCATGATCCTGTGTACTAATTTGTAGGATATTCTGCTTTCTTGGCTGCAGGTCATGACCAGGAACTGACAAATGTTACCTGTCACTCCAGTGAGAAGCTAGTGCTGACCTCGGCTCGCGACATGACATTTCGAATGTGGGACCTGAGCTCATTCGACTGCCATCCCGTGCATGTGCTGCAGGCACATTCAGGGTAAGAAGACCACTGTGTGTGTGTGTGTGTGTGTGTGTGTGTGTGTGTGTGTGTGTGTGTGTGTGTGTGTGTGTGTGTGTGTGTGTGTGTACTGCTTGCCTTGTGCTTACACCACTCTGTGTTCTATGCTGCATGCTGTATACCGGCATATACAGTTGCGCTCGGTGAAATCTGACCTGGAGTGCACATTTGGCGCCCTCATCTTGCACAGCCCTCGACGCCCTGGAAGTGGTACGAATGCAGGCGGACGTACACATGTACAAATTCAATGATGTGATCAAAACTGGTACAGGGCGCCAGTTTTGCACTTTGGGTCGGATTTCACCGAGCACATCTGTATATGCCTTATATAGTCACTGGTGACCAATATGAGCAGTGCTATTAGTATTGTGCCGGTCACAGGTGGCCATAGGTGAAGAACACTACGGTGTGCTGCGCTGGTGAATACACAGAGGACGAGATACTACATAACTGATATCTGTAGAAAAAGACGATATTGCTGTTGTTGGGTGTTTCTTAGTCGTGTCTTTTGACTGCTGCCTCTGCCCGACAGCACTGTGACCAGCGCGATCTTCTCATCTAAAGGACACGTGATCAGTGCCAGTGACGATAGAACAGTCAAGGTTAGTTGTGCAGCTTTGTCTGACATGTTCAAGGCTCAAGAGAGCTAGATGCAGTGCCATGGACACATGTATTCCGGAAATCAATAGGCATAAACTGATACAGGAACTCTTTGAGGAATTGAGTTTGGATCGAGTTGAACAGTGCAAATAGGGCGGTGTAAATTGCTGATCAAGTGGGAATGGTGTGGCAGAAGTTGCAGAACCCACTTCGCAAGGAGTAAATCTAACGTCAATGTAAGTTAGAGACTTGTAGGATTTATTTCAATATCTCGTGCCACAACAGGATGACTGGCAACACTGAGAAAGGCTGTGTGTGAAAGCCAAGCAAACATGGTACATGACGGTCCTCATGCTGTGTACCCTAGGTTGGCTGAGGGGGCTTTGTACTGCTACGTGAACTTGGCTTGGTCGGCTTGAGACCCTCGTTTCCTTACTTTTGTGTTTTTGGCAGGTGTGGGATATGCGGCAGATGCGATCTCCCACAGTAACGATCCGAGCAAGCACTCCAGTGAACAGGTACTGTATAATGTCTTAGACTCTTAGTGTTCATGGACAGGGCCGCTCAAGATAGCCTACCTACGATACAAGAATCGTGTTGTACGCACTTTTGATGGCAGAACTTTGCTTTTGGATGCTGTGTGCTGAATTGATGATGCTGCTGCTTGGAACCTGTGCAGGTTGGTTAGTTACCCACCCTCATGATGACTGTTTGTGGGAAAGATTCGCTGGCTGGTCATTGCTTCCGTGTCATATGAGAAGCTTGTTCCTGTTCCATCAAGGCGTCTGTTATGGAACAGCGGGGCGATAGAGCCATGATTCTATTTTCTTTTGTATTTGCGGGACTGAAGTATTTCTGCAGTTGCATGAAAAGTTTAAAAACCGGTCGGGTGACTAGAAACGATGAATTACTGGTAAATTCAGGCGGCCTTTCTCTATCAACATTCAACTTTTGGTCACATCCTTTACGTTAATCTCCTCTTTTCTCATTGTGCATTGTCTTGTGCTCAGAATTGCTGTGTCATTAGATGCTCAGCTTGTGGCCCTACCACAGGATAATAGGCATATTCGCGTATTTGACATCAACGGTGTGCGTCTCGACAAGAGTAGCCAAAAGCGGGTAAGAGGAAATTGTGCTTGTTCCTTATAGTATCTACATTTCTTCCCCTTTCTCTCCCTCCCTTACACACACAGACGCACATACGCACACACACGCACACACACACACACACACACACACACACACATACACACACACACGTGCGCGCGCGCACACACACACACACACACACACAAACACACACCACACACACACACACACACACACACACACACGCACATACACGCACGCAAACACACACACACACACGCACGTGCACACACATGCACTACTTACTGATGGATAATTAATTAATTATATCTCGTGATATGAGTAGCAGCATGAAACTCTATTTAAAGTCGAGACATGTGCTGATATTCTTCCACTGGATCCTCAGTCCTGTATGTAAGATATAGACCACCGATCATTCAGTGTGGTAATGGTTGTACTGTCACTTCTCAGTTACTGAGTTACTTAGTTTGACGTTCCTTGTTGTCATATTCGTGTAGGGACATTGCCGGATGGTCACAGCGGCAGTATTCATTCCCGGTGACGATTCTCCCGAAAACTTCTACTCCGTGGGCTTTGATAACCGCTTGATTGGCTGGAGTGTCTCCTTACCTGGTAACTAGGTGAAGCTGGCCGTAGTCGCACACTTTCTTACCCAGTAGCTGAGCATGGCTGGCCCTAACCGCACACAACTCCTTACCCGCTAACTGGGCAGGCTGGCAATCATCCACCCCTGGCCGCCGCCCCTCCGTTGTACTCGTACATACTTGACTTCCCTGCTCTCGCTGCATTCCCGCTGCTCTGCGGATTGCAGTAGCCCGTTGTAACTTGTCGTCCTCACCTGTTTGCCGACAGTAGGCACGGTGTACTGGTATCTTCGTTTTAAATGTTTTCCCGCTTGACAATTGTACATAGACTGGCTCTATTTAATATCTCTGTAGCACGCTTGTAGCCGTTTGCTCTGTTTTGTTTTGGTATGAAATTACAGTCTTAATTTTCCCTGCACATACGACGAAAACGCCTGAGTTCATTTCAGCCATCGCAACTCCCTGTTGTTGATTTTTTTTAAATCTCTAGCATGTAGCCACATGATCACGATATTCACGGAGGGAAATCTCTTTCCTGCAATCCATGCTCATTACTTTAGGGTGACGCACCCAAACCCTGGTTGGATACGACTCCTCGACATTATCTCACGATACGCATACTGAAAGTATCCACATGTGCGTGTACATGTACATGTACGGCTGCAGATTGCCACAATGTAGACCAGGGTCCAGGGAATACTGTACAATCATATAGAAAGTGGTTTTCAGTACTCCACGATGTCCCCGATATGCCGATGTGGATCAATCTAGTGTACCGTGTATACTGTGAGTGTGACATAAATACCGGCATAAGGATTTAGGTGTATGCGCCTTGGCTCCTTCGCCTTTCGCCGAGCTGTCCTGTTCATATACAATCATGTACATATGTCATGCCAGGAAGGCCGCTGATTGGCTGTGGACGTGGTAACGGTCACGTAGCATGTAATGCAAACATGTACAAACTAGAATGTGGCATAATTATCTTGATTAGGAAGGAGAGAGGGGATCCGGATGCCGATGGTGCGACTTTTCCCATCGCGACACTGACCCTGAAAACATGGTAACCGTTCTCTTGATTATTGCTACTATTGTCAGCCAGAGAGTAACTGAGTAATTAAATAGAGAGGTTAAGTTTCACGTAAAAGTCTTACGTCCGTGAACTTTTACGTCAAAAAGTGAAAAAACTGCCAGGAAAAATTTCACGTCACGTCACACGTGTAACTTAACCTCTAAAAATTACACGTAACGTGAGATTTGCACCGCGTTTTGAAAAAGGGCAAAAAACGTGTAACTTAACCTCTCTAATCATATTAAATACACTGTACACTGTACCAAGATAATACCAAGAGTGCATGTGTATGGACAAGTCTCTTGGGGACTTCTATGCTCTTGCTGGTTTGGTTTGGTTTGGTTTTTATTATTTCAGTTCGTTGCCTCAACAGTACAAAGTACAAATATCAAGAGGGACGAACGAAAAGGGAAAATAAAACAGAGCAGAGAGGAAGATGCAACTGAAAGGAAAGAAAAACGGAGAGAAACGGAGAAGGAATGCTAATACTTCGACGATTCGATTTAAATATGCAGACTGGGACGTGAGTAACAGTGTAACCACCAATGCACCATGATAACCACCCCCTTCCCAGTTCCCTCCCAGCCTCCCCACCCCAGGCTCAGGGCCCCCTGCCCCTGGCCTGGGCTTGGCTCTGTTCCTGGCCCACGTGGCCACTGCCAGGTGTGTGACGTATGTCTGACTGGAATGTATGTCGACATCATGACATGTCACATGTCTACGAAAAAGCTGATCACATGATCACAGACAAGCGTCATCTTTGACGTCATGTGTAGTCTCAAACATTAACAGCGGCAGCGGTTTTCCGATAATTAATTTACATGTATTTGTTTGAGAAGTACCAGCATCGTCGCGTCGAGATGATCTGTCCTGACTCTTAATCTTGAGGGAAGTAATGAGCAAGCACACTGATTTGTAGTTATTTGCTCTCTGGTTGTCCAAATCAGTATCTTCATTTTCCAGTATTCCCTGAAGTGATGCTAATTCCTTTGAATCTGAGGAAAGTACAATTTTTGAAAATTGAATTAATTGAATTCTGATGATGTTGGACCAAGTTGAGTTCTACACGTAGTATTGAAAGTAACAATGCAATCATCGATAGTATATTTGGCCTACAAATAAATGTTCCCTGGACAAGGAGTCAAACGGAGCGTGAATGATGAGTAGGGAGCGGAGTAACACTGACGATATCATGGAGGCTATGGAACTCTACAAGAATCCTCTTGGTGGAGGTTAGTGATCTAAATTGTAGTTTACTACACGCACTGAAAAGCCTCTTGTATGGGAAAACAATTGTTCATGTCATCAAACAAACCCACGTACGGGAGCTGTTCACCCAATATCTATTAAAATCTATTCAAGCCAGTAATTCAATTGGAACGAAAAAGGAAAATATTTAGGTGAAGTAGGGAAGAGAAACATGACCGTATTGGCAAAGAACGGCAGCTGTACTAGTTTACTATGAAGTCTGGTGTATACAGTTGCGCTCGGTGAAATCCGACCCAAAGTGCAAGGCTGGCGCCCTGTACCAGTTTTCGTGCCGCTTCCAGGGCATTAAGGGCAGTGCGAAATGAGGGTGGCAAATGTGCACTCTGGTTCGGATTTCACCGAGCGTAACTGTACATGATGCGTAACATGGAACTACCTTTCGCTCACACGTACACATGAAAGGGACGGTACATCCAAACGTTGAATAATTCACCTGCGATGGTCAACCGCACCCTGGCCTGAGCCAGAATCCAGTATACGAAAGGATGTTGCTCTTTGACGAGCGGAGCCTGCATATTATTTAGTGTGTGTTCCGTATGCTAACGTATCCTTTTGATGACGTCACTATGGCAGTGCCTACAATTATGTGCGTTGCTGTACCCTATTTTCTGGAGTATAAACCGCACCCCCCCCCCCCCATTTTTTGCCATGAATTACAGCTACTTACCCTATTTATCACCGTTAATTTGATCATGGGAGTATAGGCCGCACTCCCATTCATTTGGGTGAATTTTGGGTATACTCAAAGTGCGGCTTGTACTCCGGAAAATCTGGTAAGTCCACTTTTATCTTGAAAGGAAAAGGACATAATATGGATACGAGTTAAGAGTAACTCTCCATCACTGTAACCAGATACTATATACAGTCAGAAAGTGCAACAACTAGGCACAAAACTGACAGAGTACTGAGACATTCGACGTCCTGGCACCTAGCTTCATTGTCTCAGTACTCTGTCAGTTTTGTGCCTAGTTGTTGCACTTTCTGACTGTATATAGTATCTGGTTACAGTGATGGAGAGTGTCTCTTAACTCGTATCCATATGACCTTTTCCTTTCTACATTTATTATTGGCTCAACATCCGAGTTTTAAATTCCACTTTTATCAACGAGCATTTAGTTAAATCTCAGAGATCGTATTAACCGAAAGAGAAGGAAATAAACCTCACCAGGGCCTTACTAATTCAAATTATCATGCAGAGTTATTGATTCTTAGTGCGCATGCTCTTATGCTGCTTGTTGGTCTGACCCACACTGTGCTGCAGATGAAGCGGAAACATCCATTGATGCCGGTGTTACCGAGGCAGATGAGCGGAAGCGCAGCCCCACGGCTGGTTCGGGAAGCTTTGATGAAATTGTGTAAGCAGGAGTTAGTAGGAATGGCATGGTTTTTGGATGTCTTACGTTGCCCGATGGTCGTGAGAACATGAAGCACGGAGTTGCCATGGACGATACGGTGTGGTTTTAGACTTCTAATGTTATGCATGTACAGTAGCATTATTCAGTATAGCGGTGCCCTAGTTCACGGGTGTTTCTCAAGGTCTAGCAAGTGGGGAAGGGTAGTAAAATGGGGGCATAACACACACACACACACACACACACACACACACACACACTGGACAACACACACACACACACACACACTTATACAGCCTGTACTAGGCAACGAACAAAGTTCTTTTCTCACTGCCTGTTTTTCAGTTTTCATTATTTTCAGAGTGAGCGGACAAACTAGTGCCGCTCAAGCGAGTGTCTTGGGGGTGTTCAACTTCCTTTGCTCTGCATTTCAACCAGAATTTGTGAGCCAGAGGCTATCATTGAACAGTGTGAAGGGCTGCTCAGCTTCTGTTGCTGGTGGTTGCATACTGCACGCTTTAGGGTAGCTTGCCCTGGAATCTGTTTTGCTATACTCATGCTGGAATTTGTGGAGTCTTGTTTCCAGGACTAGTTCTCGCTGGGGTCTTTGCCGGTGTTGTACCATTGTCAGAATGCTCTGTGTATGGGTATGCGCGCATGTGTGTGTGTGTGTGTGTGTGTGTGTGTGTGCGCGCGCATATGCGTGCGTGCATGTGCGCGTGTGTAGGCTTGACTGGAATTCTCTCTTCTCACAAGCCGACTGTGACATTGAGGTACAGTACATGTGTGTGGTGTGTGCATTGGTAGACTGTGTACACCGTGTTTGTCTGTTTGCATGGACCTGCGTGAGTGTGTGCATTGGTAGACTGTGTACACCGTGTTTGTCTGTTTGCATGGACCTGCGTGAGTGTGTGCATTGGTAGACTGTGTACACCGTGTTTGTCTGTTTGCATGGACCTGCGTGAGTGTGTGCATGGACCTGCGTGAGTGTGTGCATGGACCTGCGTGAGTGTGTGCATGGACCTGCGTGAGTGTGTGCATGCTTTGCTGTGCATGTTTATGGTTGTCGGTATGGCACTTGCAAGGTTAAGATCTTCCCTGGATCACGACGCTGCCACACTTTAGCAGTTACCTTTTTTGGCGGTACTCAGCTTTAAAAAAAAATCCTTATCAAATGTGTACTCATAAAAAGGACACACTTCAGGCTCTTTACAAACATCTTGAAAGTTTTTTGTTTCACAAGTATACTTGTCCGCGCTGCGTGCTCAGACAGACTTACTGAATTTGCCGTTTGATCGTCGTTCTGCAGCGCTGTAGTATTTCTCTTCCTCTGTTAGTTCTTTCTCTTCTGTCTGTCAGCGCTTACTGTCACCCAGCGCTAGGTGCAAGCACCCCCTGGCAGATTCATACTACATTGTTCTACTTGATAAATTTATTGTTCTCTCAAACTTATTCCTTCGTTGTGTTCGAACTGTTTTTGAATTATTTTCGTTTCTTTCTTGCCATGTGCCAGCTGCCGAAGTGTGCAGTCGCAGCAGCGCCATTTTTGAATTATGTCATTGATCATGTGATCACGAGCGATTGTTGCTAGCGCTAGATCCGCGGATCTGCTAGTGGTACGCATGCATACGTGTAGTTTGACTTGCCTGCGATAGTTTTCTGTGATCTGCTGTTTTGCACTGGAATCGCACTTGTACTTTTGACCTCTTCACACTTCTCCTTTTGGCAATGCGTGTCCTAAATCTCTCCGCAAAGTTTCCGCTGATCCCGCGCGGGGTTCTCACGCACCGTGCGGCGCAGTACGGAATTTTGCACTTGTTTCTTTTCCTGTATCCTTTTCTGGTTTCCTAGCACCTTTTCGGGACTGTTCCTCTGGGCAAGAAGTAGCCTTGTCTTGGTGGCTTTCTGGTTCATGGTAGAGTTTTTTTCTTTGATGCTCATAGAGTTTGCTTCGTCTTTCTTGTCTTATTATCAAATTTACACTATCGTCATATACTAAGCACAGCTTTGGAGTGTTGGCGAAATTACAATACTTTCAAGCCTGCCAAAAAAGAGCCTGAAGTGTGTCCTTTTTATGAGTATTATCGCATTTTGTCTCAGAGGAAACTGTTTACAAATGTGTACTGCTGAGATAAAGTAGTATGCCATGATACGGTGCAGGAAACCAGTGCACTTGTCAAATTTATAAAGCAAAGCGTGTCCGATTCTCTATTGAAGTCTATGCATCTACGCTTTCCACATCCGTCTAAAAGAACACACCAACAGTCACTGTCACTTTATTCCCTGTCTGAGCCCATGATGAGAAGGGAACGAAAACGTTTGGTTCAGAAGATTTTTGTGGTGTGTTCTTTGTGAAATTTGTCAAAGGTTATCTATCCTAGTGAAATACAGTCAACCTTGCCAGTAACAACCCCCAATCGGGCATGCAGCAAGTGTTGTTATATCGAGTTTTCATTGTTCGTGAGGTTGAAAGTATGCAGCCAACATGGTTACTAGTACCAGGTCTGAACATATTGTCGTTATTCGTGAGTTGTTGCTATATCCGAGGTTATCATATTTATTTTCGCGGTGTTGGCTGTAGCAACGCTAACATTGTATTGGCTCTGTGTGGTGTATGTTACTAAAGGTAGCTCAGCTGGGACTCAAGGGTTTGCTTCGAGGGTGCCCGTTCAGAAGTGTCTGCTGGAAGGTCAGTTGTTCTCTGATGGTGTTTCCATCTAACTTGGGTGATACTATTGATTTGATGTAAGCATGTATGCATGGTTGTACCAACGTATCCATCCACCGATGCCTGGGTTTATCAGCTTGCAACTCTATTGATGCCTGGCAGAGAGGTGTTGTATTTGTACTAATGATGTCTGATCTGCCAGTTCACATCTCAGAGGGAGAGAGAGAGAGACAGGGAGACGAGAGAGACAGAGAGGGGAGGAAAGGAGAGAGGAGAGACACTTGGTTTCTTTAATATAATATTGACATGTGGGTGCTTGTTTGCCTTACAACTGCATATCTGTAGCTTTTCCTGGGTATATTGCACGAGGATCGCTCGATGTGGTGCAGTGAAATGAAGCGGCATCGGAAAGAGTATGCGGACATCCATGCAAGGGTATGTACATGCATTGCTGTTTTACATCAGTTTATTTTGTGTGAATTTGTGTACATTGCTGATGGCATTCCCCCTTTTTTTGTCAGCACATTGAACTACAGTACTGGCCAAAGGAATCCAATCTCATGAATAAAATAGCGCCGGGCGCTACGCAGCCCTAGCACTACGCATACTGGTCTGTGCACTCGAACGCGGTGCTATTATATTCACGAGGTTGAGCTTCTCTGACCAGAACTGTAGATAAAGATGTAGTACATGTGCACTGATTCTTTTATTTTTAAAGGATTCCGCAAAGGCTAACAGCCGATGCAGGGGGTCTTTGTTGTTGACTAGTTGGTGGCATGTTACGTAGTAAGAAAATGGAAATGGCAGTCCACAGATGCCGGACGTCACACACTCTCCAGGCTACAAGCAATGTTGTTCTGGTACAGCAGGCAGGTGAGCACAAGAGACCGTCAACACGAGTACGATGCGAGCATGACACAGGTGCTCATTCGTTATCCGGCTTCCAGGAATTGGTGAGAGCTCTGTAGCACATCTCGTTTATCTGAGTACTTGTATCTGTTTCGTTGCTGATCCGAGTCGAGTTTCGTCATGGAATGTGAACTGTATCTAGTATCAGCTCTCACTGCCTGGATCAATCTATGTCCAATCCCTACTCTGTACGCCATTGCCAGTTCCTACTTAGCTCCTACTGTAGGAGTAAACGATAATACGAGAATTTTCAAACTTTTGTGTCTCTGTTTTGTGTGTGTGTGTGTGTGTGTGTGTGTGTGTGTGTGTGTGTGTGTGTGTGTGTGTGTGTGTGTGTGTGTGTGTGTGTGTGTGTGTGTGTGTGTGTGTGTGTGTGTGTGTGTGTGTGTGTGTGTGTGTGTGTGTGTGTGTTGTGTGTACTGTTCGGTGATGCTGTGTAGTTCTTGGCGGATCCTCGGCGCCATGGATCAGGTTCTGACACACCCGATGTCACTGTGAACAATCCTCTATCGCTGGATACAGAGGTGTGTGTGTGGAAACGGTCTCTTTGTGAATGTACTGCATGGTTGTACTGCATGGTTGTACTGCCCTACTGCCCTACTGCCCTACTGCCCTACTGTAGTACACAGGGAGTTCTTCAAGAAGCCATTTTTCCTTTTTTTTTATAACCAGCCTCGTCGCTACCTTTTGAGAGACCTGAAGAGGGCCGCAAAACATCTCAGGGTATGAGGCAAACAAGAGAAGGTTTTTGGAAAATGGCATCAAGGTCATTGTGTTTATTCTTGGAAACCGATGGAATCAGAACCGCCGTTGCTGTGCACTATTGACGCCATCACTTTCAAGTCCTATACCTGCGGAGACTCCCTCGACTTAGGCGGGGCCTTTGGAGAATCCATAAATACAAATACAAAACCCGTTGTCCTATTTGCTGCATCTACGTCTTTGTGATGTCTGCTTCGTCTGTGATTTGAAAGGTGACATACCAGCAGTCTGCCGATATCTGTTTTTCATGTTGTGTTTGTGGCTGTACTATACTGCTTGGCAGAGCCCTTGGAATAAGTACTTCCAGGACGAGGAGCTCAAGGCAATGATTGTGCGCGACGTTGAACGAACGTGAGTTGTGCACTTTTCTTTGCAGAAGTTGAGGTCCTTTTGTTGAGAGGAATGGTAGCTGCTAAGCTTCTGCGCTACTCCTTAGTCAGTGTGTATTGAACAACAAGCATCATTCTGTTGCTCTTGATATTGGGCTCCTGCCTGAGATTATGCTACTATGTGTAGAATGTGGAAATAGGCTTTTGCAGATGTGTTAGGGTACTAACGTTAGTAGTGCTAAATTGTGTCTTTTTCCGGTGTTCCCTTGCTGAATTGTGTTGGTAGGTTTCCAGAGGTGGCGTACTTCCAAGAGCCGAATGTCCAGTGAGTTGCTTTTCTCTTCTCCTGGTGATGCTGTTGTTGTTGTTGTTGTTGTTGTTGTTGTTGTTGTTGTTGTTGTTGTTGTTGTTGTTGTTGTTGTTGTTGTTGTTGTTGTTGTTGTTGTTGTTGTTGTTGTTGTTGTTGTTGTTGTTGTTGTTGTTGTTGTTGTTGTTGTTTTGAATTCTTTATTCTCACTCTGTTGCTGTTGCTGTTGCTGTTGCTGTTGCTGTTGCTGTTGTTGTTGTTGTTGTTGTTGTTGTTGTTGTTGTTGTTGTTGTTGTTGTTGTTGTTGTTGTTGTTGTTGTTGTTGTTGTTGTTGTTGTTTGTCATAGTCGTCGTCGTCGTTGTTGTTTTCTATCTGATGGTCGCTGCCAAAAAGTTAGTGTTCGACATGAGTGACGACATGAGGGTTGGGGGTGCACTAACTCCACAAAGTGTGTTGGGAGAAGATGGAAATACATTGGAAGGCAAGCCGAGAGGTGACGACTTACATGACGGCAAATATCATTCCATCACATGTATGATGCCGCCATGTTGATTGAGTCATGTGAGGTCAAAGTTAGGTAGGAATGCATGCCGTGAGCTATACGGTAATACATGTAGCAAACTGTGTGTTTGTCTATGCATATGCAAGTAGTGCACTGGCTGCTGCAGTTTTCACTGCCCCATGGTGTCACTGAACTCCCAGACCCTAGGAATGCTGTATTTCTTTGTGCGTCGAGTTGAATTGTGACACCTGTGTCTTTTTCTACAGGGCCATGATCACGGACATTCTGTTCTGCTATTGTCGAGTTCACACAGAGATGGGTTATCGCCAGGTAAGGCTCGTCGGTTCATGAGAGTGTGTGACCGATGCACTCCTTAGCTCATTTCCAATGCTGGCCCCAGGTATATTAACTTCGAAGTATCTTTATTGCCACCTCGATGTTAAATACTATGCTGCAAGTGCTGCATCTACACAGTACACCAACACTATGTTGTTGTAACCAGGGGGTACTGGGGTACTGTGAAATACCAGGTATTCTACTACTCGCTGGTTGTAACTGTGTGTCTCGTGCTATTGCGCAATCATCAGACAATATTCTGGATACTGTGTGTCCACTATCTGACGGTAAGGAATATGTCGTAGCGTTTGCTGTTTCGATGAATGTCGACGCCAAATCATTGCTTTGTTTTTGAAATGCGTTTGTATTTGAACGAACTCTCTTTTTTCCCTTTTTTTCTGCCTTGGCTTGGCAGGGTATGCATGAACTTGTGGCCATCCTGCTTCTAGTAGTTGACTGTGATAAGCGCGATAGCAGCAATATTGCATCTGATGATCCATGGTAGGTAGACGGTGTACTGTGTGTAATGTGTGTAATGTGTGCAGTGTGTACTCAGTACAGTGTACAGTGTAGGCTTTGTTTTTTTCTTCCTACAGTCAGCAAAGCACTGGTTTGGCCTTCCTTCCTTTTGTGTCCTATATCTATCACATGTGTTTGTAGATGTGTGTATTATTGAGTGGAGTATTTGGGGTTAGGTTGAGTGGGTGTGTGTGTGTGGGGGGGGGGGGGGGGGGAGTTGTTGTAAGAGAATAAACATTTTTTGACCTTACACTTTGCTGGTTTATAGCAAGCTCTACTCTCCGAAACGTGCTTGAGTGTTTGTTAATGCTAGCCTCTGAGTGCGCTAGCAACGCCTTTGCTTGTAAGACCGGTATTAGTGTTACCGTGGCATTGGCATGTCTAATCATGTATTATCGATGTATTCATGTGTATGGGTGTGTGTGTGTGTTTGTGTGTGTGTGTGTGTGTGTGTGTGTGTGTGTGTGTGTGTGTGTGTGTGTGTGTGTATGTGTGCGTGCATGTGTGTGCGTGTGTGTGTGATGTGTGCTGTGTGCCTGGTTCCTGCAGGGCGGATGAGATGCTTCTGTTGCTGAATGGTGACTCGGTAGAAGCTGATTCTTAGTAAGTCTCCACTATTGTGTGGCTGCTTCCTTTGTTGCCCTCGTGCCTCCACTTCATTGCTAGCGTTAATCTTTGGGCTAGGAGAATAGCGTAATCCACTGTGCCTGCTCGTATCATAAGTCTATTGGAATACTATTAGCAGATTACTATAAAATCCTCTCCCATTCGATGGATGTGCTGTTGTTTGTGCTTGCCTGATGTTGCGTTCCTCTACAGCATCCTCTTCGCAGCACTCATGGAAACGTGCTCGTTCTGGTTTTCTCACTCGGTTGGCTCCCCCGAGAGCGGCAGTGCGGCAGAGGTAGGTGATTGCAGTGTCGGGGCAGTCTCCAGTGCAGTGACTCTCTTCTTTCCTTTCTAGAACGTGTCATTGTTGCAGCTACAAAAGTGTACTTTGTGTAGGCGTCATGCAGGGAACAGAAAACCCCACGTTACTTGTTGGGACACCCTTCATCTAGCTGTGGTGTTCTCCCTTCCTAGCAACAGCACCGCTACAAGCATGATTGTGTGGATATGTCTGTGCAACTTGCAGATGAGCCCTCTGGCGAAGAAGCTCGAGCGAATCCAGGATCGGCTGCTGAAGAAGGAAGACCCATTGCTGCACGCGCACCTGCAGAAACTGTCAATAGTGCCCCAGCTGTATGCATTGTGAGTACAGGCACCTGCAGAAACTGTCAATAGTGCCCCGGCTGTATGCATTGTGAGTACGGGCACCTGCAGAAACTGTCAATAGTGCCCCGGCTGTATGCATTGTGAGTACGGGCACCTGCAGAAACTGTCAATAGTGCCCCAGCTGTATGCATTGTGAGTACGGGCACCTGCAGAAACTGTCAATAGTGCCCCGGCTGTATGCATTGTGAGTACAGGCACCTGCAGAAACTGTCAATAGTGCCCCAGCTGTATGCATTGTGAGTACAGGCACCTGCAGAAACTGTCGATAGTGCCCCGGCTGTATGCATTGTGAGTACAGGCACCTGCAGAAACTGTCAATAGTGCCCCGGCTGTATGCATTGTGAGTACAGGCACCTGCAGAAACTGTCAATAGTGCCCCGGCTGTATGCATTGTGAGTACGGGCACCTGCAGAAACTGTCAATAGTGCCCCGGCTGTATGCATTGTGAGTACAGGCACCTGCAGAAACTGTCAATAGTGCCCCGGCTGTATGCATTGTGAGTACAGGCACCTTGCTGACCTTTCCAAGAATACTTGTACAGTGGGGTACCGGTAATTCTTACCCCAACATACTTCAGTATGGATCAATACACCCGGGGGGTACCCATGCTCCGGACAATGTTCGTACTAAGCAAGAGTATGCCTTATCAGAGTACGTACCTGTACTAAGTGGGTTCCACTGTGAATGTTTGTTCAATGTAGCCGTGATTTTAACTTCACAGTGGTCTCTCATGTGTAGTGATTTGCGATAAGCCTCCGGTTTTAACGATTTGTTTTACGGAGATTTTCCATGTGTTTTGAAATTAAATTATTTGCATTCTTTTATGATAATATGTTATTTGATATTTCTTTGCATAAATATGTAGCGTACGGTACTCGATTAGTGCCACGTGGATCTACGTTAGGTTTGTCCACTTTTGCTAGGGTACTCATGCATGCACGTGTCTTCCTTTACCGTACACCATTCGTGTCCTTTGCCGGATATTTGTACTCCTTTTATTGCGCGTTGTAATTATTGCATGTTTGTACATACGCTAACTTTGGCGCACTACACATTCTGTATTTTCTCTTGGTTATGGCACAAGGATTCAGAGAATCCTTCAGTAGTCTAGACATTAGTCTTCACCATGCGGTTTGGCCTTTCGGTGTTCTTTTGCAATGAATAATAACAGTGTAGTCTGAGTAGTTTTCCTGTGGATTCCTGGTGGATTTTAGAATTGAGATGTGCTAGATGCATCAATTGGTGACCCCTCGAAACGAACTCGGATGTCCTCCTCTGGCTTAGGAATGGACCAAGCTGTCACCCCTGCTCGTGGTGACCTTAGCAAAGGTCTCTCTTCTCGACTACATTCGCCATATCTGAACAAGACAGTGCAGGACAGTACCGGTAATGGCAGCGATCCTCAGTCAAGCACCGCTACTGATGTAGCTACGAGATCCCAACCTGCCGCTGCAGCACAATCGGATCCTGCTCCTCGTCCTGAGACTGTATCAACCGTTAATTTGAAGATTCCACCCTTCTACATTCAAGACCCAGCTCTGTGGTTTCTTCAGGTAGAGTCTCAATTTATCACACAACGAGTAACTAGTGAGCGCTCCCGTTTCCACCATGTGGTTGGTGCACTGCAACCGGAGATGGCCATGCAGATAAGGGATATACTGCTGAACCCACCCAGCGACCGCCCTTACACTCACCTGAAGGAAGCATTGGTCCAGCGTACTTCTGCTTCTGCTCAGCATCGGATCAACCAGCTCCTATCTGCTGAAGAGCTTGGTGATTAGAAGCCTTCTACCCTATTGCGCAGACTGCAACAGCTAGCTGGTGATACTCCAGTGGATAGCCAATTCCTCAAGGAGTTATTTATGAAGCGTCTGCCAGATCAGTGTAGAGTAGTACTTGCAGCCAGTCGTGAGTCTGATATACAGCAGTTATCTCTGCTAGCTGACCGTGTCATGGAAGTCATGCCACCCCATGTCCGTGCTGTTACTGTGCCAGAACCCGTTGCTGAACCTCTGGCGGAGTTGCGTGCCGAGGTCGCAGCCCTCCGCAGAGAGATGCAAGATTTGAGTACTCGTGGCCGTTCAGCATATCGATCGCCCACACGAAACTACGGTCGTTCGCGCAGTTCGTCGCAGTCCCGTAAGTCCTCAGGATTGTGCTGGTATCACGACAAGTTTGGCGACAACGCTCGCCGCTGTGTCCCACCCTGTGCCAGAGCAGCTACCTTTGTGCAGCCGTCAAACTCCCAGGCCGGTCGGTGAAGGCGACCACTGCCCCCGGCCCTGCACCGTCTCGTCGCCGATTATTCATCCACGATCGCTTCACCAAGCACGATTTTCTCGTGGACACCGGTGCCGAGGTCAGCGTTATACCACCATCTGCCACTGATTCTCGCCATGCAGTTGATTATGCGTTACAAGCAGCGAATGGTTCTCGCATACCGACGTATGGTACACGCTCAGTAACGGTGGATTTCGGCCTGCGTCGTAAGTTTCAATGGGTGTTCATTATTGCTGATGTGACATCACCTATTATCGGTGCAGATTTCCTGGCACACTTTCGGTTAAGTGTAGATCTGCACGGTCGTAAACTGTTAGATGGCATCACCAGTCTGAGTGTGTGCGGTCTAGTCTCGTCCTCCGCTGAGCCGACGTGTTGTTTGCCAGTCTCTGGTGATAGTTCGTTCAACGCTCTTATTAATGAGTTTCCATCTGTCACCCGCCCCTGCAACTACGACACACCTGTGAAACACAACGTCGAGCACCATGTGGTCACCACGGGCCCACCGGTATTTGCCAAGCCTCGCCGTCTCCCTCCTGATCGTTTAGCTGTAGCTCGTCGGGAATTTGACCACATGCTCGCTGCGGGCATCATACGACCATCGTCCTCCCCATGGGCCAGTCCATTGCACATGGTTCCCAAACCAAATGGTGACTGGCGCCCATGTGGTGATTACCGTGGCCTAAATCGTGCAACTGTGGCTGACCGGTATCCGATACCGCACATCCATGATTTCTCTGCCAATCTTCATGGCGCCTCAGTCTTCAGCAAGATAGACTTGGTTCGGGCGTACCATCAGATACCAGTGGCAGAGGATGATATCCCGAAGACGGCCGTTACGACCCCATTTGGTTTATTCGAATTTGTTCGTATGCCCTTCGGACTCCGGAACGCAGCCCAATCATTTCAGCGTTTCGTTGATCAAGTGCTGCATGGCCTGGATTTCTGCTTTGTGTATATTGACGACATCCTAATTGCCAGTTCGGATCCTGAGACGCACCGCACGCACGTCCGCTTGGTCTTACAGCGTCTGCAAGAGCACGGCCTCGTCATTAATCCTGCCAAGTGCGTATTCTCTGTTTCTACCATTGAGTTCCTCAGCCACAATGTCAGTCGTCATGGTATTGAGCCGACTTCCCAACGTGTTCAGGTTATTCAGCAGTTCAAACCACCAACTTCTCTCCGTCAGCTTCGTGAGTTCCTAGGTATGGTGAATTTCTACCGGCGTTTCCTACCTAACTGTGCTGCTGTCGTCAAGCCTCTCACGGATCTGCTCATCGGCAAACGTAAGCATGACTCCTCGTTCTGTTGGACTGAAGCTGCTGAATCTGCATTTGAGCAGGTGAAATGCCTTCTAGCTACCACTACATTATTATCGCACCCTAACCCTGAGGCACCCATCAATGTCATGTGCGATGCATCTGACTATTGTGTCGGAGCTGTGCTTCAGCAGTTTGTCGATGGTGCATGGCAGCCGCTAGCTTTCTTTAGCAAGAAGCTTTCCCCTGCTGAATGCCGCTATCCTACTTTTGGTCGCGAATTACTGGCTATGTATCTAGCTGTCAAGCACTTTCGCCACTATGTTGAGGGCCGGTCATTTCATATAATGACCGATCATAAGCCGCTGACCCATGCCATTCACTTGCCGTCAACTCGCCATTCTCCCCGTGAGGCACGACACTTGTCCTTCATAGCCGAATTCACCACCGATATCCGCTTTGTCAAGGGCACTCAGAACGTCGTTGCCGACACGTTGTCACAACCACTGGATGCTATTGTCCAGCCATCCTCAGTCGATTTTGCTGCTCTCGCTACCGCTCAGAGTAACTGTCCTGAATTCATCGCTCTCCGAAATAATGATTCATCCAGTTTAGTGTGGCAAGAAGTTGCTTCGCCTGTCTCTTCTCAGTTGCTATGGTGCGACACCTCCACTGGTTCACCTCGCCCGTACGTACCTCCCGACTTCCGCCAACCCGTATTCAACATGCTGCATAATTTGTCTCATCCTGGTATTCGTGCTACACAACGTCTCGTTACCGCTCGATACGTCTGGCCTTCCATGAACCGTGATGTGCGCAACTGGTCTCGTTCCTGCCTGTCATGCCAACGATCGAAAGTGCATCGTCACACTAAGACCCCTCTTAGTCGCTTCATGCCACCATCTGCTCGTTTCGACCATATTCATATTGACCTGGTCGGACCACTCCCATCTTCACAAGGTTTCACGTACCTACTCACCTGTGTTGATCGCTTCACTAGATGGCTGGAAACCATTCCTCTCCATGATTGCACCGCGTAAACCGTCGCATTCAATCTGGTCTCTGGTTGGATTGCCAGATTTGGTACGCCGTCAACTATCACGACAGATCGTGGTCGACAGTTTGAATCTGTTCTCTTCCAGTCAATATGCAGTCTTCTTGGCTCTAATCGCATTCGTACGACAGCATATCATCCACAGAGCAATGGCACTGTGGAACGTTTCCACCGCCAGCTTAAATCTGCTCTGACCGCTACCCAATCAGCCAACTGGTTTCACCGTTTGCCACTCGTTCTCCTCGGTATTCGCTCCGCTTTACGCACCGATCTAGATTGCAGTGTTGCCGAGCTGGTTTATGGTACAACCCTCCGTTTGCCTGGTGAATTCTTCACATCCTCATCTGAGTCTCTTCCGTCAGCTGCTCCGTATGCCATTGCCCTACGGACCATGATGCGTGACATCCGCCCTGTCGAGCCGCGAGATGCTCCTACTACTCGAGCTACTCACGTTGCCCCTGCTCTTCAGTCAGCCACCCATGTCTTCATTCGTACAGATGCTGTGAAGAAACCACTGCAACCCCCATATACTGGCCCACATCCAGTCATCAGTCGTGCTGAAAAGCACTTTGTGGTTAATGTCAATGGTCGACGGGACACCATCTCGCTTGATCGGCTGAAGCCAGCTCATATGCCTTCGCCATCAACTGTGTCCACTCCAGCTGTTCCTGTTCAGTCGCTTCATGCCCAGCGACCTCCTCAGCCTATCCGGTACGTACACTTTGAAGCTCATTGAGTGACTGTTGATTCTGTGGCTATGCTATTTGTACATGACTTGTAAATATTCACTATGAACATTCTTGTATATAACAGTTATCACTATTCTTACATTTCACCATTGTCGTTTCTCTCTCCTCTCTTTTCGTGGACTTTCTTTGCATTTCCGTCCACTGGTGGGGGAGTATTGTAGTGATTTGCGATAAGCCTCCGGTTTTAGCGATTTGTTTTACGGAGATTTTCCATGTGTTTTGAAATTAAATTATTTGCATTCTTTTATGATAATATGTTATTTGATATTTCTTTGCATAAATATGTAGCGTACGGTACTCGATTAGTACCACGTGGATCTACGTTAGGTTTGTCCACTTTTGCTAGGGTACTCATGCATGCACGTGTCTTCCTTTACCGTACACCATTCGTGTCCTTTGCCGGATATTTGTACTCCTTTTATTGCGCGTTGTAATTATTGCATGTTTGTACATACGCTAACTTTGGCGCACTACACATTCTGTATTTTCTCTTGGTTATGGCACAAGGATTCAGAGAATCCTTCAGTGGTCTAGACATTAGTCTTCACCATGCGGTTTGGCCTTTCGGTGTTCTTTTGCAATGAATAATAACAGTGTAGTCTGAGTAGTTTTCCTGTGGATTCCTGGTGGATTTTAGAATTGAGATGTGCTAGATGCATCACATGTTTTGATGTTTTTTTTTCGATTTTACTCTGTACAGACGCTGGGTAAGGCTGCTCTTTGCGCGGGAGTTTCCGCTCCTGGACGTGCTCGTTCTGTGGGATGCTATTCTAGCATATAGTCCCAATCTGGACTTGGTCGACTACATTGCACTGGCCATGCTGCTGGTGGCACGTGAACCACGTGAGTTGCTTGCGTGTGTGTGTGTGTGTGTGTGTGTTGTGTGTGTGTGTGTGTGTGCGCGCGCGCGCGTGCGTGTGTGTGTGTGTGTTGTGTGTGTGCGCACGCGTGCGCGCGCGTGTGTGTGTGCATGTGTGTGTGTGTGTGTGTGTGCATGTGTGTGTGCATGTGTGTGTGTGTGTGTGTGTGTGTGTGTGTGTGTGCATTGTGTATGTGTGCGTTGTGTATGTGTGCGTGCGTGTGTGTGTTGTGCGCATGCATGCGTGCGTGTGCATGTGACATGCATGCTCTTCTTTTCCAAGCATGGTTTTGTCAGTAGTGGATTGCTTTGTTAGAGTGTTTTTAAAGTGTGCCATTGCATACTCTATTATTGTACCGTAGACCAGTACACGAGTCTTTCTGTACAAGTCTGTTATTGTCAGTAGTCACCTCATGCTCAGGTGTACACCACTTTGAAAGTGTAGTTCTTGCAACCTCTCTCTATACGTGTATGTTCCATGTCACAGTGCTGATGAGCGATGAGAGCATGGCTATGAAGCTGCTGCTCAACTTCCCTCCTGTTGGAGACATCCATCTGATAGTGCAGAAGGCGCTCTTTCTCAGGAATCCCAAGGTATGTAGTGTATTGGCAGTGCAACCGTGTGTACTACACTTCCGGCTATTATGGCTACAAGAGTAGTTGTGCTGGCTGGTTAAGTTATCCTTCATTCACTACATCCTGGCCCGCGCATTGCCAAGCTGTCTGCGTCATTGAGGTCTCCAGCAAGTGGCAACGGCAGGACGCCATCCAGCTCACCCAGTGCCCGTGTGCTCTGGATACTCACAACTCCATGCACCACACACATGTGCACACACACACACACACACACACACACACACACACACACACACACACACACACACACACACACACACACACACACACACACACTAGGATTCGCTTATTTGAAGTAGTGTCATCTAATATTTATCAGCACTTTTGCCTACTTGCTGTGCTGTGTGGAAGTGGAGGACGGTAAGGCAGGCAGGTGAAGGAATGCAGCATGTGGAGGTTGAGACATGTTACATGTACATTGTATATGGGGCAGGCTAATACTAGTAACAGATGCAAGTTTCCTGCTGTTGTTAAGAGTTGCAAGGAGCAGATTGGGTGATCATTCACGTCATGTATCAGCCGCTGACGCTGTTAGTGCCAGTCTCTAACTGTATTCCTGCTTGCTTGCTGTGTGTGTGTGTGTGTCTGTCTGTCTGTCTGTCTGTCTGCCTGTCTGTGTTTGCGCGTGCATGTGTGTCTGTGTGCGCGTGCGTACGTGCACGCATGTGCGTGTGTGATACTCTGTACGTGTTGTGCTTGGTGGCAGGTTTACGAGAGGCCCCCTAACTGGCAGCTGGAAGATGTCTCCACGGGCAGGGCTACTACCCTTCCTGCTTCTGCGCTGAAGAACAAAGCTGGTCAGATTACACAAGGTGCACTTCTGTTGGCCGGAAAGGTGAGCCATTGCTGCTGCTACTGCTACTGCTGTGTACTATGGAGGCTATGGACGTGATGATGTCATTGCAGGCGCGTACGCAGGGGGGGGGGGGGGCAACGGGAAACCCCCCAAATGTTCCAAACGAGCAACGTTTTGGGCATTTTTGGTAGGGCGCACGATCGACCAGTCACCTGCAAGAATGCAAAACTTCAACAGATCGTAACTCAGTCAAATCTCGCTCAAATCCAACGATCCAAATATCCAGGTCGAATAGAAAACTCTCAGCTGTCGGTTGAAATAATTTGCGACGCGCTGCGAGCAATGTCTCTTGAGATAAATCGTTCGTGAGTTGAGCCGCGATCTCGCAATTTCAAAAGCGCGCAGTGCGCGCAATATCGACAATTTGAGACTTTTCGTCACGCGTACGCGGACTTGCTCAAATCTGCAGGGGCTTCACTTGTGATTTTTCAAGAGCACACAGCAAAAAAAATCGAAACTCTGCAATCAAGAAAACGAAATCGCTGGAGCAGGACGCGTTTGGGCCTTTGGCCCGGTTTGGGGCATTTTTTCGCTCCGTCGCTGCACTCTACAGCAGATAGCGCTGGATATGTACATGGCTGTACTGTGTCCTGGCTATCATGGTCGACCTCATTCTCTCCAGGGTACCTTTCCACTTCCAGGAAGCCTAAAATAATGAAGAAGATTGAGTGAGTAGAACTGAAGTTATGTTCCAAAGAACACAAACAAATGCATAATTTTGAAAATTTCCTAGTGCTCTTTAGAAATACAAAGTATACAAAATACAAAGGGTTAAAACGAGTCATTGTTTGCGATTTGGTTGGAAACCCCCCTAGAGGTGACCCTGCGTACGCGCCTGCATTGTGTACTATGGAGGCTATGCAAGTGATGATGTCATTGTGTACTATGGAGGCTATGCAAGTGATGATGTCAGTGTGTACTATGAAGGCTATGCAAGTGATGTCATGGTGGTGAGTCAGCATGAGTCCGCAGTGCAACACTGTGCCACGACTTTGCCAAAGCATCTCAACTGATGATGTAATTACATAGCCTCTATAGTTATTTTTGTCTTAGATTACCTGCACATGATATTAAATAGTGGTGTCTGATTGCCATCACGGAATTCCGATGATATTTCCGAAATCACTTTATGGCAGCTTACTTCTCAACCATTGGTTGCAAAGACGAAATGTCCGCAGACAGAAGGTTATTCTTCCCGGTCGGTACCCGTTATTCCAGATGCTGTTGCAATGCATGCAACGTGCTGTACTGGATGTCAAGATTTAGAAAGGAGCTGCTGCGACTGCGGCGTTGCGTTTGTGTATGCGTGCCACTGGCCGTGGATTATTTGCCTCATTCTAGGTTGGATCGAGTGCAATCGCCAAGCTGAAGAACATCCCCGCACCGCGTGGCAGACCAGGCGTAGCAGACAGGTACGAGAGCTCTCCGCGCAGTCCGCCGAAGAAATCTGCACACCCTGGCCTATCACAGAGGTATGTATGGTATGTATGGGTATGTATTGGGGCAGCTGTGTGAAAACTCGACATCTATACTATCATGTACGACTGGAGTGGTTTGTCAAGGTTTATCATGTACATGTGTAGATCCAGAGACTTTACACATGTGTAGATCCAGATACTTTACACATGTGTAGATCCAGAGACTTTACACATGTGTAGATCCAGAGACTTTACACATGTGTAGATCCAGAGACTTTACACATGTGTAGATCCAGAGACTTTACACATGTGCTCCCATAGCGATTTTATTCTTGCTGAACTGCTATGGTGCTATGCTTATAGGTTGCGAGCGGCAGCAGTAACCCGTGACTCACATACCTCATCTGGGAAGGGAATGTCCGCAGCAGCAGCGACATCAGCAGGAGCGGCAGGAGCAGCAGCAGGCCACGGCGCTGGAGAAGAGTCTGAGATGATCCGCACGTCGGCACCGGCAGCAGCTCGAGACGCTGCCGAAACGTCACTGACTGCGCCCAGCGATCTGTATAACAAACGCTCTCTGTGTGAAGTAAGTCTTCATATCGATCATCTTCTACTTGCTTTCCCAGCTTGACATGCAAGTACTTCGAAGTAGAGGCAGACCTTGCTTGTCCGCACCTCTCGCCAGCCACTGCAAACCCATGCAGAGCAGATTCACAGCAAACATTTGAGTACAGCATGACAGAATTTTGGTTTTCCGGTTTCCTCGCCTATCCGGTGATATTTGTCCAAAGTGAACGTGCACGTCTAGGCAAGGTTTGACTGTATTTTGAATTAGAATAGAACTATTGCCAGTTCTAAAGTATGATTTGTAGATGCATCCAATGGCAGAACATTGTGTAGATGCATTCCATGGCAGAACATTGTGTAGATGCATTCCATGGCAGAACATTGTGTAGATGCATTCCAAGGTTCCATGGCAGAACACAACTGTACTGTCACCCATCAGTGGCCATTACCAATGGCATCGTAGAGGTTCACCGTACCAATTTCCCGCCTCAGGCTCTGTATCTGCTTTCTTTGGAGTAGAACAGCTGTTGTAGCTGCTATCTGTGGCAATATTGATGCAGTTATTGCTGCTATAACATGATGGTGATGGTGGTGTTGTTGGGTTTTTTTACTGTACATCCTCAGAGCCCCTCGGTGGCCCTTACCCGCCTACAAGCGTCTTGCATACGGTGTAGTCGGCACATGAATCTCTACTTGCGTGAGTGCATGTATTGCTGTATAGTACAGCCTCTACCCCGATGGTATTGACAGCTGCTGTCTGCCTGTGTGTTGAGCTCTTGAGAGGGCTGACAGTTGGCAGGTCTGCAGTCTACTGGCAGTGCATTGTGTCTGGCAATGGTGCTGAGGTGCGTCTGATTGTGACGAAGAAGAACTCTCAGCTGCTGCGTTGCTTTCTGTATTACTGTGTCAGTCTGAGTACCCCAGTGAAGACAATCATCTACACGTAGCTGAATCCTCAAGTACACTCAGACCTCGCTTAACCGCACACATCCGTTTTCCACAAAAAAATATCCGGATAGGCGAGGGAACCGGATAATCAAACACACATACTGTATGTATGCATGACGTATGCTGTAAATTGGTAACCAACGATTTTCTTCCGGATGGCGAGGGATCCGGATAATAGAGGACCGGATAAGCGAGGTCTGACTGTACGTTGCAGTGTAACCTGTCCCCCGAGCAAGATGTCACCGTGTCAGGTAATGGACAGGTTCACTCACATGTAGATGTGATTACCCGTGCCACAGCAATACACCGGGAACTTGTGTCTTTGTCGTGTTGAGAACAAGAGGCCTTGGAGTGAAGCAGCTATGCCACGGCCGCAACAGCGGACGGCAGGGAACGGTTGACTGTGGACGGTAGACTGTCCTTAGGTCGTACTAGCTATGCCAGATTGGACTGTCCCTATAGCCTGTCACACTGCCTAAGCCAGATTGGACTGTCCCTATAGCAGTATAGGTCATACTGGCTAAGCCAGATTGGACTGTCCCTATAGCCTGTCATACTGCCTAAGCCAGATTGGACTGTCCCCAGGTCTTACTAGATATGCCAGATCAAGAACTGAGTTTTCTTTGTCGCTGCCTTGCATTCTCCCCTCGTTTTCTCTGCAGGTGTTCTCCAGTCTGATGTGCTGACCTTGAACTTACCGGAAGAGTGTGAAGACAGGGTGCTACGGTCCGTAGCTGGACTGAAACAGGTCAGTAGTTAATGTGCCACCACGTATTCTCTCAGGCTACATGTGCGTGCAGTTCCCTTGTTGGGGGAAGCGACTTGACACAGGGCCCACAGAATATGCGAAACCATTTCCGAAATCTACAATTTTTCGCAAAATACTGACAGGGGAAACGAGAGACTTGTGCGTGTGTGTTTGGTATGACTGCCCCTGTAGGTGCGTGATGTCCTATGTGTGTTTGGTATGACTGCCCCTGTAGGTCCGTGATGTCCTATGTGGTGTACTGAGCAGTGATGAAGTACAGTTCCAGTCTCTTGAAGGCCTAACGCTACCGGAGGGAGTATTGTCAAGCACTGACAGCATGCCACAGTATGATGATAACTTTGATGGGGCGGCAGGTAGCGGTGGTGGTGGTAGTGGTGGCGATACGAGCGGAGAGCTCAGTCCCATTGCTGCCGACCCTTACACCGGCATTGGTGGTAGCGGCAGCAGCGCGGCCACTGGTGATGTTGCTAGCAGTGCTGGTAGTGGTAGTAGAGGTAGCAGTGGCCTTGGTGTCGGCGGCGCTGGTGGTGTTGACGCTGCACAGTCTAGTGCCGTTCCTAGTGAAGTACGTCATCCACTCACCAGCCTGGATAGCGACTGAGAAAGTTTGTTCCGCCAGGCGTGTATATAACGGTGGTGTGAGTGTGAGTGCTGTACTGTACATATGGTCTGTCTGGATTAGTCCTGTGCTAGGTAGTTCTGTTCTTAGTTTAGCAGTGTCTATCTGTTGCATTCCCTCGACCAAATTCCCTGCAGCTTCTCGCGCGTCCTTGATATTTACTTGTTTTAGAAGTTAGAACTGTAAAGAGTATCAGTGCACGCTGTGGGCGTTTGGATAGTATTTGATGTTGCTCCGCAGCAGCTTACATGCAAGTCTAGTAGAGAGAATGTACTAATCACCGTGATTTTTCTTGATGCTCATCAAACCGAACAGTGCCAGTTTTCTGGTGTTAAAGTAGCGATCCCGTCCGTGTTTGAACACGAGGGTTTTTAAAGACTAGTTTTTATATAATAGGCCGCGTTTTATTTTTCCGTGTTTCTGTGTACATGTTTTGTACTGGTGAGTTTTGACAGTTTTATGATTAGCTCGGCTCTCTTACAAAGACACACACACACACACACACACACACACACACACACACACACACACACACACACACACACACACACACACACACACACACTGATACACTATTGTTCTTATTTTTTTTATCATGTAAAATCCCAACCAATTCAGCTAACCTAATCCTATAGCATGCAAGGTAGCATATCTGCTTTTTATTTGTGTTATTGCTATATTGTTATTGCTGCTGGGGTACCTGTGTCATTCTTTCACACGATGCTCGTGTTCTATACGCTTTGTTTATTTTCCTGTGCAGGCAGTGCACGATAGCGCATCGCAAACCATAATATAGAATTCTGTCTAATATTTAACAAAATGGGGTGGCATTCCCTCACATCATCATGATCATCATTATCATCACCGCTATGACCTTTTTTCCCGCAGATCAATTTACTATACAGGTGTAGTGGCTCATGTCCACGTCACTGTCACATGACACAAAGTAACAATATTAGTGCGATTGGGGTCCAGGGGAGGGCTTGTTTAGAATGGACCTGGCCCAGGGAAGGGCTTGTTTACTCAAGTAGAATGGGCCAGGTGGGCTTGTTGAGAATGGACCGGGTCCGGGGGGGGGGGGGGGGGGGGGGCTTTGTTAGAATGTTGTTGTTGTTGATTTTATTTTGATTCGCTGAACGGACCGGGTCCAGGGGAGGGCTTGTTTAGCACTGGAACCCATGGTTCAATGTCATACAGCCACCAACCCCACCATAGTTCAATGTCACACAGCCACCAACCCCACCATGGTTCAATGTCACACAGCCACCAAGCCCACCATGGTTCAATGTCATACAGCCACCAAGCCCACCATGGTTCAATGTCACACGGCCACCAACCCCACCATAGTTCAATGTCACACAGCCACCAACCCCACCATGGTTCAATGTCACACAGCCACCAACCCCACCATAGTTCAATGTCACACAGCCACCAACCCCACCATAGTTCAATGTCACACAGCCACCAAGCCCACCATGGTTCAATGTCACACAGCCACCAACCCCACCATAGTTCAATGTCACACAGCCACCAACCCCACCATAGTTCAATGTCACACAGCCACCAACCCCACCTACATGTATGTGTGCACAGACATTCAATATGCTCCGTATCCATGGTAATCCAGAAGCTAATATCCCGGTATTCTCCAGCTCGTCCGGGGAATGCCAGCAGCGTCTTCTTTTCTTCTTCTTCTTCTTCTTCTTCTTCTTCTTCTTTTTTCCAGCATTAACCTCAGTGGAAATTAAAGTGTGGCTACACATAACCGTAGCAGATCAGATTCGCAGGAAAGGGATGTGCACAAATCGAACACAACTCGTTCCACTGCAATGTAAACTACTCAGCTCATCGCCCCATTCATAGTATACTTGCACACACACTGTGCAACACACTGTGAAACACACTCTGCATAGCATCTACAAGTACACACCGTCTCAGATATATACCTAGTGGTCATCATTCAGAAACAGGCACGAAAATGCACATAATTATACTCTACCAACATAGTAAGCAAAAAACTGGCCAAGCCAGTACAACTTGGCAGCGACATCTCAGAAAATACAGAGGTGCATCGCCAGCGACATCAACCGACTGAAGATAGAGGGCGAAGAGTCTAAAACACGAGTTCAATAAACCTATCCACACAGCCATCATCATAATGATCATCGTCATCATCCCACAGCCATGATGCAGCCATGATGCAGTTGAGCATCAATGAGCAAGACAAGTAGATAGAGCAATAGCAATGTCAGCAATATACAGAGAGAGACAGAGAGACAGAGAGAGAGAGACAGAGAGAGAGAGAGAGAGAGAGAGAGAGAGAGAGAGAGAGAGAGAGAGAGAGAGAGAGAGAGAGAGAGAGAGAGAGAGAGAGAGAGAGAGAGAGAGAGAGAGAGAGAGAGAGAGAGAGAGAGAGAGAGAGAGGGAGGGAGGGAGGGAGACAGACAGAAAGACAGACAGACAGACAGACAGACAGACAGACAGACAGACAGACAGACAGACAGAGAGAGACAGAGAGAGAGAGAGAGGGGGGGGGGGGGGGGAGAGGGAGTGAGAGGGGGGGGGGGAGGAGGGGAGACATGGGAAGAGAGTGCTAACGCAAGTGTCACGGTCCTGCTGATTATGCTCTGTTGTGTGACAGTCACGGCGGCCACATTTGGCATTTACCTACTTCTGGCTCTAGCAAATACTTTGAAGTAATCAACATACGAATACAATGTCAATATCATCCATCTTCACCTGGGTGTCTCTAGTCCCTTGACCAAGTACATGTCTGGCCTTGCCTCTCCTACATCAACAAGATAGGCTGGATCACCACTGGCAGCAGTTATCTCAGTAGAGATTTCCACCTCTACTGGAGCGACCTCGCAAGTGTGAGTAAGACAACGAGCTCAGTGAAAGACCTGAAGGTAAACAGAAACACAGCACGTGCACCAGCACCAGCACCTCTCAATGGGAACGAAGACTTCACATACGAGTATCGCTCCATGATAATATACACATGTACAGTACACACACACGCACACATGCACACGCACACGCGCGCGCGCGTGCACACATACACACATTCACCTGCTGGAGAGCCCTGCAGGGGACATCAGCTCAGTACTCGACATGTGCGGCATGATTGTAGCGAAGCATGCATGTACACTGCATAGATATCACCACCTACCTGGCCTATTCTGAAGCCAGCCACGTCGATACGCCATACAGAATCCAATAAGTACGATGACGTACTGCAAACATCAACGATATTAGTGAACAAACATACAACGTCATAGAGACAAAGTCAGTCAGACAGATTTACTTTGTCTATGTGAATAATAAAAAAAATTAAACAATCTCAGAAGTTCACAACAATGTACAGTCAACTTCGTTCATAACGACATTCGGCGGGGCATCAAAAAAGTGTCCTTATTCGCGAAGTGTCGTTATACCCGAAGTCTCATTATATGTATTACAGTTGGATGGAACTTTGCTCTGCCTGCGGGGCATGGACATTCTGTCGTTATATCCGCAGTCGTTATTAGCGAAGTTGACTGTAATGATAAAACAAACTCAGAAGTTCACAACAATGCTATTTTGTTGTGGCTCTACTGTCACTGCAGTGAATACATTGAACACTGAGACACAGAGACAATGGAGACATCAATATTATCCGTCCGTGCGCCGGTATGTTCACAAAGGATGCAGTGCATGGCTCCACCGTGCTATTTGTAGTGTGCGTGTGCAATCGTGCTGGTGGTCATATCCAATGTAGGCGCAGTGCATGCAGCTCACCCTGGATAAGTGTGCCAACACCATGGCACTGCATGTCGGGACGGTTGCGCAGAGAGTCAGACGCTGTGTCAAGGCTTTCTTTCAACACGTACATACCACCATACATGCAGACAGTCAGTCAGACTCTACACAACTGTATAGTGTATACTACTTCAAGAACTATCATACTATATCCATGATTTATTCAAAGCCCCACATTTTTACAAGTGAATAATAGCAAGAAGGTACAAGAGAATAGCTACACTATCAGACTACTACTCTACTACTTCAAGAACTATCATACCGTATTATCTCTAATATAAGCACAGTCTCCAATAATAGCACGTCTCCAATAATAGAACACCTTGGGGCGGCATTCAAAAAATAAAGTGCTCAGTCTCCATTATAAGCACACTGTGTAAATTCATTATCTGTACCGGCGAAAAAACCCTGAAATGTGTGTGTCTGACATGAATTTGGCATGGCAACAAGCCTCTGAAATGAGGTTGAAATAATAATGGAACAGTCTCCAATAAAGGAACGTCTCCAATAATAGCACGGGGCGGATGTACATTGAAAAAATAAAGGACCGTGCTTATATTAGAGATAATACGGTACTCAGTACTACATGTGCTACTGTATATCAGGTCATTTTAGGTGTAGTAAAGTGTCGGTGTCAGTGACCTGCCAGGTTGCATGTGTAATGACTATGTAGAATTAGGCCGGGACCAGCGGCGTGCCCTGCACACACATGTACAGTGTATACTCCAGTGTCATTTAGGTGTAGTCTAAAGTTAGGTGCCTGGTTTCTCTACCGAAATTACCGAAATTTAAGTTACACCGAAAATAATGTGTTCTACATTATCCCCCGTAAAGAGCAATAGAATAGAACCCCGTATCCGGACACTTCCCTTAACCGAGAGCACCTTGCAGGCAGATTACCTGCAGCCAGTCAAAGCTTGAAAGATTCTCCCTCTATACGGTGACGGCCACTTGAACCACTTCACAACAAACAAGATCCTAACCCTCAGCTCCTACTGTCATTGTGTATTCTTGGAATTGGTATCAATTTTGGTTCAGCGAGCCCCAACCGAACACAACGCTGTGGACCTGGAAAAGAAAGATCCGGTATTGATATTCCTGCTTCAAAGTGCTCTGAAGAAAGGCGGATGCAGCCGAATGCGGACAAGGCCACTTGCGGCCGTAGCTTTGAGGCATGCAGAGTGATTGAAAGTCTGAACGAATCTATCCCATTATGGTGTCACAATCGTATGGATCATACAGACAGGGGACGGTCCGGCCATGCAGGACTGGGGTGAAAACATGAGCGAGCACAATGAGGCAAAACTGCGATGCTTGGCGACAAAGTGAGGATACGCTCTGTTAAGTCTCAGCCTGGTCCTACCATCTGCAAAAACAAAACAAAAAACAGATCACCGGATACATGTTGAACACCAGCATGGCAGTGTGGCCGCTACTGATGGTCAAAGTAGCCTGGTACATGCCTGGTACATGCACAGACAGAGCAGCAGTGGACTACACTGCATGTACTATACTGTACATGTATCATGTACGGATCACTGGCCCATTGGCCCCGGCAGCCGCTGAGCTAGCAGATCAAGGTCTGGGCACATTGTAAGTATAGTGTTACATGATCCCTCCCCATTCCGGGCTTGAAATTATGACATGATCCGTGTGGGACTGGGAGACTGTAAGCTACAATGTAGATACTAGGCTAGTACGGTGCCCGCGCTGGTAGTAACAGCACTTTCTTGACCGACTTCATAGAACTACAGTCCGTTTCAAAAAGATTTACAATCCTGGCGATCGCCCGCGGAGTTTGGCGTCTTACCGTACGAGCACTCAAGCGCTGCCTGGAAAAACTCTCTGTGAACTCGAAGAAATATTCCGCGCGAAAGCAGGAAAAATGACAACTCACTCACGTTGACACAGTCATGTACGTCTGTGGTTTACAACAAACTTTACGGCGAGTTCTTCCTCGTATCGATAATGGAGTCAGAGAGGACATGTCGAAACGAAAGTGTTGTAAATGTTGACGAGCTGCATGGGTCCGTTTTGTGACCAAAATAGTTTCTTTGAGCTGCGATGCAATTTACTCATCGTGTGACGAAAACGACATCGACGCGGACTCATTCCCAAGGCCATGACTTGATAAAAAAATCGATACTGGCTTCCTGGGCAAATTGTAAACCATGGGAAAAGGCCGGAAACCTGGCCGAAATTCTAACTCCTTAACGGTTGGTCCAATTGTTCCGAAACCTTCACAGAACAATTTGCCGTGTCCTAACAAGCCATTCTATGTACTTTGTTGTCCAAATTTCCCTTATCTTCATACTTTTTAAGACCCAAACCTGATTGTAAATCTTTTTGAAACAGACTATAGGTTGTTGTTTGCATCAGTAATGGAGTATCGCCACCTGTCACTGATCGGCACGCATCCACCACATGTAGCAAGCAATGTAGGACCGGGACAGTGTACTTTGAGCAGTCGGGATACTGAAGCACTTTCAAAAAGCTGCAGTTTGTGTCAGCTTGCACTTTTAGATGCAACCTCACACAAACTGCAGTTTTTTTTGAAACCATACCAGTCGTGCTGCCTCCAGGTCAGACCTACTCACTTCCTACCAGGGCGAGCAACTGCATGCAATGCCGATGATCTATGAACTTGGCGAACAGCTACTCCAGCACTCGACTACACACAACTATTAACGTTGTGTGGAGGGCGGTACAGTTTGTTCAGCGCAGACTTACGTGCTGTCAGGTCGTTACTCGCCAGATTGTCAGATATAGCTGGCCAGTAGAAGGCAAACATGACCCAATCTTGCAGTATAGCTAGCGTGCTGAACAAGGCAAGCTACACACAGAACCGAGTACAGGTGTGACGCAAGGTTGGAGACAGAGTCTCAAAGAAGAGAGGGGTAGATAGATCAAAAATGGTTTACGACGACAGCATGTTACAAGGCGGAGGACACCGGCTCAGTATAACTGTTATGGAAAACAGTGTTCCTGACTGCAACCATAAACTGGATGGAACGCTGTTTTCCATACAGCGTGTCCTCCGCCTTGTGACATGCTGTCATCGTAATAGCATGTTAAACTATCAAGCAAGGCTTGCATATACCATAGATGAAAACTGTGCTACCATCGTCACTCTGAGGCCTGTGCCAACGTGTATGCCTCAGCCTTCTAACTTTACAACGGCTGCACAATGGCTTCTGTCCATTGGCCCAGACGCACATTGGGATCAAGGAGAATGCCCGGCGCTGTGCAAAAGAAAAGACAGGACATCCTGTGGACACTGGCTCCAAATTCCCGCCTCACAGAGGCCGTGACTTAGACTACGGTCTATTCAACTCACTAGCAGTGCCGGTGCGTAGCGCTGTGTCATCAGCGTCAGGAGGCCAAGCGACACGCAGAAGTAGAGCGAGAAGTAGTAAGAGCTTGGCAGGCTGGCCCAGTCCGCACGGCGCCGGGAAGCATTGGCCGCTGGACCACTCCTGACCAAGGGCTCGTCATTTGCCCTACCGCCAACATGCAGCAATGCAAACACAACACATACACATTTGACCTACTAACACAACACATAGACAACATACAGCATTGCGTACACAACACAATGACATAGACATGTGGCCATTACTTTGTCTTGCTACTGAGTTACTTTGACTTGCTACTGAGCTTGAAAGAATCACAGTCAACACGGTACTGTAGTATCCCATTCGCCGGCGGGCCAAGGAAATTCCTACCCGCTGTATTCCTCCACGGTAGTAAGGGTGAACATTAAAAGAATGTAAGTTACGGATGCAATACCGGCTCAGCCGGGTTCAAGTCCTGCTGACCGCCTACATAATACCCAGTACCCGTGGCATGGCTGTAGTGTACATTATGCAAGCCGCCTCGCTTGATTGCGGGTAGTAGTGCTGGGGCTGAGTCCTGCGCTGGCTGCAGTCATAGCAAGTAGGGGTCTACTCTAGGGGTCTACACCTTGCTTGACTGGTAACAGGTTTAGAGGAGAACAGTAACCGTCAGTGTGTCCTCCCGGCACACATGCTATGTATACGGTATGCCTCCATTCGACCACTTGCCGGCAACTTATCACACTCATACTAACTTACCAGTTACCGAACAAGAAGAGCACGATGACGAACACCTACCAACCAGTCAACAAAGAGAGAACAGAGCAAAAGAAAGGACTCGGGTTCGATAGACAAGTACGCGTACAGTCATGTAGAATGTCTGCACTTCAGTGCAATACTAGTACATGCCCATCCTGGGACCGCAAACAAATACCCCCCCCCCCCTCCCTGAACACTGTTCAGGAGAAACATGACCACTGGGCAACTGTAACTGTTATCAGGTCTTGGAACTTCAGTCGACAACGGATCTACAATGAAGGAGCTGCAGTGCATGAACCTGCGGCACTTGGTCAAATAGGCTACATGACACATGACACATTGAACTGTGCATCATGCAGCACCATGCCGCACATTCGATAGTCATGTTGTAACTGTGTTCAAAATCAGGGAAACAGAAACACATACCGTAAATACAGTTAATACACCCGAGACATGATGCGCAAGTCAGCGAGCCCCCCCCCCCCCCCTCCCCGTGACACGAGATTCTGAATTGCCATGCCACCGTCACCATAGATACGTGATGTTAAAATGCCACAACCCCCCCCCCCCCCGTGCACGCAAATACATGGTGTGACCCGGCGGGCATAGCGAGAGATTGCAGTGGTCCAGGACGGCAGGAGCATTATTGCCGAGCCCAGTCAATGTGACCTGTTCTATGCCGGTGTTGCCAACATGCCATGGGTGCATGGTATACCTACATGCATCTACATGCAAAAAATATCAAACCTAACACTCAGGATGCAGGGCCCAGGGGGGGGGGGGGGGGGGCAGGCCCGAAAATTTGGTGAATGTTGAGAGCCTTCCGGAGCAAAGAGTCCCGGGCCGGGGGCGGTGGCATGTGTGAGTGTTCAGACTGAGTAATGGCTTGAACAAAGAAAACAAAGTTAGGCACACGTACATAGAGGATTGGCAGAACAAAAACTCCCCTCTTCTTACCAGAAGAATGAACTTTAGCGCACCGTCGCTGGCAGCACCAAAGCCGGAACCTGTCGTGCCGCTTGTCCCAGCACTGTGTTTCTGTTGCCCATGTTCTGTAGCATCGTTCTGCACGGAAAGGGGCGTAGTACTAGTAGGATTGACGACAGCTGCAGCAGCAGAGCTGCCAAACTGTTCGCCCCCGACATTCGAGTGCTCGTTATGTAGCTGCTGATAGTTGCCAGGAACTCCGTCACTGGGCTCCACGATCAATGCTGATGTAGCCTGTGAACTATCCGTGCCAGGCAAAGAGCCATAGCCCTCCGCTCCAGGCCCACTGCTCATCCTGGACTACTAGTATTTTTCATTCGTGGTAAGGCAATGTCACGCTCAACTACTCCATCCCATAACTGAGAAACAATAATTATGCCATGACACGGTCGGTCAAGCGAGTCAACACAGCATGCAGCTCCACAACTCGCATATAGCGAATTTCGTGATTATAGCGAACCCTTGAGTCCGGGCTTGACTACATGTCCCTGTTTGAACCCGTACAAAATTGACTCTTTATAGCGAACAGTTTTTGTCAGATGCGAAAACCGGGCTTTTAGTTTTACAACTCCCTGGCGAAAACCGACAAAAATCATATTAATTTTGTGTACTAAAGTGGCTATTATCTGAATGCCAGGAGCTAGCATGCATAGCATCAGGAGTCGTGTGCAGAAAACTGGAGTTGATTTGGACAAAGTTATAGCCTCTACGATAAATCGATAATCATAATAATAGGAGACCCTAAATAATAAGGGCCTTGTATTGTTACCAGGGTTCTAGCCAGGTCGAAATAGTAGGGGGGGGGGCATGGGAAACAGTTACCCTATATCCCATTTTTCCACTTTCCAATAATTATTGTCTTGCCACGCCAAATGCAAAGTATGGGGCGAATCCCTGACTTCACTCCAGACAAATGTGCCTTTATGAACCATCTATGCATGAAAAACACGAAAATCGGAAAATGAGTAGGAGGGCGGCAATTTTTCACAGGGGGCGCGCAAACAGAGTAGGGGGGCGCTGCGCCCCCCTACCCCTTTGGCTAGAACCCTGTGTTACGTACCAGTCCATGGCCTGGGAGTACTACAGCCTCTGGCAGGTCTACTAGACAATGTACCAGGCCAGGTTACTGACTCATGAACAGCGGCCCTGGGGCCCCTCTCCCCGGCTGGGGCATCCCTACCAGCACAGTACCGGTAGTGGTAGTGGTTCATGCAGCAGCAAGAGCACACACACACACACACGCAAGCTAAACCTGGCCATATTTACAGTTTTCCATGTCAAGGCTAGTGTCACGCCTGTGGACTCACACTGTCACCATGGTCATAGTAGTAGCAGCAGCAGCAGCAGCAGCAGCGAGTAGTCGTACAAACAATCCATGCCAAGGTTGGTGTACGTGTACGTGTATTCTCATACAAGTAATAAACATCACAGATTTAGAAGGGAGTTTCAGAGTCGTGTGCCTGAACGACTATACAGGAGTTGAAATACACTGCGGCATCTACAGTGCACATAGATAGAGTGTTTTGTGTTGGTATGGACCAGGGGAATGATAATGCCAGTACTCGTACACAGGAAGAGTACAGAAGTGCAATCCAGCATGCTAACTCTGCAGCAGCTGCAGCATGTAGTTACTGGGAAACGAGCAGTAACACGCAGGGCCAAATACGAACAGCATGACGTCACACATTGTGAGACTGCTGCAAGGAGGTTTAGTCAAAAGAAGCGGCCGGCGCAACGAGGAGAATAAGAGTACGCGGGGGACCAAGCAAAGCGCACCGTAAGAGTACGCGGGGACAAAGCAAAGCGCACCGTAAGAGTACGCGGGGGACAAAGCAAAGCGCACTGTATAAGGTGAATAAAATGCCAGCCAAAGAACGTGATTGGAATCGAGCAAAGACAAGATGATAAGCTAGGTATGGTGGCATGTTGAACGCCAATACTGGTAGTATCACAGCACCACCATAATACATACACAC